GAGGGGACACAAAAGGAAAGGGGGGGAACATACTTCTTGGCGGTGGAATGGATCAGCCTGATGTTATCCCCTGGCAAGACCTGGACGAGCGAGCCGAGGAAGTCGGCCACATTCTCGGTGCGGATCATGTTCAGGTCAAAGTCGACCGTGTCCCGCGCGCGGTCGAAGGCGAGGATGGCCTGGATCTCGTGCCACTTGAGGGTCCGGTGGGCGCAGACGAGGAAGCCGAGGAGTAGCTTCGCCTTGGCCCAGTGGTTGCTTGATAGCCTGGTGAGGTTGTCCTTGAGGGTGCCGAGGAGGGTGTCGTATCTGAGGAGTCTGGTCAGCCGGGTGTGTGAGAGAGAGAGAGACGAGAAGGGTAAGGGTGGCCCAAGGAGAATGTGGCAGAAGGGGTATGAAGACACAGGATGACATTGGACGGGAAATATATCGAGAGACGGGAGATATTTTGATAATTAAGGGGCATGGAACATACAACTTGGATATGGTGTCTGGAAGCATTCCCGGCCTGACTCTCTCGAGCAGGTCTTTCTTGGTCAACTGCTTGACGAGGTATTCCATGGCGAGCTCGGCATACAGAAACAGCCCTGTGGGTTTTCAAGAGTCAGCCCTGGAAAGGTCAAGGACAGGGACGCCACGCATCCTCGGCCTCAGTTGTGCCCACACTCACCTTCACTCTGCGCCGTGACCTGATCCTCAATGTCCTGCACATTGTCGTCCGACAGGTTGAAGGGGCGGCCCGCCTTGGACAGCTCCTCGGGCGCCAGCCTCTTCCGGACGTAGGCGCGGATGTCCTGCGCGTTGTCCCGCCGGGCGTCCAGCTCGACCTCGCGGCCCGCCTCGCCGGGGACGCCGTGCTTGGCCATGACGCGCCGCACGTCGGCCGTCGCCTGGCTCGTGAAGAGCACGCGTAGCGAGCCCTGGCTGACGTCCTCGCACCGCCCCACCTGCGCCGTGAGGAATCCGACCGCCTGCTGGACCTCGGTGGTCGCGTCGCACTCGTCGAGGCCGTCGACGACGAGGTACTGCCGCGGGTTGATGTCGAAGAAGGCCTCGAGGAGGGGGAGCACGGCCTCGGGGGAGCTGAGGGAGGAGCCGCCGCTGTTGGCGATCTTGTCGGCGCACAACGGGAGGATCGCGGCGTTGTTGTTCCTGCCGACAGCGCCGCCGCCGCCGTCGTCCGAGTCCGGGTCGGGGTCGGGGTCCAGGACCTCGGCGGCGGACACGAACTGGTGGAGGATGCCGCGGAGGATGCCCAGGTACGTGGCCATGTCCTGGTCGCGCTCCTGGCAGTAAAAGTAGGCGACCTGCGCGTCCTCGGGTATCCTGCCCTCGCGGGCCAGCTCCCGCAGGCGGACGACGACGAGCGAGGCCAGGATCGTCTTGCCCATGCCGCGCGGGCCGTGGACCCAGAGCGTCGAGTCGCGGGGCGGGTCCTCGCGCATCCAGTTGGACACGGCGTCGTAGCGCTTGTAGAGCCAGCGGCCGCTGTCCGGGCACAGGGCCCGCTTCTGGACGAAGCTCTCGTGGAGCGTCCCCGTCTTGTTGGGCGCGGCGATCCACTTGAGGATCTTGGTCTTCTGTTCGGTCTTACGGTCCTGCTCGGCGCGCCGGAAACGCCTCCGGGCGGCGGCGTAGGCTGCCTCGTACTGCTGGCGTCCGCGGCGGATGTCAGCGGCGGCGGCGGCGGCGGCGGCGTCGTTGGCGTAGGCGGTCGACGTCGGAGGGGACGCGAAGCCCGAGTCGACGTTGCTGAGGTCGCGGCGGCCGTGGGTTCGGATGAAACCTGCGTGGAGCCTGAGGGTTTCCTCGAGGTGGGCAAAGGTCGTCTCGAGGTCTTTCCACGATGCCCTGTGGAGCTTGGTCCATACTGCCAGTGCCCTTGTCAGTGTCCTGACGTCCCGGGAAGGGGGATTTACGCCATGGTCCAACATGGCCCGGGGCGGGCACTTACACGTCGTGCGGAGGGAGAAGAGCTTGTATGCCAACCTGTGGAACTCGAGGACGTCGCGGTAGAGGTGCAACAAGCACGTCTTTGCGTCCTGCGAGCCGGCCAAGAAGTGTCTGTACTGGTTGAGGGGCGGGATCTCGGCCCCTAGTCGTTGGTAGGCCTCGAGCATGTGGTCAAACGCCTTGTCGTTGATGTTTGTGGTCTGGTACGGGATGGTGTCAGCCAAACCCTCAAGAAAACCCGGTTCACGGGCGAGAGCCATGCCTTAACGGCATTGTAGGTTTCACAACACGGGGGGTGGAGGCACGCACGTTCAACAGAAACCTCATCGGGCCCCAGACGCACGCCATGATGTTTACTGCTCTGGCGGGTTCCAGATCGCTGAGGATGTCCTGCAAGCCGGCCATGCCCTCGAGGAACATCTGGATCCTGCTGAGGTTCATCATCGTCCTCTTCTCCTGCTGCTGGGACTGGATGGTATGGAGGTCAGCGTAGACGCCATGGCTGGTTGCCTTTTCGAAACTCGCAACGTGCTTGGTGTCCAGAACGGCCTTGAATGCATCGGCGCTTTGGACGAGTGCGTGACCGAGGTCGTCGTGCAAGTCCGGCCTCAGGGCGGCGTCGCCGAAGCTCTGAGCCATGGCTCGTTGGAGGAACTCCGGGCCCAAAGACACCGGGCACGGCACGGCACTGGGGGGGGACCGGGATCCGGCGCTACAGGTTTGGTTAAAAGGTGGCTGTGGGGAGGGGGGAGGAGAGGTTTCGCAGATGGCCGGCAGCACGGCCAGGCCACAACAGAATCAAACAGAACAAGAAGAGGAAGTTCAGTCACGAAAAAGGCGAGCAGTGAAGTGCAGAGAGCTGGCCAAGAAACGAAAGAGAGACATACAGTCGTCTCGAGAGAATGAAGACGATGTGAAGAAAAAAAGAAAAGGAAAAAGAGGAAACGTTATCCACTTGATGACTTGCATTTGCTGTCGGTCAACAATAACTGAGGCTGATGCTCTCCTCTCTCTCTCTCACTCTCTCTCTCACTCTCTCTCTCTCACTCTCTCTCTCTCTCTCACATACACACACGCATACAATCTCTCTCTCTATATCCGCACCTAGCTCACCCATCGCAGCAAAAGAGGCAGCCAGGCGTCAGTCGGATCACCATTCCACCCCCGGTCAAGCAACCCCTGCACACACACGAGCCGGCACCCCTGAGCTGGCTGGACACCTGTTGGACAGGAACGCCAATAGAAACGCCGTCATCATGGCCGGCCTGGCGGAGCAGGGGGGGCCATGAGGGGCATAGACGGCAGAGGCAGAGGCGCTAGACCGTCCATGCACTGCCACTGCCACCACTTTTTTCTGCATCCCGCTCCATTCTTCCCATTCTCTCTCGTTTCTGTGAGACACGAGGAGCGGTACGTGCTGTGGTGTTTTTTTTTTTCTTCTTCTTTTCTTCTTTCTTTCCATGGCGCTTCTACGCGTTTCAACTCTTGTATGCCTTGGTATCCGTCTGTCAGTCTGTTTCTGCGTCGTCATGTCCGTCTTCGGTCCGTCTCCTCGCCCGCACAAAGACACCACTCGACCCGACTTGCATCGTGCTTGCATCGGGTCACCGACAGTCTACCAAGTGTTTCTTTGCGAGCTCCGCGTCCCTTTGGACCCTCGTAGTTTGTTTTGGCCTTGTCAAGGGGGGGAAGGGGATTTTCGTCTCCCACGCGGACGCCTTGTGAAGGGGTGTAGTGTACGGAGTACAGGGTCTTGTTTCTTTGACTTTGTTTCTGCAGCGGACCCCCCGTTCTGAGGGCTGGCGAGCCTACCTACCTGCCGCTGATCCGTTGATCCGTTGATCCTCCTCGTCTAGTCCACATCTTCGGGCCCCTTCGTCCAGCAGATAACATGGGTTATGCCTATTCGGTTATGTGTTGCGAAGTGGGTGAGTCTTCTAGGTATCTATCTTTATCCATCGGTCCATGTTTACCTCGATCAAAGGCCGTGCGCGCTGTGCTATGCCGTGCCATGTTTTATGCCGTGCCGTGTTGCGCCGTGCCGAGCTGTGCCGTGCCGTCTCTCTGAATAGTGCCCTCAATGTCACGCAATCGCAACAGAATACTGAACAAGACTAACAGATCGTGGAGAAAGTCGTAATCTGTTTCCATGAAACCATGGCCCGGCGTGCGTCATCTGCAAACAGAGCCTGCTCTGGGGCAAGCTTGCGAGAATAAGCATCGGTCCGTGAGCGTTTCCCCCCATGATATGACCTCATTCCGGCTTAGTGAGGCTCTTTGGTGGCTTGCCCGGGGGACTCGGATCTCTCACGAGGGCGGAGCATCCGTCGGTGAGCCGGGGTGTCGGGACTTCTTCGATGGCTTCGGGGGCGGTGCAGAAAGCGGGTGCGGCATCCAGCCAAGCAAAACAAACTAAACCCTACAGACCGCTCTCCAACCCCCTAGACGGAACACAGGTAAAGTGGAAAATGGGCACTCGCTATTGTCCATTATAGTGTGCATATGTCAGCTGGTGGGGAGCGTAGGCTTCGGCGATATGCGAACCACCAACGGGACGGACGCACGACTTTGCCAAAACATCATCGTCCGCGCACTGCGCCCCGAGGGCACAAGGGCATAAGGTAAACGGGACGGAGGGAGGGAGGGAGGGGAGCAGACTCGAAGAAGAGATAAAGTTGCACATCAAAATGGTCGCCTTTCCTGTGCCTCACATCACCGGTCATTGGGTTGACCAAACTGGTTCGCCAGACGCCTTTTCTCTCTTATCCCCTCTCGCCATCTCTCCGGCCGCTGAGCCTCATTGTGTGCCTCAACCACTGGACTCTCGAGCACAGCCTTGGATCCGAATCACGAGACGACTTGAAGGTCCCCCGTTGAAGCTTATAGTTGTCGTCTGGTCAAGATCAGCAAGGACAACCATCAACGACGGCATCTTTGGACTCGGTTTTGACATACAGACGCAGAGACACACACTATACACACGGATCTACAGACATACAGACATACAGACGCTAATCGACAAGTGGGACACGCAGCCACCCTCCATAATGGCTTCGCTAAAGAGGCTTCTCAACAAGGAGGACGAGGAGCTCCACTACCCTGACCTGTCGTCCGTGTCCTCCTATGGCTCCATCCCCTCGCCGTACCAGGCCGAACAAGATTACACCGGACACCAGCCACGCCAGACCCAGTTCCAGGGCGGCCCGGACATGTCTCAAGAAGCAACCGGCTTAGAAAACCCTGCTTCCATGAATGAAGACTACAACAGTCTGTTTCCGTATACCGATAACAGTCAATTCGAGCCCATCAACTTCGGAGACCGGCCCGGCGCGGTGCCTTTTGATTTCGGACAGGAGCTGCTGATTTGGGGCCGGAATACCATCGCCGCAACCCCGGCATCCCACGCGTACAGCTCCCCCAAACCGTCCCCTGGGTCATCGCAAGACTCCCCGCCCCTGACGCATTCGCCTTGGCTCATACCCGGCTGCAGTAGTATCGCCGGCTCGGACACGTCTCTCTCTGCAGGAGATGATGAGACCGAGATGGTTTGCTATGGAATGGTTAGTTGCATCTCTTTGACTATCATTCCGTCCCGTCTTCATGTTCCTCTTTCTCTTGATAGAATTCCCAAGCATCGACTCATACCCAAGTAGCTCTACAATGTAGACGTCAAGTTGGTGGGCGACATGGGCGTCTTCGACACCAAGATCCGTGATACCCACCAAAGAGAATTGACGCATGCGCCGCCCGGGCAGACGCCCTACCAGCGCTTCAACCTCGCCGAGCACCAGGATCACGTCGTCCTCATCTTCAGAGATGACCCGGATGTCACCGAGTTCGGATACCTCCGCTCCGGCCCCGGCACGACCCTCGCGAGGCTCCTAGCCCAAGAAGGCCTCGAGTTCGAGTCCGTCGCCCAGACCGCCGCCCTCCGCGAGACCATCGGCCGTGCCAAGAAGCCCGTCGAGGCCATGGTCAAGGTCGACATTAACATCTACGGGCCGCGCGGCAGGGCCCACGAGACCGGCAAGACGCTCTCCGAGGGCAAGCTGTACCTGCAGATGCCGGACCACGCGCGCAGCGGGTTCTCCTACGAGAACCCGCACATGCTGCGCATCAAGGATGCCGAGCACATGGTCACGGAGGCCGCGAGGGAGGTCAACAGCCGCGCACCCACGGGCCGGCAGCCGCGCGAGGAGAGGTTGCGGGACATGATGCTAGAGGTCTACCAATCGATACAGAACAAGCGGCATCTTCGCCGGGAAGACGGCGCCAAGGGCCTCAAGCATGAGCTGCAGGAGTAAGTCCTCCGCGTCATCGACCTGCTGAAAAGACAGAGGCGGAGAGGGAGACTAATGCGGTCTCTAGACACCAAAAACAGGCGCTTGCATTTATGCTCGAAAGGGAATCAGGCCACATCGTCGACTCGGCCTACCGCCTCTGGCAACCCGTCGTAGAGGAAGGTCAGGAATGGTGAGACCTTTTGTTCCTGTACAATGCCGGGCTCTATGCTTAACGGTGTTTAGGTTTCGGCACAAGATCACAAACATCAAACAGAAAACCCAGCCGGACGAGAAAGGCGGCGGTATCCTGGCCGACGAGATGGGCATGGGCAAATCTCTGTCTATTCTCTCTTTGATTGTGACTACCCTCCAGAACGGACAGCAATGGGCCCAGCAGGAAGAACAGAACGACGAAAAGAGCAGGGAGCTATGCTACTCCGGCTCGACCCTGGTGGTCGTGTCGTCTGCTCGTGAGTGACAAGCCCCCTTTGGCAGCAGCACTGCTACAATTGCTACATGACTGACTCGATCAAGTTCTCATCTATGAGTGGAATAACGAGATCGCAAAGTGAGTAAAGCTCCGGTTCTGATATCAAGCCTGACGGGATCCCTGACGTTTGCCAGACATGTGGAAGGAAAACTAAATCAGATTGAATACCACGGCCCCAAACGTGAAAAGGACATTGACAAGATCAAGAACTCCAACATAGTTGTGACCACATACAACACCTTGGCGGCGGAATACGAGAAAAAGTCGTCACCCCTCCATAAGATTGGATGGTACCGGGTGGTACTCGACGAAGGTGAGTCCCCTCCAGTATCTCACGACCGAGGACGACGACCGGATCTGATCATTCTCTCCCAGCCCATGTCATCCGCCGCCCGGCCACGACATTCTTCCACGCCTGCAGAGCTCTTCACGCCAACTCCCGCTGGTGTCTCACCGGCACCCCGATCCAGAACAAGCTGGCCGACATGGGCGCCCTTTTCGCTTTCATCCGTGCGAAGCCCTTTGACGAGCCCGCCATGTTCCGCCGCTACATCGAGGTGCCCTTCGAGCAGCACGGCGACCCCAAGAAGATCAAGGACCGCCTCATCCTGCTCCTCGACTCCCTCTGCCTGCGCCGCACCAAGGAGCTCTTGGAGCTCCCCGGCCTCGAGGAGCGCGTCAAGGAGCTCGAGTTCACGCCGGCCGAGCGCGAGCAGTACGACAAGACCAAGAAGATCCTCATGCGTACCATCAAGCAAAAGGTCGGTGAGGTCGAGAAGAGCTCCAAGTTCGGCCTGTTCCAGGCCAACCTGCAGATGCGCATCCTGTGCAACCACGGCACCTACCAGAAGCCCTTCTCGTGGTCCCGCAGGAGCTACCGAATGAGCCGGCTCGAGGAGCGCGAGGCCGCCGTCTCGGCGCTCGGCCAGAACGCCGAGATCACCTGCGACGGCTGCCACCAGCCCATGCCCATCCTCGGGTCGAGCCAGCTGCGCAACGAGGCCGAAGAGCAGTGCGCCCACGTACTCTGCTCCGAGTGCCTCGACGAGTCCGACATGTCGGCGCCCGGGTCGCGCACGCGACACTGCCCCGTGTGCGAGAACTGGGTTAGGACGGCGGCGGCGGCGGCGGCGACGGCGAGCTCTCCGCCGGTTAGGGTCGACGGGCCCTCGGCGTCGGGTGGCGATGTTGCCATGGCCGACGCGCCCGCCAGGACGTCCGCGAACAAGGACGACGAGCTATACTTCAACCAGGAGGGGTATTCCACCAAGATGGATGCGCTGATACGGGATGTCAAGGAGGACGTCTGGACGACGAAGAGGTATGTGACAATCGACAGCGCCGTTTTTCTTATTCCTTTCTTTTCTTTTCTTTTTCTTCTTCTGCCCATGTCTCTGACTGAACTAGCATCGTCTTTTCTTGCTGGACGAGGACGCTGCATCTGGTTGGCATGCACCTGGAGAGAGCCGGCGTCAGGTTCGCCATGATCGACGGCAACTGTCCCCTATCAGAGAGACAAAAGATCCTCGAGAGGTTCGCAAAGGATGATGACCTGCGGGTGCTCATCATGACAACAGGCACCGGGGCCTTTGGGTGAGTCTCGAGTTCCCCCCCTCACCCCCGCTCGCTGTCTCGTGAAGAGCACGCATTCTGACATTGTTCGCTTCTCATGCACAGCCTCAACCTCACCTGCGCCAACCGCGTCTTCATCGTCGAGCTGCAGTGGAACCCCAGCGTCGAGAACCAGGCGATCGCTCGCGCTATCCGCTTCGGTCAGGACCAAAAGGTCCTCGTCACAAGATATGTCACCAAGGCCACTGTCGAAGAGGTACTGTTCCGCCGTCTACGTTTACGGAAGGGTGTCCCGCTGACTGACTTGGTATAGGAAATGAGGTCGCAGCAAATCGTCAAGAAGAACCTTGCTGCGATTGGCTTCGACGAGTAGGTTTACCACGCGGACGGGCTGGGTCAGTCGCACAAGTAGACTTGGGGATGGATGGATCTGCACGATTTACTTGGAGTTCAGGGACTGGGGGCGGTGGCTATTGCGAAGGAAAAAAGAAAAGTTCGTCTTTTGTAGCGGCAGCGCCGTCACGATGCTGGCATCCTCGTATCACTATTTGTTTAAAGGCCGGACTTTGGCTAGATTTCTGTTACTTTTACAATACCCCAATCTCATCTCTTTTTTTTTTTTTTTTTTTTTTTACTTTTTTATTGTTACTGCTCTGCTTCAGAGGCGACCCTCTATGGAACCTCGAGTCTGAGTCGTGTCAAACATGCCCGACAACCGGAATTGCCTGAATAAGAAGAACTGGAAACGACACGGAAAGGCAGACAAGCAATCCCAGCTACATTCCGGATCAGACAACCTTTACGCAAAGAGGCAGCCTGGTATTCTGCCTATCCGCCCTGTTTGGACAGCCTGCATGCTTAGACTGGTTGCCTTCCTGCAAAGCTCCGCCTCACATCACAGCATGCTCCGCCCCCCTGTTGCTCGTCTGTCAGCACACAAATCCTCTTGGCCAACTTTACAAGGCAGATTTTATTGCAACACCATCAATTTTCTTCCAATCTCACCATCTGCTCTGTGAGAAACTCTTCTTGGCCTCTAGCAGCTTCATCGTAACCAACGGTAGTGGTGACGAGATGGCAGCAATATCCCCTCTGACAATACAGCTCACACGGCGGCCCCGGCCCGAGCCGGATGACGGAGAAGTGGACCCCAGCCCGAAGAGAACCCGGGAGTGTGGTACTGATGAGAAGTGTTGTCTTGGATGCCGGTTACTGCTCTCGGAAGACGCCCTGAAAGACCTCAACTCGCATCAAGGGCTCCGGCATTCGTCCTATGCCGATTGCTGCGCATCGGCAATGAACGGCTGTGAAATATGCCTCTTTATCATTATAGCCATTGAGAAGAATAGGACGCATGAATGGGGCTCCGATGATGTTGTGATATTTCGGAACCGTCCCTCCAAAATGCGCCCTGGTGCTGCGCCTTCAGGCATAGATGTTTTGGAAGGCTGTCTTTCTTCTGGGGCAGCTTCCATAAGCATCCATCCATATGCCGAGCAAGGTAGGCGACTGCAACTGGATACGGGACCGTCTCTGACATGTACTGCAGGCAACCCCGCCGCCGGTGTGATACGTCGGAGGCCGCTTCAGAGAGACGTACAAAGCAAAAGAGTGCTCTCGGCTGCGCGAGGACTATACAAGGCGTGCAAAGAGTCTCACAAGCTCTGCCGCTATGCCCGAGACACAGTCCTTCCCTCCCGGGTTCTCGACCTCGGTACAACCGAGGCCCCGACCCTGAGGCTCTACGTAAACAACACCGAGGAGCATGGGGAGTACGTCGCACTCAGCTACTGTTGGGGCGGGAACCAGCGAGGCCTCCTGAGAAAGAGAACGCTGAGCAACATGGAGAATGGGATCAGGCTCGAAAACCTGCAGTTGACTGTGCGAGACGCAATCGAGGCGACGAGGAAGCTGGTGTTCAGGTATCTCTGGGTCGACGCGCTGTGCATCATCCAGGACTGCGATATGGACAAGGATAAGGAGATTGCGAAGATGGCCATGATTTACAAGAACGCCGCCGTGACCATCGCCGCCGGGACAGCGAAAAGGGCGACAGACGGGTTTCTTCACATGAAGCGCACGTACCTGCCGAAGGACAAGTTCGACGTTCCGATGCCCGGTGGGGGAAAGGGAACTGTGCATCTCAGGTCCGAGGCGCACGTCCCGGAGCACGCACTGGACGAGCGAGGGTGGGTGCTGCAAGAGTTTCTCCTGTCGTCGAGGATGCTCATCTTCTCCGAGTACGAGCTACTGTGGCAGTGCAAGGAGGTGGAGTTGCGCGGTGTCTTGGGTACCGGCCTCGAGTATCTGCAACCTCAAGAGAACCTCCCGTGGTCTGTTTTCGACGAGGAAACGGAGTCTATATTCGGGGACGAGGACCTGGAGAAGCGCTATATCTGGAGGACCATCGTCGAGCAGTACACCCTCCGCCAGCTGGGCTTCAAAGACGACCGGCTGAGCGCGCTCAAGGGCATCACGAGGGAGCTGGAGACGCTGTGGCGGGACAGCAACCGGTTCGGGTTGTGGACGAAGTGGTTCGTCGAGCTGCTTGCCTGGTCAAAGAGGGGCTGCGACGGAGACGACGAGACAAGGGAGACATCACGCGAGGGCAGGGCGCCGACCTGGTCTTGGGCCTCGGTGAACGGGAGGGTCCGGTTCACGCAAATGTTTGAGAGGGAAGATGCCGTCTTTCAGCAAGTGACTTTGCTGGAGGCGCGGGTGTCGAGGCGTGTCGTCCTCAAGTGCAGGATCGTTGCTGAGGACCAGGTCGACGCTGCAATTTTTGAGGACGACGAAAGTGGCAAAGCTCGGGTAGAGATGTGCTACGACATGGATGACAGTATAGACGAGGTGGGAAATAGGTCTTTGAGTTTTCTGCTTTTGGGGACCATCAGAGAAGATGGGAGACGTTTGGGCGTTGCAATCATGGTTGTTGAAGTTCTGGGAGGTTTGTTCCAAAGGGTCGGGCTGGCAGTTTTCGAGAACACCAATATCTGGAATGACAGTCAGTATCGGAGCATCACACTTCAGTAGACCTATACTGCGGTAACTACTGTCTGGAACGTAATTTGCCATCTTTCACATTGCGTACTACGTTACTGAATTTCTTCACGTGGTTACAAGTAACCGCGGACAGGTGCCGTGACTACAAGTCCGATCTATCCAGGTTTGTTTAGTCGCAGAGGCATGTTTAGGTATGTTGGTCAATAGCCACTTTGTCATGGCCGGTAGCATTATAGTCCAGTTCACACGCAGGGTTATCAATGCTCGCTACGATCCATGCGCCGACTAAAACGAGGAAACCTTCCATGATTCAGGATTCGAAGGGTTCAAAGGTCCATTTTGAAAGGGCCACCGCTCCATACCCCAAGTCAACATCAAAACTGCTCGTAAAATATATGCCTAGAAACGCTGCCAGATGCACCAAAAAAGAGCTCATTCAGCCCACCCACTTTTCTATTTTATATCTTTGTTACCAGAACATGGCCGCCAACAAGAGGGCCGATACTGTGGCAAGCATGCTGCGACCTGTTGCACGTGCCGCCGACGCTGTCCCTGCTGGGACCCCCGACGTCTCGGGTGTCGGACTACCAGGGACGTTTGATCCCGTACTTGGGACTCGGTTCGAACCGGAACTCGAGCTCGGCGAGTTGGTGGTACCGTTGGCGGCCGGCAACGAGCCACCCGGCCCGGCAGGACTGGGGCATAGACCCCGGATGGCCGCAATGTCTTGCGGCTGGTTGATGGGCATCGTCCTTGTGCCGCAGTTGGTGTACTGCGCCAAGTATGCGACGTTGCTGTCGAGGTCGAACACGGCTGTGAGAGGGGTTAGCATCGGGCTCTCCGAGACGAAACAGGGACGACGATGAACGTACCGTAAGCTGAGCGCAGGAAGGTGTCGCCCAGCAGTGTGAAGTCGGCGTTCGGAACGATGCCTAAATAGCAAGTCGGTGGGGTTGTGCGTAGCTCGCGGATAATCTCGCTGTAAGGAACTTGGATCTTCATCCCGTCAAAGTCGAAGTCCACGGTTCCGTTGAGACCAACGAGGTTGCATGAGACCGGATAGAAGCCGTTGGCGTCGATCCCCGAAGAACCAAAATCGGCAGCGATCATGTTGGCGAGCTCCTCGGGGAGAAGGGTGAGGGTGGCGCCGCTGTCGAGGAAGACAGGCATCGAGCTGTTGGCGTACAGACGGGTGCGGCGGCTTGGCGGCGTGAGACTGAGAGATTGCATGTTCACCCAGTACCGGGCGACGCCGTCCGGGGCCTCGTCCGCCGGTATGATGGGCAAGCGTGCGAGGGGACCGGAAAACTTGGATGTGTCGATGCCGCCAAAGATGATGGCGCCTTCTTGCTCATCCTTGGACCCCAGCCCGAGGCTGAATGCTTTGGTGCGGGTGACCCCCTGGGCGGCGAGCTCGTCGATGAGGTTCTTGTACCGGGTGTTGACACCTTCCCCGGCGCCAATGCCGAGGATGCCTGCGAACTGGTCCTCCGAGCTGGTGGCGACACCGAACTGGACTTGGCGCATCGTGGAGCTGGACCCGGCGAGGGCGAGACTGTCGCGGACATACGAGATGTTGGCGGCACCGATACCGTATCGGAGTGTCTTGGTCGTCTGCATCTGGACGGAGGTGGTTGAGCGGGCGGGGTCGTAGAAACCGACGGCTTCGCAAAAGCGCTGATCCGAGGCGGCGAGGACGTTGCAGTCCGGGTTAACCCAGAGCTCAAAGGAGCCGGTGTCAAGCTGAGCATACACCGCTTGGGGAGGTGTGCCGATGTTGACTGAGGAGGGTGAGTTAGCGGAAGATGTCCGTATGGATAGGAGCATGGTGCAGTATGGGGGATTCAAACTTACGTTGGGCGTAGTATGCGACATCAGAACGGTTGGCAAGCTTCGCCTCGACCTGTCGACTAAAAACGCCACGCTTCGTGGAGTGAATAACGGGCAGCGTAACAAAAGCGCCGTTTGCGTCGGCACCATCGACGACGGGCAGGCCGCGCATCGAAATTGGAGGCTTGACCACCGGGGCAGCGGGCAGAGGCGCCAGATTACTATCCAGAATGTCGTCGAGCAGGACCTTGCGCGGTGAGCGCGTGCGCCGTTTCCTCCTCTGATGCGAAGTCACCGGCAGCGTCATCATCATGGATGTTTCGGCATCTTCGTCGGCGGGGAGAGACAGCCCGCGCGGGGCGACATTGGTTTTGTCTTGCGTGGTATAAGGAATGACGGGGAGCGTCATGAGTGGGCTGAAGCCGCCATCGTCTGTCGGTAGTTGAGGCCATGCCCGGGCACTTGTGAGTAGCGATAAAGCCAGGAAGGCGTAGGAAAGGAGCGCCATGCCCGGCGCTGAAGAGAATAATGCGTGCTACCGCGGTTGCCGCCACATGGGAACCGTCTGAATGTGAGTGTGACTGAGCGGATTGGTGGTGAGCGCGCGACTCCAGCTGATGATGGCGACAGTAGATCGTGATCGGACTCGGTTGAAGTTTGGATAGCACCAGGCGAGCGGTCAATTAACGAGTATACGGGTTTCGAACCGGACAAACAAGACTGAGCAAAAGATGGAGAGAAATGAAGACGATCTCGAGAAAGAATATCAAACAGCAAGCGGCTGGCGATCAGCTGCTAGCGCTGCGACGAACCCACCGGGAGTGTAATCGAAGAGAAGAGAAAAAGGCCCATTCCAGACGGCAGACGGCAGACGGTGGACGGCAGACGCAACGCAATGTAAGTCACACACGCTTTGGCTACCAAGAGAATAGAAAGAGAAGATTAGAATAGAAACAGACTCCACCGTCGAGGCAGACAACGGTTGAAGTTTACGAAGAGAATAGTCGGGACAGGAAAGAAAGAGATGACGAACAGAAGGTTGCAGTGATATGAATAGAATCGACATTGAAAAGACCATATGCGTTAGGCCCGAAAGAGTAGACGAACCAAGCGACGGCCTGCCCCGGTTGTCAACGCCAAGGGAGGGGAGAAGCCTAGCCGAAGAGGATAAGGAACCGCTCTTGTCTCGAAATTGGCATGGCTCACACGTTTCTCCCACACTCCATTACGAAGTAGAGTATTCGTACATTGCATAATACATACTCTGCATACCCGTATACTGTGTACATATTCTATCCGTCCAGAATCGATCTCAATGGCTTGTGAACCCCTGCGGGCCATAGTGGTATGGCTTACTGAGTCAAAGAAGAAAAAGCCAAATCCCGCGTACACACGGCTATAACTCGCGCTGACTTGGTACGGGCGACTTTCGCTCCTCGTTTCGGGGTCGAAACGCGCCCAGGAAATGGACGGGCGACATTTCCTCTCAGTCATCCCATCGCCACCTCCGGGGGGAAAAACGCGCAGCGGTGCCACTGCCTCTCTTCGAATGAGTGCTCGTCTCAAACTAGCGAAGGGGGGTGCCAGTCCATTCACTTGGCGGTCTTGGTGTGCTTGGCCACTTGGAAAAGAAAGGAAAGGGTCTGTGAGTGGTCGCGAGAGCAAGACTTCAAACGGTTAACTTCAGGACCTGCGTCACAGGTTTGACTAGGGGTCGTGGGCGAGCTACTCAACAGGGTGGGGGAGACCGGTAGATCAGACAAACCCCTGAGACGAAAGTGGATGCGGAATAGTGTGGGAGCCGCGGCCACTAGGCCTCGACCGGTCATCTTCGACCTCTTTCAGAGCCTTTCACCCTGGTACGGATACAGACAGCATATACGGGTCAAAGGGGCTCTAAGAGGGTCGAGGATATGCGACCCGTAGGGCGGGAGAGGACACTACCGATATCATCAGCCCTGATGATCTGGAGACCTCGACAGTTATTGTTCGATAGGCTTAAAGTTGCCGCTAACCAATCCTGAAAGGGAATCTGAAAGATCTCCGGTGTGTGGGGTTTAGCCTGAAGCAAAGAGCGCATTGAGGCCGATCAAGTTCCAGGACATCATCAGACCATATGTGCTCTTTTCCGCCCATGTCCAAAGGGGTAACTGTTTAGGAGGGGAAGAAGCAGAAGAAGAAGAATAAGAAGAAGCGACAAGACACCACTTGCTCCTCGGGATGTTACTGGAGAACGGAGATGGGAATTGCTCAACACTATCATTGCTCACAGCCTTAGACTTCTTCCGTGCAGCGCCATAGCGGTCCGGTATACCTGCCTATACTATGTACGTATATACATTCCTATTTCGGGGCTCTTCAGTGCCCGTGCTCTTTGCCGTCCGTGCAGAACACCATCGGTTGCGGCAGGGAATCTTGACAATGAATGAGGGGAAGGTTTGGTGGAGAGCGAATGGTTGAGTCGGGTCTTCGGGTTGATCTGCCGGTTTACCAACATCGCATGATCGCGGTACAAAGTCACCTATCGTCTTTGTCTTGATAAAACTATGCTACCGTAGCTATATTGTCTCCCCGAAACGCATATACATAGCCATCTGCGCGGAAGCGATTCCTATCGCGGAGCCGGTCAGCAACTGGCTCAATGATCTGCTTAGTTGGCAACGCACACAATTCCATTGTTAAGGCTGTGCCACCTTGGTATGCTATGCCTCTCGTCTTGAAATGGCGGTAAAAACGCTGCTGCATGATCGTCCGCACTCGGGCATCAAACTTTTGACGAAACAATGACAGATAGACTCGCCAATGGACGTGCGCCAGAAAGACGGGATGTCTTGGCTAGGACATACATCCTCGCCCCCCTCATCCCACGACTGTAGCGAGGCCAAGAACGACACAGTCCCGCAAGTTCCTGCGCTGATATTTAGTGTCTGGTTGTATTCAAACAAACGTCTTCTTATTTCACTGCATCGTGGACCTTGTACCAAGTGGCAACTGATCCAGGCGAGTGCAAAGTACATTTCAGCCAAGCCAAACCGCTTCCAAAGTTCAATACTGGGTCTCACTCTTGACACAAGGATAATTTCCTTCATTCGAACTCAGTTGCGCGATGTTCTTGTTCAAGGACAGCCGGTTTATACTTTAGGAATGCAAATGATGAGGCGACATCCATTTTCCAGGAGCAACACAGTTTGGATCAAGACGCACGGGGGGGGTCCTTGAAAAAAACTGGAAGAGGCCGTCTCTACAGGTGTCGTGGTGGGGAGCGTTGCAACCTCTGGACTAATCGAGATCGAATCAGGACTTCAAAGGGCACTTAAGATGAAAGTACACAAATCAATCCATAACGGGAACGACTGACATCGGGTGGTCACAATCAGTTCCGAAACCTCGGCACTTCGTGAGGCTTTTCAAGGTCGATCATGATGAGATGATGACGGCAATAATCAGAGAAGTTTTGTTGAACGGCAGTTCTTAAGCGCGTCGGTTTTGACGAAGGGAACCCTCTGGAAGGCATTTGTTCGAATTCCAGTGTAAGGTTTTGAGCCTACTCAGATGCGCATCAATATTGGCATCTGAACCGACAGACTTTGTCTCTTCTCTCATTCAGGTCAGACATTGTGCCTCGGAGTATCCTGGGGATATGTCGTGGCTTTCATCATCAATCTATTGGTGTCGACGAAACAGGCCAAGAAAGCGAGGCTCCGTCGCTCATTTCGTGTGTATGCTTGCGCAGTTTCGGGTAAAGTTGAGGCTAGCAACGCCTGCAGCGTTGGGGGAGGGGGGAGGTTGATGCAAGCATAAGAGATCCCGAAACTCTTCGATAGCATTTTTTTGGCCTATTCATGGATATCTTGGCGTAGCAATTGCCATAAGATGTGGATAATAGAGTAAGGAAACAGGGTGCGACTTCAAATAGCTCGATTTTGGCGTACAAAGGGGTCTTGAGGACACACCCCTGAACATGTTTCAAGGCGCAAGAAATATAGTTCCAACCAATGATATATCTTCTACGCCATGGCTTTTTTCCCATCTCCCAATTGCTGTACATTACCCATGTTGCCAACGCCATGAGCACAGCAAAATTCAGTCGCGTGAGAACCAGCAGAGGTGGCGTCGAGTTTAATCGCCAACACCGCTTATCTCAAAAGTGGCCTGTGACAACAGCTTGGCAGGTCTTATGAGCGTTATGACCTGTGTCAGCGAAGAGGCCATCTGCGTGCCCTGAATAACAGCATCAGTGGGATACATCCCCCGACACACGGTGTTATGGGCATGTATGACTTGGAATAAGTTATCATGGATTATTTAAAGCTCATTGGAATTGATGAAACGATAGGGATGTTCTTCTGGCGTATTCCCTAGGTCCTGGAAGCAAAGGTTTGTCAGGGGTCGCCCACAATATCGACGTGGAATTCATCTTATGTTCTAGAAGCCAAGACCTTGGGTCCAGAGCTTGGGCCCAGAGGACTTAGTAAAATGGTAAAGACTGACGCGGTAAATTCAGAGGGCAATGAAGTAGGAAAGAGCTTACTATAGGAGGAGTGCTGGAGGGAAAGGCCACGGGCTGAGGACTTGGGGCTCTACTATCCTACCAGCCAAGCGCAGCGTTTACTGGGCTTATCATAAAGCTAGTCGGACGGAGAAAATTGTCATACATCAAAGACTTCCATAACGTCGAATCAATAGTACTAGTGAATATTCGAGGACAGGGCCTTGGTGTTGGAGATCACGAAATCGTTTGATGGCTGCAGTTACGTTTTCGAGAATCCAAGTTGAGGCGCTCTAGGGCATATTAAAAACCCTAGCAGAGTCACGATACGTTTGGAACGAGGATTAGCATCTTGTTGAGCGCAGAAAGTACAACATATGGCAACAATCGCCAGGATTCAAAGCTTTTCATTCATAGTTTCCTGCTTTGCGATGCATCTTTGGAGATGATGCAGCATAACGTTATGGCTAATCGTTGCAAACGTAATCATCAAAACCACGGCGCCCACTTACACTCGTGCTTATAGAGCAAATGATGTGTGGGCCCTACAATGGCAGCCCTTCTCACCTTAGCAATCGCCGCGGATGAAATATCTCCACCATTCTTAACGAGTACAAATACATCAACCAGAATGCTTTACCTACCGTTGTTTAACTACAGCCTAACATTACGGTGATCAAACATCGATTGAGACGACCTTTGAAAGTCCCAGTCGCCATGGCTTCGTCAATGCCCAGCACTATCAAGCAGTGGAACGTTGTTGGCCAAGAAGGCTTTCAATCCCTCAGGTTCTCGGAACAGACATTGCCTGAGTTTGGTGACAGTCAAGTTCTGGTGAGATGTTAGTCCACCTGCTAATATGTTGAAAATCTCCTCAAGCTAACCTCGATCAGTGCAAGGAGCCACCTTGAATGTGAGTATCTCTTAATCAAAAAGACACCAGACTAAAATCTATGTAGTTCCGCGATATCGTCATCCCTCATGGGAAATACCCTTGGGACGTCAAGTCCAACGTCGTGCCCGGATCCGACGGCGCCGGCACCGTCTTGGCCGTTGGGAAAGATGTTACTCGATTCAAGCCGGGCGACAAGGTCATCACTGTTCTGAGCCCCGTATATCTTGGAGGACCTGTAACCGACGGTATTACAAAATATGGACTTGGCGGCAGCATCGATGGCACTTTCCGCACCGTCGGCGCCTTTAGCGAGCAAGGACTTGTGTCGATGCCCGAAGCCCTGACCTTCGTCGAAGCTGCTTCGCTCACTTGCGCCGGTGTGACTGCATGGAACGCTCTCTTTGGATTGGCCGGGAAACGAGTCTCGCCAGGCCAATGGGTTCTTACACAGGGCACCGGGGGGGTGAGCACCTTCGCAATTCAGTTTGCCAAGGCCGCCGGGGCGAGGGTCATCTCTACCACGAGTTCTGCAGAGAAGGCGAAGATCCTCGTGGAGCTTGGCGTCGACCACATCATCAATTACCGCGAGACAGCCGACTGGGGACTGGAAGCGAAAAGGCTGACAGGAGGGTCTGGCGTTGACCTTGTCGTTGAGATCGCGGGCGCAACAACATTGGGTCAAAGCCTCGCGAGCGTGAAGCTTGATGGCACCATCGTAACCACTGGCTATGCTGGCGGTGAAGCAAAAGGTCAGAATATGCCGACGTTCTTGGACTCTTGGCTCAGCCTTGTCACGGTTCGAGGGGTTTGGGCTGGTAGTCGCTTGCAAATGGAGGAAATGTGTAAGGCTGTTGATGCCCAGCCGGACAAGCTCCGTCCCGTCATTGACTCCAAGGTATTCAAGCTAGAGCAGATCAAGGATGCTTATGAGTACTTGGAGTCAGGAAAGCATCAAGGAAAAGTTGGGATTGAAATTGAGTAGAATTCATTGCAGCATGTCAAAGTTGCAAACCCCGACTGTCCTTCGATGACCAGCACACCACGCGCCTTGGTTATTTCAACAAAAGAGCAATATGGATAGCATAACAAAGCTTGAAGATATGTTACCAGATGCGACTAATAAGCAGAATTATAGCCCATCTGCACGAGTGTGATCGTGATATGATCGTGGTCGTCCACCAAGACGATATAGATAGTAATAACGACAAAACTTTGTACATACAACTATACCCACTGGAAAACTCAGGATCCCGTCCGCTCTCCTATAGATAAGCCAGTAAGGGCAGTCTTATCTACAGGAGACTATACTATGCTAGCAAATCTTCATAGGAAACAGAGTAGGCTTACGATTATCTTATAGTAAGTCGCCGCTTTCTAGTCATACGTATGAGACGCTTTCGTCCAGGTAGGAGACTTATTTATAACGCTAGTAGATATGGTCATGTCGGGAGCATTGATGCCGTGGGCTGCTGCTTCATCTCGGGGCGGATCTGGTTTTTGAGGAACTTGGGGTGGTTGAAGGTCTTCTCATAAAGTTTCTGTAACATTACCGTTGGGTATCATGTGGATTATTACCTTCAGGTATCATGTGGATTAGTACCTTTAACACAGACGCCGGCCTGGGTCTCCAAAGGCTTGGTAGTATACACTATTATTATTGGTTATTCCGGTAGTTAGCGCTGTTGGAAATTGTTGCAATATTGGATAGACCCGAAGAGATGTTTGATAGCCTCGACAGATCAAGTGGATTCAGGTAGAATTCTTCCCATCAGGGTGTCTTTGCTCAGCCACGCTTGAACTCAAGGGACAAGATTTCCAAACTTTAGTTGATAATTCAGAACCTTTTCTTCTAAGCAAACTTGATAATGTGCCTTTGTGACTCACATGCCCAGATTGTAAGTCTCTGCCCCCGATCGGACCCTTATATATCAAGCTTCTTTCCTGCTATTCCACGCATCCGACAGTTATTGAATGTCATTTCATTCCACAACAATCACATACACTCACAGCAAAAAGTCCTACCTACGTTAATCATTTTAGCGCTGAAATCATTCAGGTGCTCGGTCTATCACACCATGTCTCAGCTACGACGCTCCGGATGGGATGGCTTGCCACCAGAGATCCGGCTTCTCTCTTGAAATGCCTGATACAAGACCGTTGCAAACTGTGGTCTTTGGCCACGGCGTGTCGAGTGTGGCAAACAGAGATCGAGCGATATAACTTCGCTCGACTCAGACTGACTCCCTCACGTCTGGTCAATTTCAGTGCGATGGTTCAAAGGAACCGGGCTCTCGTTAGATACATCTGGTTCTGCTTGGAACTTGATGATTACGATTGTACCACGTGCGCACCTGACCACCGAATACTCGAAGAAGAGGAGTATGCAAAGGCACATGAGATCAGCGATACAGAGAAATGTCCCATCACCGTGGGATTCCGGGATCTGTTTTCGATTCTCAGCACATGGGATCTTCACGGCGATCTGACACTCGATATCAGTATCTACTCACCTAGCGACTCGAAACATTGGTTTCCATATCTGACCTTTATGCCCGATGTCCCTTTGGATACGCCGGGTGATTGTAACCTAGAGAAGGCGACACCAAGCCGGGACCACCATGACCCTCAACATGGCTGGATTGCCGGTTTTCGACACTCGGCCGCACCCGAATCTGCGATCTCGAAATTATTTTATCCAGTCATGGATCGGGAGCCGTTTGATAGTGATGAGTTGGAGCTCCAATGGTGGGATCAGCTTCCTTCTGTTCCAGCTGTAACCAGCTTACTTCTCCGGCAACAGAGCCGTTGGAGATGGAAGTCGGATTCGCTGGCACGTATGTTTGCCCGGTTCCCCAGGCTTCAGGCAGTATACTACGAACACTGGAGGGAATGGAGCGGCTGGCAGAACGTTACAGATAGAGGTGAGTGTTGCTGCGCAACCCTCGAATTCTTTCATGCTGTTGCCCGCCCTGAGCTGTGTAGGTTCCCATTTGCTAACAATCCGCTTCATCTTTCTAGGTTACCAACATCTTTTCGAGTCTATCCAACGATGCAACGATAGCCTCAAGAGGCTCGTGGTATTTGAGAACTTTAATCAACAGTACCCAGCTATTGCACAGCGATTTCGTGGGGAAGACGAATATATAGGGTTGACCAACTTTCGCAAACCCAACCGCGCTATTAGCCAGATGGTTGCGCTCGCCAGCCTCAAGCTTGAGCATCTCGCAGCATCCTTCATCGCGGATGCCAGTTATTTTTTGGAGATCCATCCCACTTGGAAGTGGCCCAACCTAACCTCACTTGTTCTCACTTCAAAGTTACTCACACCCCATAAGGATCCGATCGAGATTGGAGCCATGCTTCGGGTAGCAGCAGCGTGCTGAGGGATAGAACACAAAGAAAGACACAAAGAAAGACAAAAAGAAATGTATGTTTCTTACCAGTTAGTTGGCGCCGTAGCCCCTAAGATTGCCTCGCATCATCAACTACAACGTTTGATTCCATTGGCGGCATGACAGAGACGAGAAGGGTTCTGCTGGAGACAATCGAGTACCCAACGAGATATGCACCAATTTTCGCCCAATGCCCCCTTCGGCTCTGGTCCGGCCTTCTTCTCTACGGATACCCAGGATGTGGCAAGACTCTTCTGGCGAGCGCTGTTGCCGGCGAGTGTGGCCTGAACTTTATCTCCATGAAGGGTCCCGAGGTTCTGAACAAATATATCGGCGCCTCCGAAAAGTCCATCCGGGACTTATTCGAGCGTGCAGCGGCCTCGAGGCCCTGCGTGCTCTTCTTTGACGAGTTTGATTCGATTGCTCCGAAGCGAGGAAGCGACTCGACGGGCGTAACAGACCGGGTCGTGAACCAGCTTTTGACTCAGATGGATGGTGTGGAGGGTCTATCTGGCGTTTATGTCCTGGCTGCTACGTCCAGGCCTGATTTCATTGACCCTGCGCTTCTCCGTCCAGGTCGTCTGGATAAGTCGCTCTTATGCGATCTGCCGCACCTCGAAGACAGGGTTGACATTCTCAAGTGTCTTTGCCGCAAAATGAAGGTCGCGGAAGAACTGGCGGCCGAACTTGACGAGAAACTAACGGAGGTGGCGGCCAGAACACAAGACTGTTCCGGAGCAGACTTGCAGGCCCTCATCTCCAACGCACAGTTGGAAGCCATCCATGAGTACCTTGGAGACAAAGATTCCATCTCTCGCCCGGCGATAAAGGCTAATACAATGGCTCGAGGCGTCGAGGCGACGCGGAGGACAAGCATAGTTCAGTTTCGATTCGGCGAGAGCGACAAACTGCTGGACTCGGAATCTAGTTCAGGCACACGACAGAACCAACTCCGAAAAATCGCCGAGTATGAGGAGACCATGGCGAGGCTGCGTTCTAGAAAAAAGTCAGCCCGAGCCGCTCGCCGTGGACTACAACCCCAAAACGATAAGAAGTCGATGGAGAAAGAGGACAACAAACCTGAAGTCCTGCTGGCGTGGAGGCATCTGGAGAGATCCCTTCATCTGTCGCAGGCGAGTATCAAAGCGGATGAAAAACAGCGGCCGAGTTTAGTATATCACGAGTTTGTTAATGGAAGGGCGACTGAGTTGAGAAATGGCCAAGGGGGGACAGCTGTCGGGAGCCGAGGGTCGTTAATGTAGAGGAAGTAATACGCTGCGGTTTTCAGTCGCAGTTTTGAATTGAAGTCACAACTAGTTCCAGTGTTCGTATCCATCTTGGAAACACCGTAGTATAACCTCCGCAGTTATTGCCTAGGAACCAACGCTTAGCTAGGAGCGAGATTGGACCCCGCAGCTGAGATGCTTCCTTGCGCTTCGGACGTGATTCAGAGCCTTCCTATGACGAGAGGTACACAGAGAGATGGCGTCATCTACTTGTCCATTGAAGATTCCGGTGGCTGGCCTAATCATTGACTAATATACTAGATCATCCGAGTTTTGATGAAAATGAAGCATGATGACAAGAGTCTTGAAAAGAAGATCATGTCCGGACGAAGCTGAGCCGATGCGCATGTGCGACGTGGAAAGTCAATGGTCTTTTCAGCCAGTCAGCGACAAAGAATTGACGCAGAACGTCCCGAACCTTTCTAAGCACCATGCGGGGTCAACACTCTTGATTACGTCCAACAGGCTATATCTATGTAGGCGGCGAGCCCCGCCACTTGAAACAGAACTCGTAGCCAGGGCGTTATGAGGGACGAATGCCTGGAGCATCTTCATCTATGGAGGAAACTCGGTAGCCTCGACTTGTGTCGAGACGGAGGTTGTCCTGTTGATTGTGGATTAGTGGAATCATACCCGTTTGACCCGTGTCTGGTTACCGGCTTGACGCGTATACGCCCCTCACCCCCGAGAAATTAGACAGATACTACCATACGAATTAGTCAACTTCAACACAAGGCTGCTTTCTCTACCATCAAGTACGTTTCCCCTCTCGGCCAATTGCTTATCGTAGCCGGCTGCTATTGAATTCATATTCAAGTGCCGGCTTTTCCATGCCCTGCATGCCCCGGCATGAGCAACAAAGCTTTTCCTATACAGTCATGATGCCTTGCCTAGGTAGGGTATTCTGTCTGTTGATCCCTGATGGATGCCGTCTAGCGAGATGGGCATATCCACCCACTCGACTTGCTAATGCGAGTTGCTCCCAAAGGGCTTTGGCCATTCGTTCGGACGGGACAGAAGAGGGGTCTCTCCAAAGATCCCCCAATCGTTGAATCAACACTCTATCTGCGGGATTGCGGCGCAATGGATCTGGAGGGTATATAATACTTTCGCTTGGCACCTTACCTAGTGTTTCTCCTAGTCAGTTGCCAGTTCTTAACACGACCCAATACAGGGTTTGGTCCATTAACGTCGCCCTCTTGTGTGTGGCTTTTTGCCCGCCCCCCACGCCATGATGGCCAGGCTTTTTGCCCCTGCTGTTACATCTCTGCTGTCCGCCTTTCTCGTCGCGGCAGCTCCAACCAAAGACGTAAGATGGCTCATTCAATGGCGCCCCATCGCGTCTGCCCGGAACGGCATTTAGATTGACCCACGTCGTGTTCCAGGCTGGCTGTGTTGTGACTGAATATGCCGGAATCGCCAATGCGGTCGCGACCTGCACCGAAATCACGCTCCTGAACATTGCCGCGCCGGAGAACAGCCCCATCGATCTCCGAAACCTCCAGGAGGGAGCCACCGTCACGTTTGCCGGCACGACCGTACGTCCCTAGGATAGATACCCTGCCGAACGCGGGGTCTCGAGACCGTGTACTGACTTGAACTTGTCGCATAGACCTTTGCCACCACAGTTCGCAAGGACTTCGATCCCATCACTATCTCCGGAACTGGCATTACTGTCACCGGCGCCCCGGGGCATGTGATTGAGGGCAACGGCGCAGCCTACTGGGATGGTCTGGGATCCAACGGCGGAGGCGCCAAGTAAGCAAACACTTTCCATTAGGAAACAAAAAAAACAAAACAAACAAACCGCACCTCATGCGATTGGAGCTGACCTGCAGAACCAGGCCAAACCATTTCGTCGTCGTCAAGAATACCATCAACGCCAGGGTCACCAACCTGAACATCAAGAACTGGCCCGTTCACTGTTTCTATATGCCGGGGAACCAGGGCCTAATCGTCTCGGGCATCGTGTTAGACAACTCGGCTGGCGACGCACCCAACGCCAAGAGCGGCGGCCTCGCTGCCGCTCACAACACTGATGGCTTTGGTATCAGCTCCAGCGACAATGTCCTGCTGGAGAACATCAAGGTTCACAACCAGGACGACTGCGTCGCCGTCACCAGCGGGACCGGCATCGCCGTCAACAACATCTACTGCTACGGAGGCCACGGCATGAGCATCGGTTCCATCGGCGGCAAGAGCAACAACACTGTCGACGGCGTCATTTTCGCCAACTCTCACATCGTCAATAGCTCCAATGGCTGTCGCATCAAGTCTAACTCTGGCACCACTGGCGAGGTCAGCAATGTCGTCTACAAGAACATCACCCTCACCGGCATTGACACCTACGGCATTGACGTCCAGCAGGACTACCTCAACGGGGGCCCTACCGGCGAGCCCACCAACGGTGTCAAGATCTCCGGCATCAAGTTCATCGACGTGACCGGCACCGCAACTGGCGGTGCTTACAACTACTACATCCTTTGCGGTGACGGCAGCTGCTCTGACATTACCTTTCAGAACACCAAAGTGACTGGCGGCGGCAAGGGGGGTAGCTGCAACTTCCCTGCCAGTGGGTGCCCGTCATAAGCCCATTTTGATTCGCAATCTCATTCATAGCATATATTACGACTGGCCCGCACAGCCCACAACATGAGGAGCCTACCCTCTTAGTCGAGAGTAACAAGTGCACATAGACTTAGTGCTTAATTGTATATACTCTCTTGGACGCCATCGGTTTCCCATACATTCCCAGCCTTCTAATGAAAGCTTATTCTATCCCGTGCACGAGAACCGTTCATCCGCACCGTCACCCCGGGCCCTTGCGAGGGACTTATAGAACCTTTGGGGAATTTTGATTCGGCTTCATCAGCGATTGGAGCTACCCTCGATGCGGAAGCCATCAGGTAGGCCTGTGGTTCATGAAGGTTCCAGAAGATAAGTTGCTCACTCCCTTACAATTTTGTAGAGAACATCCCGGCTAGTAGACCCGGGAGTCTCTGACGTAGAACCAACTTCGATGGGTACATCATGGTTGCTAGTTGCTTCCACATATATGTTGGAACCCTCTCGGTTGGCCATGGTGCTGACACGATCGCTGCCAGATGATTCTGCTGTCTGTAGACATCTGGTTGGTGGAATTCCGTCTCCTCTTCTGTTGGGTGGTTTCCATACTATAGGTTCGTTTCTATCCGGTGATTTTGCTGTCTGAAGATCCTCCCCCCCTGTTCTAGTCTCGTCATCATCAGTCTCTTTCGGGCTTCTGGTTCGATCAATGCTAGTGCCGCTGGAGATTTCATGACAGCACGGAATAGCGTGAGATACATGTTGATGTCGTTGTCAAACGGCATCATACCGAGTTCTTCCAACTCGATAAAGCTGGTAAGAGTTAGGTCGCTAGCTGTAGATGAAGGCGCTTTATTGTAGACTTGTTCAATCGCACCGAGACTCGTTTTATGATATTTCTAATGCCTAGCCGCGTACGAAACAGCCCCTCTCCCGGCAATGTGACATCGCTCTACTCTACGTAATCGAAGCCATGTCAATCGCAGCGTTGATCTAAACACGCAGCAGTGCATTCGTTCAAGTGAGCACAGAGTAAGATGTTCAATTCAAGGCCATTGCCTGAACTCTCAGCCACGTAGGGACGCTTACACCTTCCTGATAAAAACATGTAAGTCACGGGCGACAGTTGAGCGGCATGATTGATACAATATACTGCGAGGCAGGAGTGTAAAAACTGCAAAAATTGAAAGGGACGAGACTCGAACTCGCGCGGGTTGCCCCACCAGGAAACAGATGTTAAGCTGACCTTAACCTGGCGCCATAACCAACTCGGCCACCCTTCCGTGATGTGATCCTTGACGAAATCGTCGGGATCGGTTGTGCATGTCGCAAAGATGCGGTTCAGACCCTCATGTTCTCGGCAGTATCGTGGCGTGGGCCAGCTTAGGGCTACGGGCCATGAGATAAAAAGAGACCCACCGGCATCGACAAGTGGGTTTTGAGCAGGCCCGCCATCTCGGAGAATACAGATGTGTGGCAAAACCTTGTTTGGTATCATATTCGACGAAGCACGCTCCGAGCAGTCGAGATCTATACTATACTTGAGTTTGGGGGAAAGTTTCACGACTGTTTGATGCTTTCGTCTTGACGAAAGAGGCCCGCCATTCCTTTGCCTTTGGGTGCATCTACTGACTATGTCTCTACTATAAACACAGCTCAGCTAGCATAAATCATAATGAGACATATGCCCGACGACTGAACCTTTAACTCCATTTTTGACTACAGACGTCTCTGTAGCTTGTTGAGAGGATTTGGATCATGAGAAGGGCCTGAAACGTCATTTGGCACGGCTCGACATAAAAGCGCAGAGGTCTATGATGCCTCGCCACTAAATGAGAACATCTCTTGGACGGCGTCGTCTCTGGGTCGAGTTTTGGGACACATTTGCGGATTCGTGTGCATCGCGACGAATGTCTAAAATGACGCGAGAGAAGGCGCTTGATAAAGCGTATCGGGTCTTCCAAGGAGAAAGCGCAGCGAGCCATGGGTGGTGCCATGGAGGCCAAGCGGAAGGCTTTAGATGGGCATCAAGCAGACCGCACCCCAAACACGAGACAAGATACTGGTAGCTCACTGGTTGGTGGTCGGGAAAAGCTCACCAGGCAGACAAGGTAGTGGCAGCAGGCACCGACTCCATAGCCTCCCAGACCGCGCTGGCGATCTCGGACGGCGTCATGAAGGATGCCGCTTTAGTCGACATGGCCAGGGCCGGTGTTGATGCTGGGGAGGCCGCCGTCGATGGACGATTACGTAGATATTAGTCTAATCCCCTATATAACCCAACCAGTAGGAACGATGCCAGCGAGAGCGTCCAGCCTTTAAAGTTTCGGTTCGATCCTTTGCTCGTTTTGTTTCCGATGCCTCCCCCCTCTCCCGTTGGGAGGCGTTTCTCGAAGCAACGTCGAGGAAAACGGCCGCCGGTTGCGGCAAAAGTGAGCGGCGCTAACAAGCGGTGGAGGGGGGGACAGCGGGTTGAAGGCTTGGCGAAAGAGAGAGCCCCGAACTCTGTTTACAAGGGGACGGGCAAACAAACCTCTGATCCCAGTGCTCAGTAATTTCGGACCTGGGGATCCGGCTGGGGTCCGAAGAGAACGTCATTCCGCTACCGAGATGCAGAGTTGCCAAAAATAAAAGACATCTCATCTCCCCGTCCGGAGGAACGAGAAGAAAAGAAGGTTGACTGTTTAGATTTTTCCATCGGCCCACCTTAGCCCAAAGGCCTAGATGCCATGTTGTTCAATGATCACCGCCAGGGGAATGGGGGGAGGGGGTGTGGGTGGGAGAGGAAACCAGGAATGCCACACAATAAACAACAAAAGAAATAAAGAGCAGGAAACCCGTCCACAACCTTGCTCTTCCCACAAGAAAGCCAAGTTTCTTGTGCCATCAGCCCAAGAGCAGGCTCTCTTCGCCCAATTTCCCCATCCCCCCACGCCTCTCTCTCTCTCTTCTCTTGTCGTGCCTTGATTCGCTATATTCAACCAGAGCCAACCGACCCTCATCCCCTCCCCCCAAGGCTATGCCAAGTTTTCGCCCTCCCTCCCTTCCCGTCAGGCTTTGCTGGGCCCGGCTCCCTTTCCCGTTTCCAAGGTTAACCATGTGTTGCCGGTTTAGCGCCCAGGTACCGCCGGGGCGTGATTCGCTGCGTGCCTGGGACACTGGCTTGGTGACATGTCGCTGAAGAGAGACATTTCCTTACGTAGTTGTACCTGTCTAATTGCGCGTGATCTCCCGCCCCAGTCGTTCAATCCGAGCATTCGCGGCTACCAAAATCACGAGTCCAGTTGCAACCCTCCCCCTAAATTTAGGTCGCCCGCTGCGCCTGGATATGTGGCACCCAAGGCCCCCGGACGAGCCAGGCAATACGAACCAAGGAAGGGGGGGGGGGGGGGGGGAGAAGCCGCCTGGCCAGTCCTAGTGCGCCCTACCTCTCGGACGATCAACGCCAGCTCATTTCCGGGCTTTCTGGGGGTGGTGTGGGATTGGGGAAGAGGCTTGGTTGGGTGTGGCGTGGCCCCGAGAGTGCGACGCCAAGCCAAGGTTCATGGACGCGGCCCGCGACGGTGCTCACCGACGAGTCAGGCCCTGGAAATAAGGGTAAACAACGCCCTCGGCCCCTCGCGGGAATCGAGATGACGCGCTCGGTCTGAGACCCGCCAAGTCACTCTCACCGGCGGTGAAGAGGCCATCACATTATCAGAACTTAGGGTATGTCGAGCAGTTTCCGGGGTTTCTCTTTTTTTTCCTGTTCTTTTATTCTTCACAATTTTGAAATGAGTGGTATGGTATAATCGTTTCATTTTCTTCTTCAGTCTATGCTCGATCTATCCATGACTATGATACCGGAAATAATAAGAAACAAAACCACATATGTCCATAGTGTGAGAATCAAAAAAAGACACCTTGCCAATGCGCTAGAATTTTAACCGAAACTTCTCAACACCCCTTGAGATCATCATCTCTTAGTAGAGGAGAGCCAAAGCGCCGATGACGGCGGCCAGGGTACCGGTGGTGAGGAGCTGGAGGCCAGAGGCGGAGCTAGCCACGGTGCTGGGCGTGCTCGCACCAGCGCCGGAGCCGGAGCCGGAGCCGGAGCCGGAACCAGATGAGCCGGAGCCAGAGCTAGAGCCAGAGCCAGAGCCCGAGGCGCCACTAGGGGAAGGAGAGCCGGTGGAGACGGTGTCGTTGCTGCTGCCGCCGGACTTGCTGCCGGAGCTGGCGCCGGAGGTGGAGCTGGGCTTAGCGGTGGCAGTGCCAGAGACGGACGCGGATGAGGTGCCGGTGGGGGTGCTAAAGGTGGTAGGGCAGGTGAGGTTGAACTGCGGGGTGGTGGACAGGTTCTCGGTGATGGCGAACTTCATCGTGTTGTCGGGGTTGGAGTCACGGAGGTTGTACCAGAAGGTGGGGACCTTGTTGAAGAGCTTGCGGCAGCCGACCTCGTCCCAGTAGATCTTGGCGTTCTCCGGGCTGGGGACAGCCTGATCCCAGTTCTCGCCAGTGACGGGCCAGCCGGTCTCAGTGACCCAGACGGGCTTGCCGCCGGCGGTGGCAACGGTGGCAGCGTAGGCCTTGTCGAAGAGGCTTCCGGCGTTCTCGATGCTGTTGCCCTTGCCGTTCTCGTAGTAGGGGTACTCGTCAACGCCGACCCAGTCGATGGCGTCGAGGACGGGCTTGTTGGTGGCGTTTCCCCAGACGTCCCAGGTGTCGACGTGGCCGATGGAGACCTTGGACAGAGGGGTGTCCTTGAAGGCCGTCTTGAAGTCGTTGATGAAGCCGACAATGGTCTCGGGGTCGGCGCCGACACCCGACTTGTTGGTGACGCCGGTGACGGAGTTGCGGTACAGGTCCTCGGAGCCGATAGAGGCACCGATGATGAGGTCTGTCAGCTTGGTGCCGTACTGGGTAACGGCCTTCTTCAGGGCGCTGATCTCCTTGTCAATGTTATCGGTGCCCGAGGCCCAGACACCGAGCAGGATGTGCGTCTGGGTCTCGATGGCGGCCTCGAAGGCCTGGATGGGGTCGTCGGTGGAGTAGGCCTGGATGTTGGTGTAGAGGCGGACGGCATTGAAGTTGCCGGGGGCGCCAACGAGATTCTGGGCCGTCTTGAACTCGGCCTCGAAGTCGGCCTTGAACTTGGCGGAGCGGTCATCCTTGGTGGCACCCGAGTTGAAACCCAACCAGTTCTGGGCCTCGGCGGTGGCAGCGAGGGCCGTGAGGGCGGCGAGGGAAATAGAAGCCTTCATGTTGATGGTGGATTTTTTGTGTGGTTTGTTTTGGTGTTTTTCCTGTTTACCTTGACGTTCGAGCGGGTGGTATCGCGGCGTCGAGTATCTTGGTTCGGATCGACGAGTGGAAAAACAGGTCCCAGGAGCAAAGTTTCAAGTTGAATGGTCGAGCAGGGAAAGACCGTTTGGAAGATATTGTCCAGAGACTGTTTAGCTGTGACTAAAACAATGGGAAATAAAGAGTGTATGGAGTTGGTGTTGTAAGTCGTTGACCCAAAAAAGAATGACTGGGAAGGTTGAAGGGATGAATAGGAAGAGGTGAACAGGCAATGGGGAGTGGGACAAAGATGACTTTATTATCGGCTGTGGATGCCAGAGATGTGCAGCGTACCTGCCTACAGTACCTGCGCAGTAGTGTACGTACCGATGCACCAAGAGGCAGGGACAGACTGGGGAAGGGGTGAAGGAAAACAATGACGGTCGTATTGGCACGTTAGGAAATTAAGGAGGCCAGCCAGGGGGCGTGGGTTTAGAGTGGGACATCGGACGGGGGGGTGGGGTGGGGTGGGGTGGATATCATGTCCACTGCCACAATGCTATCTGGGAACAAGTGCAGAGCATCACGTGATGGTCTCAGGAACAGACGGACCCTTCCTTCCTCGCCCGGTTGTGATATGCAGTACGTACCTTTCCGCATTGGACCCACCTACCTAGGTCGTCGTGTATAAAACCTGAGGCCACAATGTCCTAGCTAGGTTAGTCAGCATCGCCGCTGTTGCTCAGGCTTGCCTCACCCGTGCTCAGTGCTGTTTTAACCTGGCTCCTGGTGTCCTTCACATCTAGGCGCCTGTTGCCCGGCTCTTGCGGCAAGATGATGATGACGATGATGGTATCATTTAACGCCCGTCAGGTCCATCTGTGTGGCACAAGGTGTCCGCGCAGTCTATCTACTACTGCTAGCCCAGGTCTCCTCTACAGAAGGTGGCTTGGGCGAAACCACGCTGCTCTTGCGGCATGTTTGTACATATCGGCTCGCTCCTGTTTCTTCTGCTGCTAGAAGCTGAATAACGGATGCTTCAAATAATGAGAGGGTCACATGATATCAATTCCTCACTCTATATCACTAGCCATGCCCAGTATTAGACTTTGTAGCTTTGCTTCAGGGCGTGATCCGTCGGTCCAGTCGGCGTGGCCGTAGCCGGCCGATTTTAGCATCTTCGCCCAAGCCTGTGGTGACTGCAAGGCGTGCTGTCGGCCATCGTCAAATCGCCACCAACCCTCAAACAGTCCGAAACAAACATCAGCCCACGGCATTTGCATAGTCAGCTCGTGGAAGATGAGGAAGCCGTCTGGGCGCAGCATCTTGTGGATGTTCTTCAACGAGGATTGGGCGTTTGTGGTCGTATGCACAACGTTGGAGCCCAGGACGATATGTTGGCTGCATCGCAGCTCCTGCGGTGGTTCCTTCTCAATGTCGACAACTCTGAACTCCACGAACGGGAACTGCTTGAAAGCCGAGGAAGCCTGCGTCACGAGGCTTGGACTGATGTCGGTCATGGTGTATACCGTGGGAACGCCCAGACGAGCCAATGTAGGTAGCAGTACCGAGGTTGTCCCTCCCGTCCCGGCCCCGACCTCCAAGATTCGCAAAGGCTGGCTTGGAGCTGACCAACCGGCGGCTACCTCTTCGATAAACGTTTTCAGCGGCTGCAGGAGGCTGTTTGTTGCGTCCGAGGTGGCATAGAGCTTGTTCAACAGCGAACGGCTCTCAGCGGCGTCAAATAGCAACTGGACAGCATCAACCTCACCAGAGAGGCATTTGCCGTAGCTTTTCCCAATCGTCTGCATGAGCTTGATCTCCGCGTCCTGGGAAGGTCTATCACGCAGCAGGCTGTCCAACAGGGAATCAATGTCGCTGTCGGGACAGGCCTTGGAAGTGCGAGTAAGGTGGTTCCCGTCGTCCAAGATCAAACCAGCTCGAGCCTCTAAGACGCGATAGATATAGTCCACTAGTCTCTTGTGCTCTGCCGCAGGCCGGACGCGCGAAAGCTTGTCTCCAGATGCTGCCGATCGGATCGGGCAGCCCAACTCCTCCAGGGCATTGCAAAAGATTGCAACAGCGATGTCCTCGGACCTCGGTAGGAACTCTGACGAGTAGGTGTCGAGGTTGTTCGCAGCAATGGACTGATCGGTGCGGCTTTTGATGTCCGAGAAGGCATCCAGAACGGCGTACGCATCTAAAGACATGATGACGGATGTTGTGTTTCAAGTAGAGGAATTATTTTCACTACATGAGTAAGGATACAAGATGGCTGAAGTCTTTAAAAAGGAGTCTTCTTTGGCGGACAAATTGTACATGGCCTTCCCAGATGCGTCGTATTACATGCATTTCATCGATGGGATGACATTGGCCGTAGCAGGTAGAGTAAGCGAGTTCTGGTATAATTAACACTAGGTAATTGTCTACCGCAGTTATTGTGGGATAAGCATAAATGTAAGCGTACCAGTCATCGCAGGAGGTGCTCACATTAGCTAACCGACGGTGGTCCTGGATTTACTTTGATTACAGCGTAGTTGGCAACGACGGGTCTTTGAAGGTGCGTAAGGAGACGTATTTCCTGAACCAATCTATCAATATATCAGAATGGTGGTGACTGTCGAACTCATTTCCGCAAGCCATGAGGCCGAGGGACCCCTACCATCCCAGGTTCTGAGAGAACGGTGATAGTCCATGCTATGAAACGCGCACTACTGGTATTACATTACATGTAAGCTGGATAAGCAAGATTCGCGCTTTCGGTAAGCATTTGCCAAACCGCGTAGCAGACAAGCAGACCGTTTTCGTCCGTGATTTCATGTTGCCCCTTCTACTCTTTCCTCGCAATGTAACGAAACCGCACATGAAGTAATCGCTACAAACCATCGACCGTATCAAAGAGCAAGATGCAGGCCCCATACTCTATCAAGCCCGAGGGCCGAATCGGAGACGCAACGCTCTCTCCGGCGACCGACCCGCGCTTTCATCCCAAGCTGGTGGAAGCCCTGGCGACCCAAGGATGGGAGAAAAACCTGCCAATTGGCATCGCTGACGAGAATTCGCCCTTTGAACAGCTGACGAAGGAAATGCGAGCCCAGCACTACGGCTTCTCGGAAGGCTTTGCTGCGTTACCGAACGACCTAGTACAGGATGTCAATGAACCGCCCGTCGACCGCACCACCTACGTAGCGAAGGGGGCTGATGGCAACGACGTCAAGCTGTATTTATTTCGGAAACGTGGGACGGAGGGCCAGGTTCTGCCCTGCGTCGTATACAGTTCGTATAGCCGCACCCTATTTCAACGAAAACAAGAGATTTGAGTGCTCACTCTCACGCTAGTCCACGGCGGAGGCATGACGACCCTTGACACGTTGCGACCCGGTAACGTTCGCTGGCTTACTGACCTCGCCCAGCGAGGCGTGGTGTCCATTGCGGTCGATTTCAGAAATGCCTGGTCGGAAACCCAGTACAACCCTTTCCCAGCCGGCTTGAACGACTGCGCCGAAGGCGTCAAGTACATCGCCTCGCACAAAAACGAGCTCGGCATCGGCAAGATCGTCTTGGAGGGCGAGAGCGGTGGCGCGAATCTCTGTCTCGCGACGGCGCTGAAAGCAAACCAGGAAGGCTGGGTCGAGGACATTGACGGCGTCTACGCCTACTCGCCGAACGTGTGTAACGTGTACGGCTGGTCGACTGAGCGGATAGCGCGGGAATTCCCAAGCCGCCTCGCAAACGACGGATACATGTTCGACACGGCCGGTGCGGGCGCCATGCAGAGCTACTACGCACCCAACATCCCGGATCGGACTCAACCGATAGCGTTCCCGTACTACGCAACTGTTGATATGTGCCGGGGCCTGCCGCCGCACATCATCAGGGTTGACGAGCTGGATCCGCTGAGGGATGAGGGCATCGCGTACCACCGTAAGCTGTGCGCGGCAGGGGTGGACGCGGTCGGGAGCGTCAACCTGGGGGTGACGCACGGAAGCATGGTGTTATTCAGACGGGCCATTTCCGAGCTTTACAGCGCTGGTATGAGGGAAATTGTTGGATTCGCAAAGAGCCTGTAGAAGGGATGCTACATGAGGAGGTGCTGTGTAGCGGCCGGACAAGGTAAAGAAACATACAACTGTATATAGGTCGTCATGTGTAGATCTGTAGCATGCAGACGATTGCAAAATTAAACTCCACAGCTTTTGGCTTATTTTTCGCTACCAGAAACTAGATCAGTATATACCAGCGTTCTGCCGTGCTCACGGTTAGTATCACAAATCAGCACCGGTAGTTCTTCGTGCGCTACTTTACGTTTGAAACAAGAGAGATTGGATTTGAGTATCAACCACGGGAGCCGATCTTCTGTAAGCAGACGTAGCACTTGTTTGGCCTGTTTGTCGCGACCAACTTGGAGCTATAATCCGACAAACTCTCAGGGCAGGGCAGCAGATCAAAATTCCACACGAGCAGCGTGAACAGTATCCTCATGTTGAGGTACGCCAGTCTCTTTCCAAAGCACGCCCGGAGACCCAGACCAAAGGCCAGCTGCGGCCCGGCTCCGGGGTCGAACCTGTTGTCCTTGATCCAGCGTTCGGGTCGGAAGGAAGTCATATCCTCCGGTTCCCACTGCTTCACCTTTTCTGCCTGTTTGCCACGGATGGACTCGTGCCGGAGGGACTCGTCAATGTCGAACGCGGGCTCCATCATGCTCGGACCCATGGTCAAACATGCAACGTTTGTCTTTTTGGGTATGTGATGACCGAGAAGCTCTGTGTCGACGGCGGCTTGGCGATCAACAATTGGCGTCGTACCGCCGCATCGGTGCATTTCTTCGAGTGTGGCTTCGAGATACGGCACATGTGTCCCGACGATTTCTTCCACCGTCGGGTTTCGATCGTCAGCGAGCGCTGCTGCGAAAGATGCTTGCAACGCTGTCCGTAGACACGTTATCACCCGAGGGTTGTCAGTCAAGAGCTTAGCACCCCACGACATGACCGTGCTTGTTGTATCCATTCCGGCGAATACGAAGCCGCAAACCTGTGCTAGGCCGTCAGTATCACGGTTTTCAAGCTGCGCGGGACCAAGTTTTGACGTACTTCGTCCATCATGACTTTGGATAGGTACCGAGGCTCCCGCCCCTCCTTCTCGGCGAGGCTCTTCTCGCGCAGGACCATGTGATGGACCGCTGACTTTCCCTTGTCTTCGCTTTTGCTCTCCCTCAGCTGCTCGACTGCGTACTTGAGCTCCGCCGAGATGTATGCGTCCCTCACATTGAGTGCACGGGCGTATCGCGGCTTCTTCAAGATGTACGCCCAGGTCCAGCTCGGCTTGGGACTCCCTCGGATCTCGGCGATCGACGCGAATAGTGTGTCGAGTGCATTGAGCACGGGGCTGAGTGGTGTGTGGGGGAATATGACGGGTCGTCCTGCATCATTCGGCCTGTCCACGTTCATGTCTCTGCTCCGCACCGCTTCGATAGCCGGACCGGTAGCCGTGTCCTGGAATCTTTGCCCGAAGCAGAAAGACATGACAGCATCCATTGCCACGCGACGTAGATCTTCTGAAGCCTCAAAGGCCCTTCCGTCAGCCAGCCGGGCTTTGCCGCTCCACAACTCAACCAGCGAGAGGGCATGTTGATATAGCTCGGGAGCGGCGACGCTGTGCAGCCATGAGGGAAGCATAAGGTCCCTGATAAGAAGACGCTGGCCTTTCCACACTGCGTCTGTCTTCATGCCCATGTGGTGTTCAGGCATCAGGCCCAAGATCATGTCGGCCATGTCATCGGAGCGGTCAAAGTCATTGCGACGCATCAACGCCTGTGCTTCTCGAAAGTCTGCAAGAACCAGGAGTGGTTGTTTGAAAGGCTGAATGAAGATTTGCACGAGAGGCGCGTCCAGCGATTTGGCAACCGATTGGCAGTACGTCGCGAATGTTCCTCCGTCATCTTTGAAGTGCTTCAGGTACGCTTGGCCGTCGCCGAAGAGTTTCGTAGCAGAGTCCTTGCTGTAGGGAATCCCCGGTATGGGCTTGGGAAGGGCTAGGAAATACAAGCGAAATAAGCAACCTATGGTTACCGCCAGGAAAAAGAGCGTCGATATGGGGACTGGCGAGTATTGGCGAGCATGGTCGAGTATCATGGACAACTGCGCCATAACTGCTGGCTTCATAAGACGTGAAATGGGGTATGTGGCTTGGACTTGGGATTCTCAGACAGAAGACAATAACCCATTTCTATTGAACAAAACGAGCTGGCTGTGAACTATGTAACGGTTTCTCCGCCAGACGCTAAACCTATGCAAAATGATTACTCGTGTATGCTTATGTATAATACGCACTCGTGCTTACGGACAATTGTGCCCACCGTGGGTGTAATGCAAGAGCGAAATCTTCACGACAGCGACATACATAGCATACATTCTACACGCCGAACGGTCCATATCCCATCCTCCGTGTTGTCGTGTCTTTTGTAGCCGGAAAGGCTGATTCTGGTAGCATAGTCTGCAGTCGTGATCTCTGCACACTCACCCTTGTCGAGGAAACGATATCGCACATACGCCATCCAAAATGTCACTGTCGACGGATTTGACTCGGTTGCTCGGCATGAAGCATCCGATAATCTCGGCTGGAATGTACATTGCGGGCGGCCCAGAACTTGTGGCCGCCGTGAGCAACGCCGGTGAGCCCCATTATACAAACGCTAGGTGCTGCTGCCCTTGTTCGTATTATTAAACCAGATCTAGGCGGCCTTGGTGTCATTGGCGGGCTCTACTTCACGCCGGACGAACTGAGAAGCACCATTCAAGAGGTCAAGGTAAAGCAGTCCCCATTGATCGAGCCTCATATGAGACGGCTATAATTGGGCAGAAACCTATCCTGACATATCATACGGGCAGAATCGACTCAAAGACCCATCACTTCCGTTCGGTCTGAATCTTCTCTTGCCTCAAGTTGGCGGATCAGCGCGAAAAACCAACGTGAGAAGTCCTTCGAGGATTCGCTGAAACGTTGCTGGGGATCTAACTGCTTCTAGTGGGACTACACCAAAGGAAAACTAGACGAGCTCATCGACATTGTCGTCGGCAGCGGCGCCAAGCTATTTGTTTCTGCCGTAGGTGTTGCGCCGAAGGACGTCGTTGACAAGCTCCATGCCAATGGCATATTCTACATGAACCTAGTTGGCCATCCAAAGCACGTCGTCAAAGCATGTGCCGCTGGTGCAGACATTATTTGTGCCCAAGGGTCAGAAGCTGGTGGCCACACGGGCGAGATACCCACTAGGTGCGTGTCATGCCCATGATGTGCGCTAGGGAGATCACCGCCTTTGCAGAGCAGAGACATGATGGCGTCACTGAACGAGTGCAATACTGATACTATGGTGGTAGTATACTGTTGCCCGCCTGCGCCGATCTGGTGAAGAAGTACGTGTCTCCCTTGACGGGGCAACCAGTACAGCTCGTTGCTGCTGGTGGCATTTGCGACGGCCGAGGCCTTGCAGCATCTTTTATGTATGGAGCCTCTGCCGTCTGGATGGGCACGAGGTTCGTCACCGCCACGGAGTCTAGCGCTTTGAAAGAATCGAAGCAAGCGTACGTTATCGCATCATCTCGCCTTCGTGATCGGCGCTCACCTTGGACATTAGGGTTATTGAGGCAGGCTTTGACAGCACCATTAGGTCGACCATCTGGACTGGACGGCCGTTGCGTGCAGCTGCTACGGACTACATCCGAAAATGGGAACACGAACGTAGAGACGAGCTGCAGGGGCTGCTGTCAAAAGGCATCGTTCCTATCGACCACGAGGCGGATGCATTTCGCGAAGCTGGCGGTCTACCTGAGGACATCGCGAAGCAGTCGGCGATGAGGTATGTAGCCATGACCCTTCCCACTCTGGGCTAGCCGTTTTGCTGACAGCGTTATCTCAATGATATAAAGACCCATGGGAATGGCATCCGGTCTGATTAACAATGGGGGGCAATCTGCGGCTGAAATTGTCGACGAGATGGTGGCAGAAGCAGTGAAATGTCTCAGTGGTGCTGGTTGCCTGGTGTTGAAATCGGGTTCCTGAGTGGTATGGTTCGAATTAGACCTACGAAGCGAGACTGTTTTAGAGACAATAGCGAGTGCGCAACAATGAGGCAGTAAGGTCTGACGGCATCTTTGTGATTCATGCATCTCGAGTTACAGTGCCAAGCATGTTTAGCTTTGGCGTAACAACGCAGAAAGTCTCTCAACACGAGGTTGAATAATAAAAGTTGCATAGGTTTCATCAAATATATAGATATTTGGTTTTATACTTATACATATACCTGAATTTTCAGCCTTATCATAAACCTACTCTACATTTCTCTCTATTTCTATATTCCCCAGAGTTTTCATTGTTGGATAGATTTGATTTTTAGTTTTAGGAGAATATAACATAACTAGAGGTGAGGTCGTTATGCTCATGTTCATCACTCTTCCGTCTGCGTTAAGTGATAGTCTAGTTGCGGATCCTCACTCGCAGTCCAAAGCTTCCCTTGGTAGGCAGCGGTGAGATGTAGTCCCTGGCGGCGTCAATGTCCCTCGCGCGGATTGTGTCGTAAAGCTCCAGAGTCGGGCCCTGTTGACCCTGATACAAGTCGTATTTTAAGAAGATCGTGGCCAAAGTAGTGCTTAACTCACGCCGGGCAAGTGTTATTCTAAGAGTTCAGGGTTGTGGTAAGCGACTTGAGTCAATGTGCCTTGGCCGGTCCGCGAGATGGAAAGCCTCCTTACCCTACGCATCCTCTCGTCCCTCGGGAAAACCCCATAAAGGCTTTTGAAATTTCGGGATTATCAATCCACCGCTCAGGGATAAACTCGTACGGGTCTTTGAAGACGCTCTCGTTCATGTGGCTCGTCAGAGGTGATGTACCGTAGACCGTGCCTGGTGGCACGACGTACTCGGCTCCTCGTTCCTTGTCCACATATACGATGGCGTCATTTGGGCAAACGCGTACTTGCCGATGCATCGCTCCAGGGTGTAAGCGGATGGCTTCGTTGATGATGGCATTCATGTATCGAAGTTTGTCCATCTGTTGGAATGTTGGAACTTCACGCCCGTCACTCACCACGGCGGCAAGCTCTTCCTTCATCTTTTGTAGAATGCCGGGCTTTGACAAAAGATGAAAGATTGCTGACGTGAGCGTGTGCGCTTTGGGGCCCCTAAAGTTAGCCTGGATTTCAACACTTCAAACGGAAAACGAGGACCGGATAAGAAAGGGTTTCCCACCAGTTGTGCCTTCACCGGCGAACACGACCAACTGGGCCTCGTTTGCCAATCTCATGTCCGTCTTGTCTTCCGGTGGCAGGGAACTGTCGAGTATGCCTCCGAAAATGGTGTTCTTCGCTCGCTCCGGAGCTTTGGAATTTCTAATGTCTCGGACCTTCTCTATCCACCACTACACGTGTCATTGATGTCAGCATCGGTATTGAGCCGAGGGAGTTTCTTGGTGGGATGTTACCTCTCTGCGGTCCACAAACTCGGCCATGTCTGGATTTAGGTACTTTAACAGCCATCCAGGCGCCGATGATGCGACGGTGAGGAGCCACGGAAAAGCGCCAAAGACGTGCGTCATGCTGTTGAATGCCTCCCCTGCCCGAAAGTAAGGCACTCCATAGTCGGACTGATCTAAGAAATGAAAAGAATCGCCAAAGGCATAAAGCGTAATGATGTCGCTCGCGCAGGCCTTGAATATGTAATGCAGTTCAACGACTTCGCACTGGGTACCAGACTCTTGCATCCGGAATAGCATTCTTTCCATATGATCCTGCAGGATGGGCTCCAGTCTGCGGACGCTCGCACCGGAGAAGAAGGAGTTGAGAGCGTTTCTCCGTCGTCGATGAATATCATGCTCTGCTGTGGCAACGATGGATCCGGGAGCTGCCAAAAGAGATGAGGTAGCTTATTAGCAACAGACAAATCGAAAGGAACACGCCTTCGGCCGTTTGAGAACTTACTACCCGCCCTTGCTGCAGCATACCCAGGTCTGTCAATCTTTCGCTTTCCCAGGCTCGGATAAAGCACGTCGTTGAATGTCGGATCTTCAAAGTGGACTTCGTTCGGCGTGATGCGCACGATCGGGCCTGTGATTCGAAGTAAGCAAAATACCATCTATTATATTTTCTCACGGCGGGAAGCCCTCACCATACTTGCCATGCATGTTATCAATCATGCGAAAGTACTGCCCGCCTTTGTACACTTCATAGTAAGTCTCGTACCAGTATGTTAATGCTGATGTAGGTAGGGTCAGAACTAGGCAATCCAAAGCACTCCTAGAGGAGGAGGATTTCCTACCGGCGAGCCTTGGTCCTGGGATTCGGGAGAGCGGTGATAGATACACTACGAAACGAGTATGTCAATACATCAAGATGCCCGAAATTCCGACTTCATCATACGAGACATCGCTGATGCGTACCGCGATAAATGGCCAAGAGCACCCAATACACAAGCGCAGCGGCGCTAGACACGTAAATAATATCCATCAAGCTGCGTTGCTGGGACATGATTTCTTGCATGTTAGAAGAGTGCTAGTGCATCGCAAATGCAACGAGATGCAATATGATAGATCTCTGGTGGATTTACAAGAAGAGCACTTGGGACAGGCATCCTCGTGAATCGGAGATTGTGAGGTTGCAGGTAAACAGCATGCTATTATCGGTGGTGATAAACAGGGTAAGCATTATAAGTGGCTTATTTCTTCAGGAAACGCTTACTATTGCCAGTCAGCATGCTTACAGTCAGCACGCACAATGCGTATGATTTCACCATTTTTAGCAGAGAAAGGGAATGTTTTGGGATGTTCGTTGTATATGGCTCTAAACATGTGGTAAATAGATCACAAATCGCTCTGGGCCAACATTCATCTAGGCTTGCCTGTGTTGTGGAGTGATGGTGGGCGATCCAACCTCGGGAAGTTGAGGAACAAAATTGTGTATAAGTGGTCCACAACATGTTGGAAGACAAGGAATTCCGAGAACTATTTTGATACCAATCCCCAATATAGCTATTCTTTGATCCTGTAGGTCCTTCTGAACATCTTGTCGACATGAGTAAGGTAATAGGTGTACTTGGAGAGGCCTGCTACGCTCCCGATGGGCTGGTAGGGACTTTGCTGGTGGGCAAAAGCTCGAATGCGGCACGCCTGTAAACATTGAATTAGTAATTGGTGGGCTCAAGAAGGTGTCGGGAATGGACCTCACTTCTTCGTGTGTTGCTGGAGACACCACCCGTCTCGCGCTTAGTCTCTTCTCCAAGTCGAGCTTGTTCCGCATGCTCTCCGTACTGCCCACGACACGCAAGCTGAACAAGGTGCTAGCAAGTCCGCTACCGTAGCTAAACATGCCAACGCGCTTGCCCTGCAGCTGATCGCTGTGTACGAGGGTCAAAAGACTACACAGGCCTGAATAGAGGCTACCACAATACATGTTCCCACACTGGGTCGGGACATGGGTAGAGGGGAATACCCGTTGCTTGAAGCGTGTTTGGGACAGGGCCATGAAGGTCTTTTCGATTGTCTTGTCGTTGAGGCTCGACGAAGGGCTTGCTGTTCTTAGCTCTGCAGGGACGGTCTCGAAAAGCTTGTCTTCTGCGTGAGACATGAAGTCGTTGTAAAACAAGCGAGCGTATGACTTAGCCACCAGCTTGCAGGTCGGAGCATGAAAACACATGTAATCGAACTTGTCCGCAGGCAAGTTCTGGCCAAGCTGATGGCCTTCAACGCCGTTGGTCTGCAGAGCCTCTCCGGCTGGGTCGTCTGAAGGTGTAGTTTGGGAACGTTCCAGGTACGCTTTGTAACAAGCATCGAGGGCCTCGGTGTAGCAGTCCAATGACAAGTGGCCATCGACGTAGGGGTACTCGACCGAAAAGTTGGGCTTGTAGAAATCGTGAACGTGGCGGGCATAGGAACCTCGCCTGCCATGCTCGAGAACTAGGGGAGCGCCGGGTCCTACCAGCATGGCCACACAGCCAGCACCGCCAGTCGGCCTCGCGTTGCCCTCTGCGTACAGGGCGATATCGCCCGCAACGACGATGGCGTCTCTGCCGTCCCAGTTGCGGGACTCTACCCAGTTTACGGCGTTAAAGAGCGCGTTTGTCCCGCCGTAGCAAGCGTTGACTGTGTCGATGCCTTCGATGTTTGTGTTGCAGTGTTCGAAAAGCTGCATAAGGACCGACTTGACCGACTTAGACTTATCAATCATCGATTCCGTACCCACCTCAAGCCGGCCGATGGACCGTGGATCAATGTTGTACTTGCGCAGGAGTCCCGACACGGCAGTGAGGGCGATCGAGTTGATGTCTTGGCTGTGATGTTAGCGCTTCGTGTCCGGGGAGAATCTTTCTTTGCCAAGTGATAGCAACTGAAGACTTGCCTTCTCTGTCGTCGCAGAAACTCATTCTCGTCTGTCCCAAACCAATTGTGTATTTGCCTTTGCTGACACCATCGTACCTCTCTAGTTCTGCTTGGTCGACGCACTACCTCGTATTAAATCAGCAAATAAGCTCATTTTGCTGATGTGATTTCATGTTTGTGGTACGGACCTGGGCAGGGAAGTATAGCTCGATGGCTTTGATGCCAACATTTGCAGGCGGTGCCATCGTGTCCGGAATGGTTTAGTGTGTCGACAGGTTTTCGGGCAATGCCAATCCAAAGACTGACTCTAGACAGGTGATGGTTTCAAAAGCACCTTCGGAGAGAGTGTTCATCTGTGCCGGGCTGGTGATTATAATGGAATTGACATGAAGCATAGATTTGCTTCAAGACTCGCCCCAACGTCTACTACATAGTCGTAAGCAAGGCGAGAAGGGTCCATATTCAGTCTGTGAAACTGCCGTAATTCCTGATGACATGGCCGGCATTTGGGTATCTCGTCGCCCTGTATGTTTTGTCAGGTTCGGCTTACCACTCAAAGAATAAGACGTACGTGGGTAAGCCCCGGCTTACATTACGGGTGGATATCATCATGGGTCGTAGGCTGAGATGCGGATTACTCTAGCTTAACCAGGTAATATAAGTACCGCTTGATAACGATAAGTATGTTTAGGGTCAAGGTCTACCTCGACGTGTGCTCTGTACTGGCAATTGAGGCCTTATCGCCCAGGATGTCGCTCCAAGGATTATACCAAGTGCTCCATCGTATTGCCGTTGGCTACCTGCCCCTCGTAGCGGCTGCCGTGGTGATCGCCATTGCGTATAAGCTGAAGAAGCAGTCCGAAACAGAGCGACCTCTGAAAGGCTTCCCGCTCGTTGGCCTGGAAGAGGAGGGCCTGAGCCCAAAGGAAGCATGGATGAAGCATGGCCACAGGGTGATGGCAAAGGGTCTCGCAGCGAACAAGAGCGCCTTTCAAGTCATGACTGGCACGGGTCCAAAGGTGAGACAATACTGTGACTCCTGGAGAAATTGAAGATTGTCAGTGGCGACAGGATATCTCAATGCTTACACCCAAATTCTCTAGATCATGCTACCAAATCGTTTCACCGAAGAGTTTCGAAAAAATGAGATGGCAAATTTGATCCAAAGCCAGACTCGCGATAACTTTGCGGGCTGGCCTGGGTTCGACGGCATGACATTCCTGAGCCAGCATGAGCGAGTCGTCGTAGACGCGGTCCGCATCAACCTCACCCAGTCCATGGGGGCCGTGACGGACTCCTTGGTCGACGAAGCGAGGCTAGCCACTCCGGACGTGTTCGGCAACAACAAAGAGTGGCACACAATCTCCATCAAGTCGTTGACGGGTCACTTCGTCTCCCGTCTCTCGTCGAGGGTTTTCCTAGGGCCAAAACTTTGCCGCGATCCAGAGTGGCTTGCCATCGCACAGAGCCATACCGTCAATCTGTTCCAAGCATCCGTAGCCATGCGCGATGGCCCGAGTCTACGGCGGATCATCTCGGTCTGGTTCAACCCAATGTATAGGCAGCTTCGTAGCCAAGTCCGCGAGGCACGCAGGATCTTGAAGCCCCTCATCGAGAAACGCAAGACGGAAGTGCGAAAGGCGCTTGCGGCGGGAAAGAAGCCGGAGAAGGTGGCGGACTTGATCGGATGGATGGTCGCCCAGGCGCGAGCAAGCGACATTGACTATACTGCAGGCCAACTGGGAATGAGCGTTGTCGGGATCCACACGACGACCGAAGCTCTCGCAGAGGCCCTCGTCGATCTGTGCCAGCACCCAGAGCTGTTCAAGCCCCTGCGGGAGGAGATCGTGCGAGAACTCAAGGACGAGGGCTGGACGCGCACGACGCTGCACAGGATGAGGCTGATGGACAGCTTCCTCAAGGAGTCGCAACGCATGCACCCGGCTTCTGCCGCGTCGGTCAACCGATACCTGTACGCGGACGTCCGACTTTCGGACGGTACGGTGCTCCCCAAGGGATCTCGTGTGTGGATCGCGGGGCGCTTCGACGACCCGGAACTGTACCCTGAACCGGAGAAGCTGGACGCGTACCGCTTCCTCAACCTGCGGTCAAAGAGCGGCAAGTCCAACACTTGGCAGCATACCTCGATGACACCAGAGCATTTGGGTTTTGGCTACGGTGACCACGGGTGTCCGGGGCGGTTCTTCGCGAGTAACGAGTTGAAGATTGCCCTCTGCTTCCTCTTGTTGCACTACGACTGGAAGCTGCCTGATGCCCCGGATAACCCGACCTTTATTCATATCGGTATCGGCAATCTTTTGAGTCCGCTGTGTCGCTTGAGCTATTGCCGGAGGACTGCAGAAATTGAATTGTAATTTCTTGGTCTTTCGTGGGGGTTTGAGACGATGACTCTACAATTCTAGCTACCTATATACTCTTCACAATAGTATTCTATCTCATCTGTGATACTTTTATCAACATACCTATCATTTAGTTCCGTAGGGCAGCTAGTTGAGTAGGCTAAGTGGTTATGAAAGTAGAGCTATGTTAGCTTGTAAGTGTGCTCATAGACTCATTGGATAGTCATTAAGCTACTATGCTCAGAGACGACTAGACTTTCACGTAGCCGTAGCCCCGATCTGCTTTCTTACAATTCTGATAATCTCTTACTATAGCGTTAAGATGGTGCTAGGTAGTGCGCCTGTGACAAGTGAGAATGTGGTTTCTCGTGACAGTTTGTTGTGGTTACAGCAAATAGTCAGCCTTTATCTCTCCTTTTAGCCAGGTTTTTCAGCATATAAAGGCCAAAAACGGTACACGATGTAACATGATTTGTTCTATAAAGAGATAACCTAGATTGAAAATGATAAACAGTCTACATGGTCGAGCTGTCATATCTATCCTCCTATCTTTGCCCGTACTACTCCAGCATCTTGGCCACAATCTTCTCAACCAGGGCCAGAATGGATGTAGCATTGACAATGTCCAGCGTACTCAGCGTAACATCGAGCTTGTTTCGCACCCAGTTGCGCAGCTCGACGCCCGACAGCGAATCGAGCCCGTACGACATGGGCGACTTGCCGGGCTCGACGGCGTCACCTAGTCGCAAGATGCGTGCAAATTGCAAACAAATGACGTCTGTACACGCCTTGGTCAAGGTCGCAATGTCTACGCCCGACTTGTTCAGCGACAGCAGATTCCGAACGCCCTGATCGATATCGTCGCCGCCATCGCCGCCGTCCGAGGCGCCTTTGCGGTCGGCGCCACGGGAGGAGCACAAGTGGCTGAAGCGAGGGTTGAGCGACGTGTCGGACCCGTCCTGCGGGTAGGGGTACGCGATGCCCGTCACGAGCTGAGCGCTGCTCTCCTTATTGAGCGGAGAGTGCCGGTCCTGCTGGAAGACCGAGTAGGTAAAGATGCGGCGCAGCATCCCTTCATAGATGGGGACCCAATGGGCTCTGTTGATCTTGGCGTCCAGTCCCGTCTCGTCTTCTGCCACGTACCCAATGTCCTCGATGAGTCCGAGGTTGACCGAGTTGCCGCACAGGCCCTGGCGCTGTCGCCAGCTAGCAAAGGCATCGAGGAACGTGTTGGCGGCTGCGTAGTTGGCCTGGCCAACCCGACCTGCAACACCCGAGGTACTGGAGAGCATGGTGAAGAAGTCGAGGGGCTGCTTCAACAGCTCCTGGGTCGCATTGTGCAGGTTCCAGGTGCCCTCGACCTTGGCGTAGATGGTATCACGGTACTGGTCCTTGGTCATGGACTCGTAGCTCGTATCCTGCGCATAGAATGTCAGAGCATGTCAAAACGTCTAGGCCAAAGCCGCCGCCAGATTCGAAACTTACATTAAGCGCCATGGCTCCTTGAACGATTCCGCCCAGTCTTGGGAAGGTATTTTGCACCAATCTTCTCACGAACTCGGCGTTTCCAATGTCTCCCTTGGCCTCCGTCACCCGGCATCCGTACGACATGCAGTCCCGCACAACCTTGGCTGACACCTCGTCGCTGATGCCGCTGCGGTTACTGACGACAATGTGCCGAGCGCCGTGCTGCGCCATATGCACAGCCAACGTGCTGCAGAGGCCCTTCAAACCGCCCACGATGAGGTAGGAGACGTCTGGGGATAGCTTCAGCGGCCTGACGGCGGGGCGCGTGGGCACCAAGATCTCCTTGTCGTACTTGTTCGTGATGACAATCTTTCCAAGATGACGTCCCGTCCGTATATAGGCCAGGGCCGCGGGCACATCTTCAAAGGCGTAGGTGGTGACTGGGTGGATCGGTCTGATGTGGCCAGCATTGATGAGAATGAAGAGCTCAGTCAAAAGCCTACACGTTTGGCGTCAGTATGAGGCGGTCATCTTGAGGGCGTAAGCACACGGGATACAGACCTTGCTACTATCGGTTCGTTGAAGTGCTTCGTGTAGGAGAGGTCGACAGCGCGGAACGAACAGTTTCTGTCAAAGGGCTCCATAGCAAGGGTGTTACGGTTGACGATATCCCTCTTGCCGATCTCAACCATTATGCCGCCATCCGCGAGAATTCTCCAAGAGGCATCGAGTAATTCTCCGATCAGAGAGTTGACAATAACATCGACGCCGCGGCCGTTGGTCTCTTGCATAATTTCGCCTGCAAATTTTGTGCTACGAGAGGAGAACATGCGGCTCCTCGGGATGCCGTACTCCCTTTCCAAGAACTGGCGCTTCTCTTCTGTACCTACGGTCACGTAGATCTCGGCCTGTTTATGTCGGGCGAGCTCGATACAGGCGATGCCGATGCCTCCTGTTGCCGAGTGGATGAGGACAGACTGTAGCAATCGTTTAGCACGCGCGGGTTATGAGATAACATTCGGTCCCAAGATCTGGAAACTTACCTGGCCCTCTTGCAAGCTTGCCAAGTGATACAAGGCGTAAAGAGACGTCAAGTACACACACGGAATGGTTGCGGCATCCTCGTAACTCATCGTCTCAGGGATGACGTGGCAGCGATCGATGTGGACGCGGATGCGGTTCGCATGGCTTCCCTGCTTCAGCATGCAAACACGATCGCCGACGCGGAACTTCTTGACCGCCGGGCCGAGTCGCCGGACGACACCGGCGCACTCGTAGCCGAGGCTGTATTCGTTGTCAGGCACGACGCCCATGGTGACGGCGACGTCCTTGAAGTTGACACCGACAGCCATGATCTCTACCTCAATGTGATCCTCCAGAATGGAAGGCTCTTGTGATTCCGTCTCGCACCAGGTCAAGCCCTCGAGGGTTCCCAGTCGCTCGGCCCTGAGCTGGACCTGTACCTCGTTGCCGTGGAAAGACTTTGAGACGACCGGCATGCCTTCCGTCTCTGCGCGTTTGAACTCGTTGACTAGCACATCCGGGACGACCCTTTGGATGTGCAGGATGCCTTCGCGCTCCATCACCTCACTCTCCGTCATCGCTCCTTGGGCCAGCAGCCGGAGCACCTTGTCCAGGGCGGCCTCCATCCCGTGACCCGTGCTGGACTGCACGTCGAGGATGGTAAGGTTGGCGCCCTGGTCTTCTCGACGAGCCACGCGGAATAAACCGTACACGAGGGCGTGATCGGGGTCGGTAGCAGACGACTGCGCTCCCTTGGTGACCCAGAGGACCGGGTTGCCGGAGCTAACCAGAGCCTTGATGGCATCCCACTGGTCTTGATTGGCGTGTCGAAGTAGCGGGCTCGTCAGTTCGTCCAGCACCAGAGCAATTTCGTCTTTTGCGAGCGGTTGAAACGGAGCTGTACGCTCCTCTACGAGCCATCCTGCCGATTCGAGGCTTGACCGAAGCGAGGCCGTCAGAGCCGAATCGCCGCCACCGCTCAGGCGAGGGACCACGATTGTCCGCGGTGTGGTGGACTTGTTGCCCAGGAAGGACCCGATCGACGACAAGAGATAGGCAGAGCGTCCATCTTGAGTCATGTCCCCGAGCTCGATGGAAGCCGCGGTGCTGTCGATCTTGAGGGCTTCATGGTCCAGGATGGCCGAGTCGATGGAGCTGGACCCTTTTCCGTCGTCCGACCCGGAAGATCGCAAAGGCGTAGCCGCCGACCCCGTCTGTGAGGTTGCGGAGCTGGTGACATGCTCAAATTCCTCGGACTCGTCTGTGATCTCAGCCTGCTCCGCGACCGCCTGGTTCTCCTCACTTCCACGCACCACAAGCGTGCAGGCGTCGGTCGACAAAAGGGGCAGAACGATGCGCAAGACATCATCCGCCACAGACGTCTTTGAAAGCTTGACCAAGGCCAGGTCGTAGGGCTCCGGAGACTCGAGGCCGAGGTCCTGTTCCTCCAAGCGCATGAGGGAGAAGCCGCTGTCTTCCTTGCCCTCGTGCTTGGCGGAAACGCTTGCCAGAGGCTTGCTGCTTGACGCAACAAAGTCGTACCGGGCGTAAGCTTGTCTGTAGGCCGCGTTTTCTGCATCAAACCACAGGCACGAAGTGTCTTCTTCGTCGAGATGGACTTCCAAGACTCTCAGGGCAGGCTTCTTGTAAGCCACGAGGTCGATTATCCTGTTGAGTCGATCGCCCGACGTGGCCGGGTCAAGATGCAGCAACTGGTCCTGCGTCAGAAGGGAGACATCCGGAACCCAAGTGACTTGGTCAAAGACGTGGGGATCCGGAGTCGGAGGCACGTCTAGCTTGATATAGTGAAGACCTGTGATGCGAACCATCAACGCACCGCTCTGGGAATCGACAACAGAGCTGCTAGCAACCCAGCTCTTGTCTTGGTCTGGTCGGCCTCGTCCCGAGTAGACTGATGTTGCCTCGGCAAGGGCATTGTTGAGTTGCTTCGGCACCTTGTTAATGACGACCTCGTCTACGATTGTGGGAATCATGACATCCCGGACGTTGACGATCTCTCCCTCCATATTTGCCGGGATGGGCGTCTGGAAGCAGCCGTCCAGAGCAGCCGGATGGACTGGGTAGTAAGACTGAGGCGAGTACGCCGAGGCCGGTGGCTCCATCGTGAGCAGCACCCGACACGCACGCACGCCGCTGGTGGATTCGACTTGGAGCATTCGCTTGAAGACGGGCCCAAAGCCCATGCCGATATCCCGGGTGGCCTTGTACCAGCGCTCCACCGGTGCGGTGGACTTGGGGGGTGTGAGGTTCTGCGCGACATCGTCGACGGCGTCTTGGGTTCGGACTAGTCCGAAACAGTGTTCCGCCGTCACGTCCTCCTCCGAGGTAGACGAGATGCGGAACTCGTGCCAGTCATCGCTGCCGGGGACCTTGTTCAGCGTCACCATCATGCGAACGTCCTTGTCCTCCTCGACCACCATGGCCCGCTGGAAGCGCACGTTGCGGAAACAGTAGCAGAGCTCGTTGGGGGTCGCAGGACACTCCTTGGGGTCGATAGCTCGTAATTTCTGGAAGAGGGCCTCTACGGCTATTGTCAGGTAGCCGGCCGCGGGCATAATGGCATCGCCCCCCATCTTGTGCTGCATGATCCACGGCACATTGCTAGCGTTGAGGCGGTTGCGCCAGACGGGAGTGTGCCAGGGAGCGCCGAGCACTTTGCTACCCAGGAGGTCGTGGACGGGGAACTTTCTGAACCGCCAGTCCTTGCTGGCGGCGCTTTCGTGCCAGTACTTGACGTCGTGGTTCCACGTGTAGTTGGGTAGGTCGACGACTGTGCGTACCTTCTTGTCGTTGTACCGGTTGACGAGGGCCAGGTCGACGTCGCCACCTGTAGCGAAGAGATGGCCGGCGACGTCGAATAACGACTTGCTGGCGTTGGCACCACGACTCCAAGCGGTGCAGTACGATACGTTCCCGGCGTTGGCCAGGGACTTGAGTAGCTGCGAAACGGGACCGGCCAGAGCACCGGCTGGGCCGATCTCGATCAGCATATCCGGAGAGTCTTGCTTGAGCATCTCCTCCAGCGCGGCGTCAAAACGGACGGGAGAGATCATGTTGTTCTTCCAGTACGTCGACCCTGTCGTCATCTCGTTCTTCAGACCGGTGACCGAGGAGAACATTGCGATGCCGGACTGAGAGCCGTCTTCACGCCCGAATTCCTGGTCCTTGTCGAGGAGCTTCTGATACCCTTCGGCGGCGGCGGCCATGAACGGGGTATGATAAGCCATGTCGACCAACAAGGCCCTCGCGAAGTATCCCGCTGCCTTGACCTCCTCGCTGATACTATCGAGCGCGGAGAGCCTGCCTGAGATGGTGAGACTGCTGGGGCTGTTGTAGCATGCGATAAACGCATCGCCGCGATGCTTCTCCAGGAATGGTGCCGCCGCCTCGGCGCCGAGACCGAGGGCGAGCATGCCAACGTCTCGCTCCATCTGGTCGCTGATGTTCTTCGCCGCCTGGCCGCGATAGAAGGCGCACTTGATGCAATCGCTGCGCGACATCCAGCCGGCAGCATAGGCAGCGGCGCCTTCTCCGGATGAATGGCCGAGGACAGAGCTCGGCTTGATTCCCCAGGACCTGAGGACATCCACGAGACACATTTGAAGCGCAGCTACGAGCGGCTGCGCCATGTCCGGCTGGCGCACATGTTCGGCGGAGCGGGGTTCCATCAGCTCGGATACGAGAGACCACTCGGGCGGGTTGGGAAGGGACTGAAGAATCTTGTCCATGTCTTCCAGCGTGGTACGGATCCACGGAACAGCATCCACCAGAGCCTTACCCATTCGAGGCCACTGGGCTCCTTGGCCGGTAAACAGAAACCCAACCTTGGGTGTCTTGGGGCTCTTCTTGGCCGTGGTGAAGAGGTTCTCGTAAATATCTGTCGTTTTGGTGGATACAAAGGCTCGGTGGAACAATCGCGAACGGCGCTCGGATAGCGTATACGCCAAGTCCGCGAGATCGACCTTGACGTTGGGGTTGATGAGATGGGCGCAGAAGGCTCGGATGTTTGCAGCGAGGCTGGCGCTATCGTTTGCCGACAAGACGAGGGTATACGTCTGTTTCGCTTTGTCGTCGTCGTCGTCGTCGTCGTCCAGCGTAAAGTCTCCGTCCTTGTCGCGGTATGAGTATACGTGGTTCGAACAATCCTCTGCCCTGGCCGCCTCGACTATAGCATGCGCGTTGGAGCCACCGATGCCAAAAGAGTTGACAGAGGCTCTCCGTAGAGCATCGGTGGGCCACGGGATTAACGTTCTCGTGGCCTTCATCTTGTTCCCAACAAAGTCAACTATAAATTATCCACGTCAGTTCATACGCACTCCGATTCAGATCAACACAAGTCGTGCCGACTCACTCTTGGGGCTGGGGTTGATGAACGTGGGATTGCCTGGAATGACGCCGTTCTCGATGGCGAGGACCGCCTTCATTAGACCCGTCAAGCCGGCGGCCGGCTCCGAGTGGCCGACGTTGCTCTTGACAGATCCAATGATGAGTGGATTCTCGGCAGAACGGCTCGCCGAGAATACGGACGCGGCTCCCTGACTCTCGGCGGCGTCGCCTGCTTGGGTTGCTGTTCCGTGGAACTCGAAAAAGGCTGTTTTGTTGAAGTCGGTGATGCCAGCATTGGCGTAGGCGGCCCGAATGGCCATCGCCTGAGCGTCCGCGCTTGGGCTGGCGATGCCCATCGTCCTTCCGTTATGGTTCGAGGACGTACCGAGCACCACGGCACGGATGGGATCCCTATCGCGAACGGCATCCGACAGCCTCTTAATAATGACGGTGTTTACCGCCTCGGCCTTGACGTAGCCGTCGGCCGCGGCATCGAACGTGTGGCACAAGGCCGTGAGCGAGTGTGCTCCCCCGACGCCGCCGGCATCGATTAGGTGCTCCGGGCTCATATAGACGTTGGCAGCGGCCACAATGCCCGTGTCGATCGAGCGCGCCCGCAGAGCCTGGCAGGCCAGATCTAGGCCGACCAAGCTGCTGGAGCAAGCCGTATCGAGTGTGACGCTGGGTCCGTGGATGTTGAGGAAGTGACTTATGCGGTTGGCGAGAATGGTGCGCGCGATCCCCAACCCGTGTCCTGGTGACCGGTCTTCCGGGTCTCGGGCACCCATGTCGCCATAGTCCGAGGCGTAATTCCCGACGTAGCAGCCGACGGATTGGCCATTCACCTTGTCCAGCGGGATGCCCGCGTTCTCCAAGCCCTCGTAGACCACTTCGAGCATCTGCCGCTGCGCGGGATCCATGGCCGTGGCCTCGGTCGCCGACAGCTCAAAGAATTTAGCGTCAAAGTCTGCCAGATCAATGTCTTTGAGGAACATGCCACCCGGCTGGCGCATCGTCCTCGGCTTCAGAGACCCGTCGTAGTGAGCCGCATGGTTGAACCTCGACTCGGGCACCTTGTTGTACGCGATCTCGCCTCGTTTCAAAAACTCCCAGAACTGTGGGGGTGAGTAGTTACCACCGGGGAGGCGGCATGCGAAGCCTACAATGGCGATAGGCTCCCGGCTGTCATATGTTGGTTCAGACATGTTGTGAAATGTGCACTCAAAGTATAGAAAGTGGATGAAGTGAATGGTACGGACAGACACAGGATGGGCCCGTCTTCAATTATAGGTCCGAAACAGCATAATGACTCTTTTCAACTCTGGTACTGATGACCAGTCAATGGCTCCGCGGCTAAACCATGGAACCAACGGCTCAGGTGAACTGTCAACAACCAGTTGACGCTGACATGGTGCAGATAATCATGCTGCCATGTTTTTTTTTGACACCGTTGAAGCAGCATCCGGACAACACCCAGTCACAAGTAGACTTCACAGAAAGGGTCTGGCAAAGAGTAAAGTAAGCACAGATGGGCCCGTAAGCCGTGCTCTTGACCCTCTTTTCCGTGCTGCATAATAATGCATAATGATAGTCACTTGCGTATTACTTGGTGCTTATTCTGTCTGGCCTCTCACGTTTAATACATCAAACGGGCATCTTACTGGCTGACATTTCAACTTACGTTATTACGCCGCAATACATTTCTGTATGGCCTTATATTGTACGGTAATCCGTAGCGACTTACACTTTACCACTTTACTCAAGCCAGAAAGATCAGGTACCACGAAAACCCTTAAATTTAAAATAGTACAACGGATTCCGGCGACAAATGAAAGTATAGAATAGGCCATAGTTAGATTCATCAGAGAAACATGCTACATTTGTTGATGCCTTGTTTCCGTATGCTCAAGATTTGTAGACTATGCCAGAAACGAAAGACAAAAGGCATGCATACAAATATCGTGTTTTCATCATTCTTACCATTCATAGGCTAAAATAAGGTAGATAAGAAGCTGTGTATTGGACCTGGTTCAATGGATCGTGGTATCTGTCTGGCTACCTTGGATTGGTTTGTCTCAACATCCGTCAATCTGATCCGTACTATGCATCTAAAACCAACAGACTATTCTTTATCCCACAAGCCTACACTCCTCTCAGGCAAGGCTGCCTCTATTTTTTAACGCTATACCACCCCATTCCCCAGCCTGAGAAAATCATGGCAGTGTAGGCAGCTGCGGCGAGATGGAACTCTCGCGTGAAGCTCAAATTGTAAGCCTCTATAACGCCGGCCAGCTCCTCGGGCCGAACCACGTCTCGTAGGCCAGCAGCACCGGCATCGATTACCGTCTGTATATCGACCGTGGGTGCGAATGTCTTCAACCCGTCTACAAGACTGTAGCTGAAAATGACCTGAGCGAATGTGAGGAACACGGAACCCCCAAACGATTGACAGAATGCCACCAGTGACATGCCCAGTGGCGTTTGTTCGGGCGAGAGGGCACTCTGGGTTGCCACCATTGGCTGAAGAGAAAGAGAACGGTCAGTTCCGGCCAACGAGGTCAACGTTTGCCAAGATAATCACCTACCATGATGGAACCACACCCTCGCCCAACACCAGCAATGATCTGGTAGCCGATCCAGACGGCCGGGCTGGTGTCGGGCCTAAGAGCCGATATCAAGCCCGACCCGACGAGTCCGAGAATGCCGCTCGCGATGACCCACGGAAGATAGTATCCCATCTTCCCGACTACGCAAATTCAGCAACGACAGCACTACCTCGGAGTTTTGAGGACAGCTTACCTAAGACACCGGATATCGCGGCCAAGAGCATCTGGCTTCCAATACCTGGAGAGTTGTACACGCCGCTTGAGAGCGGAGACGAACCTCGCACCGCTTGGAAGTAGATTGGCAGGTAGTACAAGTAGATGAGCGCGCAACCCTGCATGAGAAACATGGTCAAACAAGAAGCCCAAACGACGCGCTTTCGTAGCACCGAATAAGGGAACATGGCATTCTCGCCCACGAACTTCTCCCACGCAGAAAACACGGCAAATAGACCGCCGGAGGCGCATAGCATTCCCGTGATGACGGGGTTCGACCACGCATACACGCTCCCGCCCCACTGCAGGGCCATGAAAAGCGTGACTGTCAAGGCGGAGAACAGGACGAAGCCAATTGGGTCAAGGCTTAAGAAAACCGACAATGCGGTTGTGTTCTTTGCTGCGGTACGGACGAAGCCGTCCGGAATGGTAATGCTGGATAGGATCACGGCCGAGATGGCCCCGATTGGCAGGTTGATGTAAAAGCCTGAAGCATTTATATGTCAACTCGTGTCGAGCAAGTTTTAGAAGACACTGTGACTCACACCATCGCCATCCCGCGTATTGCGTGAGAAAGCCACCGATCAATGGACCGCCAATCATTCCGAGTTGGCCAACTGGTGTAACGAGCGTCAGCCTGGAGGTAGTTATAAAAGCCCACATCCTCCTTTCTTGTAGAGAGAAGACTTACTCAGCATCATAAACCCAATGAGTGCTGAATTAATTGTCAGCTTCCTCGACGTCTCCAATGTGTTACTCATTCGACTGTGCCTACCTGGACGTTTATGCATCGGAGTAATAGCAGCGATGATGTTGAGTGCCCCGTTCAGTAAACCCGAAGCCCCGAGGCCTGCTATGGCTCGTGCGAGAATGAAAAGTCTCGAGTTCGGTGCCACGCCGCACAATAGCGAACCCAACTCGAAAACTCCGAGGAAAGCGAGGAATGGGTGCTATTCCACGGGTTATAAGACGTTGATAGCCAATCAAGCTTCGTTCCGCTGACTTACCTTCAGACCAAAGCCCAGGTACAGCTTACCCGTCAATGGTTGCATCGTGGAACTGTTAAGACTCCATCGTTAGATATTCGGTCCCGGCTCCTAATGGAAACACACTGACCTTGCCAACAGGTAAGCGCTACCGAACCAACCAATGTCTCTCAGGGAATGGAACTCGGTCGTGATTTCGGGGATAGCCTGATGTGTTTGTCAGTCAGGTATGGGATAATGTGTCGAGCGGTCCTCTACCCACAGTTGGAAGGATAGACATGTCCAGCATGACCAGAAAAGAGGTCAGGGTCAAGGCGGCAACGACCAAGATAAACTTAGCATCTGTGATGGCATAGGCTTTTGTTCCATCGTCACATTGAGGAACTTCTTGGCTGTGATTTGGAGGGCGGTCTTCCATATCGGAATATGGCGCAAGGAGTTCGTCGTTTTGACTGACGTCCTCTGAGTCGCGGCTATCCTGTGAAGCAGGCGATACAACGGGCTGATTCGCCATTGCGGAGAGCTCGTAATTGTCTGGATGGTATTTCGTAGAAGTTAGTGGGGGTTGTCGTACATCTACGGTCACTCGATACAGAGCTTGTAGTCGTATGGATGTTTGCTTGTATGAGACAGTCGCGGCGTTGTGAGAGAAAAGTGATCGGGAGCTTTTACTCTGTGGACTATTGCTTTGTAAGAGACTGTATTACCGCCACCTTCATTACATAAGGGACAACAGAGTAGCAATGGAGCTTCGACCAGGATCTCAGCCAGTCTAGATCTTCCCCAGCCTATCGCTCGCTTACATTTTGACGGCGTGCGTGTTCCAGAAGCAAAGGGCGGGCGTAAGCCAACATTACCGTTCAGCTTACGGGTGCGTACATAAGTGATTATGTCCCAAACCAAGCTCAGGAGATAAGCCTGCAATCTAGTTCCCGTCATCCGAGAACATGATGGCATAAGGGTTTTATAGCGTTTATAGTCACTCATATAACAGTCGGTATCAGGGGGGCGTTGCAGAAGTATATTTGCCTTTCAGTCTTGTTAGTAGTCCGCGAAACCTGTAATTCCATTCCCCGTGCAGGCAGTAAAGGCAACTTGAAGATCAACATCACCAGGAGTCAAGATACACCCTGCATTGGTGACCATTCCTCAGCGCACTTCCGCTCACACGACCACAGGAAGCTACATACGCAATAACAATGATGGAAAGGTCCATTGCCGTCGTGGGTCCCCATTTCGACCTCAAACTGTCGCATTGGGATCGGACTTACCCGCCAACCCACTCGAAACGAATTCTTGTCTTTGCCCTCGCTGAGAACGCAGACAAGGAGCAAATCGTGGACCAGCTTCACGTTGCACTGCACCACACCGTGCAGCAGGTGCCCTTTCTAGCAGGATCGGTGGTGCCCAACTCGGATGAAGAGGGCGATCGACCTTGGCTACGAAACATATCACCAAACGGTCGTGCATATCTTGACGTGAAAGACCTTTCCGACCGCATCTCCTACGCCGATCTCGCCCAGTCAGACTTTGACCAGACGCTGTTTGACGCCGACCAGCTGTGCTCTCTGCCTCAGGTCATCTACATTCAGCAAGAACCCGTCGACGTCTGCCGATTCCGTGTCAACTTCATCCAGGGTGGCGTCATTCTCGTCATACAGATTCTGCACACGGTGGTCGACGGCAGTGGAGTAACCGAGTGCCTGAAGCGCTTCGCAGACCACTTTCGCAAAGCCCAGGCGGGCCAACTCGGGCATCCCTTGGAGACGGCGACAGGGAAGTATGTCTCGGACCGCACCGCTTTGGTCTCGGGTGGCGGCAGAGTCGGAGCAATAGAGAACCATCCAGCCTTCACGACGTCTGCATTCGCCCACGGCAACATAAAAGGGGTCGAGCAAGCCTGTAGGACGTTCCGCATCAGTCGCGAGGCTCTGGCGGACCTGAAGAAGGCCGCGTCTCCCGAGTTCCCGCGTCACGGCGACGACTGGATCTCCACTGGCGACGCGCTTGCTGCGCTTATATGGCGAAGTATCCTAGTCGCGAGACACAGATCGGGCGCCCTCTCTGCCGACGCCGTCGCCAAGTTTGGTCAGCCAGTCGATTGCAGGAAGCTTCTCGGGTTGCCCCAGCCGTATTACGGGAACGCTTTCTACATCATGCGGACCGACATGCCGTTCGACGCGCTTAGCGATCCGCGGACCGGCCTCCGCACCGCTGCCAGTCTTCTGCGTGCGGATGTGAAGGCGGTGACGGCCGACAGGATCCGAGATCTCGTGGCCCTGATGGAGAGAATCAGATTGGAGAGCCACACCCGCCTGAGCTTCCAAGAAGATCTGGGCTCGTCCGCCATCGTGTATACGAGCCATTTCAAGTTCAACATCTACGACATGGATTTCGGACCGGCATTCGGAGACGGCCGCGTCAAGGCTTTCCGCCATCCGGAACGCGGCACCATTGTGGGAGCGGTCATTGTGATGCCCATGTGTCCGGACGGCTCGTGCGAGTTCACAATCACCGAGTCAGTCGACACTCTTGGGTGTCTTGAGACCGATGCTCTGTGGACTCGTTACACTGGCAAGCAGAACGGATCCAAGATGGCGAATAAATCCTTATGACTCCCAACGCGGCGGGCCGTGTCGGATGTCACCAACGCAGAGGCGGCTCAATTCAGACCTAACGGCACCACCGATGGCTCCGTTCATGGCCGCACCGTATTAGCTCGAACAAATGGCGTGACAGCGGTGGCAATGAAGCAAGTGTCCTCTCGGGCCTGTCGCGCCATCCTTTCCAGCAGCGTCGACGCACCGCATATCGGGAAAGTTTCCATCATTGAGCTAAATAATCCCAAGACGAGGAACGCAATCTCATGGGAAATGCTGAACGAATTGGACAGGGAGCTGGATCGCGTCTACGCCATGGCAAGTAGGAGTGAAGTGAGGGCTGTCGTCATCGCGAGCACACACGACAAGGTTTTTTGCGCCGGAGCAGATCTCAAAGAGCGGCAGAACATGACCCACGACGAGGCTCAGCAATTCTTGACTGAGCTCCGGCGCGTCTTCTCCAAGCTAGAGGGACTGCCGGTCCCGTCCATTGCTTGCGTGTCTGGTCTGGCGCTCGGCGGCGGCCTGGAGCTCGCTTTGTGCTGCCATCTCCGAGTCTTCTCCGGCAACGCCGTCGTCGGCTTGCCGGAAACCAGACTCGCCATCATCCCCGGCGCCGGCGGGACATACCGACTACCACGGGTGGTCGGCCCGTCCCACGCCCTCGATATGATTCTCACCGGCCGCCGGGTGTCGGCCGTGGAGGCAGCGCGTATGGGCTTGTGCAACCGTCTTGTCTTCTCTGGCGAAAGCGACTGTGCCGATCTAGACGTCGTCAGAAAGCTTACACTCGCGACCGCCCTGTCGTTGGCCCGAGACATTAGCGCGGGAGGACCCATCGCCATCCGCGCCGCGTTGACCGCGCTGGCGGTGCCCCACGAAGAAGCTGAAAATGACGCGTATGCCACCGTCTTGGGGACCTGTGACCGTCTCGCGGCCTTGCATGCTTTCCAGACAAAAGGTTCTCCGCAATATCTTGGAGTATAAAGATACCGTGGCCGATGGCAGCGGTTTTTGATATTCTCCAGGCAGATGGCTTCTGCCTTGGACGACGAGCAGATATGAGACCAATGCTTGCTACTCTTATCTTAGCCTTTTTCCTGTTTTCTTCTTTCTATCTTTGATGTCTCTCGAGACTCTCCATCCACGGGTAACAATCATAGGTCATCTCTCAATATTTCTATGCAAATAATGTCGCAGTGTCTTCGTATTCATCACAGAGTTTTATGTGAGCTTCATCTTGGACTCTATTACTCTGACACCACCTGGGATATGTCTATATACGGATTGGCAGAGGGCAATCTCACGCATATATATATCCAATCCAAACTGTTTTTCCTTGTTTTTTTAACCCCTCACCCCCCAAAGACAGTTGAAATCTCTGTTTGGAATAGGGAGTGTGTCACAAGGGAACCCTATGCATATACAAGGCATAAATGTTATATCAGTGGTATTCCCACTTGGGGACCTACTCCTGTTGCAGAAGACAAGAACTATGAGACTAACAAGAATTTTACTTTGCAGATTATAATGGATATCTAATGTGCGATAGCGCAACTGGCCGAAATGGGCAAAGCCAACGTCAGCTGAACCCCATATTCTCCATATAGGCGCATCAATAACCCACCCCGCGGAGTTATTTGAGCGGCTGGTAGCGAAGGCCCGGAAACTAGTGCTGACTGGTGATCTCCTGAAACCCTAAAGCCTGGACTCTTAGCTCAGGGTCGCGAATAGACCAGTCACAGTTTTCGTCGTGTAGCCCTGCGGCTCCTTGATGCGTCGGTTGGTGGGTAAACGTCGCTCATCGCCAGGATAATTACACAATTCACCAATCAGGACAAAGGTACACTAACGACCCCTCACTTCCTTAACGACCTCCACGCTCCTTTACTGTGCATTAGGTGACTGCAGGAGGATAACAGGATACGACATCTGTACAGGGTGGCAGGGCTAAGCAAAATACCCCTACGATGTTATCCCCATAGCTGACATCATGATAGAGGGGGAATATTCACCAAAAGTGAAGTTCTGTAGCAAGGGGGTGAACATTAGTTACCTGGCAGGGGTATTTTACTGCGGCCTCATACCATAGTATAATGCATCACATATTACATCACTATCCTCTAGGTTTCCGACCCTATTGGTAGTGGCTGCACGTCGCAACGAGGAATACATCGTATAAGCGCCAATTGGCATATGCCCACCAGCAGGCCCCAGCAGACCCTAGGAGAACCCCAATCTAGATCCGTAGTTCGTCATCTAGATAAGGGATAAAGCCACGCCTATATACCTGATGTCACCTAGCCGAGTGGCCCTGTTGTTAACGTCTTCACCCTGATGCCAGCCCAACTTTAACACCAAGGCCATAGAAGGTTATTCTATTTCTTGTTCTAGGTTGAGAAGACGTCTCAATGACGGCGACAACAAAAACGGTACGAACATGTCACCAGCTTAGCAGTAAGCAATAGACCAATATCCGTGATACTGCTAGCTATGTATGAAGCTGCTGCCTGGTGGATATATAGATACCCAGGTATAGCGCACGAAATGTGGATATTCTGCAAGAGCTGTCAGATTAGCAGGACAATGCAACGTCAGTCTTACATGCATAGGCCCGCGCATACAGAGTAGCGAGTCCTGCCGGGGAACTAGGCAGGATATCAACAACCCATGTGCATTGGGTTCAATCGTTCATCATGCCTTACCTTGGCTAATACTTACTTGATCCGAACCATAAAGATCTGTTGATCGAGTAATCCTTTCCACGCAAGCGCTCACGTCCGTCACGGAGTGGCGAGATCTGGCAAGGCAATATTTGGGCTAAAGGGCCTATACGGGCGGGCGGCTGCTCTAGGAACTGGTGGCCGAGGTCCGTATGCAAAGCGGTCTCAGGTACACCACGAAGCCATACACTATTATCAAAGGTGCAAACATACACAACAGGCTACAAGGCCAGATGTAAGATACAGCAACAGCACAATACAAGATTTCTGGGTCAAACACCATATCAAAGAATCTCGTAACGAACCCTCTCCATTCAAGGCGGGTAATCCAACGCGTAGGGTCAGTAACGAACGGTCGGCTGGAGGGCTGCAGTATCAACTAACACGACACTTCTTAACCCATTACGGTTGACTTGGCAAAGTGGGTCCGTCAGCAATCAATGATACATATTCACGGGAGCGGCCGCTTGCCAAGTGCTCATCGTGGCACCCTACATAACATGCTGCTAAGCTCTTTTAATGTCTTGGCTCCCTGTGCGGCTGTTTGATTTGACTTCTTTAGACAACGCCATGTCTCAACGAAACACAGGCAGCTCGCTTACCGAACGTCGGCGGGAGCAGAACCGAATCGCGCAGCGTAAGTTTCGAGGTGAGTTGTTGTTCCGACAAAGATAGTTACAGCTGGCCTGCCGCCACATTGACTGATGACGAGGAACCTGCAGAGCGGCATCGGACGGGAGAAGCGGACCGACAGGCCAACACCCAACCACCACATAAAGGTAGAACCCGTGGTGATGCGGCGTCAGCTTCACCGAACTTGTCGGGCTCCACAGTGACGGCGGCCGATGCGGACACCGACCTCGCGATCCCGCAGAGCACAAATTTGTTCTCCACAGACGATACAATACACTTTGGAAGCTTGGAAGACGTCAGCCTGCCAGACATGCAATGCGCCCTTGGGACGGCGGTACTAGGGTTGAATGAGACCAACGTCGACTACTTCGAGCATGACGACTTCGTGGTATCCCCCGGACACCAACCTGTCGAGTTGAATGGCAAATCGGCCGAGTCCGAGCACCCCCTCCACATGGCGGTGCTGCAAGGCTCCCGAAAGATTGTTCATCTGCTCCTGAAGCATGGAGCCAACTGCAACGCCAAGGATGGCCGGGGTCTAACGCCCCTGATCCATGCCATCATCAAGGAACAAGAAGACATTGTGGATATGCTGCTCTCCCATGGTGCTCAGATTCAATTGGTCGACAATCACTTCCAACGGTCTCCAGTTCACTGGACAGTGCTGAAGCGTCAAGACCGCCTCTTGAAGGTCGTGATGAAGCATTGTCAGCAAAATGTGGACATTATCAACGCTTACGATATCGAAGGGAAGACGCCGTTACATATCGCTATAAACCTAGGATGGGATGCGGCAGTGGAGATGCTGCTGGACGCCGGAGCCGACGTAAGCGCACCAACCAAGCCTTTGGGGGACGGTAATTAGGGCTAGTAGCGTTGAGCAGTAAGCAACTATATGACCATATGACATTTTCTGTTCTCATCCGACTTGTTCAACTTGTGGAAAGTCAAGGGGTTATTTTCTTCTGTAGAATATGGCGTCGACTTCTTCCAGCGTTTTCCCTTTCGTCTCAACCCAGAAGATTACCTAAAGTAATGTCAATAAGCGCGCCGTAAGCAGGCGGGCATTCCAACTTACCACAATGAGAAGTATGATGACATCCCAGCTTCCGTTCACAATGTACATCTTCCAACCAATATTCTCTAAAGCGATTGGCATAATAAACACCAACAAGAGCCTACTCGATAGTTTAGCATAGGATATCCACTCCCGAGAAAAGAACACTCACGTAAGGCTGCTCAGCATCAGTGAAGAGAAAGCTAGGCCCTTTGCCCGTATACTGTAATTCATGACCTCCGTCGGATAGAGGTAGGTGATGGGTGTCCAGGCCAGTGAATAAAAGCCCTGAAAAAGAAAGATCACTGCCACGTTGCCATAAACAAGGCTGGTTGGCGTCCTCTCTGGGCCATTATCAGAATATACCTTTGATAACCCTCCGATAACGAAAAGGCAGGCAGTAAGTAGGCTCTGGCCAGCAATAGCCGTCGGACGCCGGCCCCACGCAGTTACTAGGAATGTGCCCAACAGGCAACAAACCAGACACCAAACGTTCAGCACAACGTTGACGTGCAGCTGAGTGCGGCTGTCGGTCACCCCAGCACTGCTGAGCTCCGGCCCCAGGTAGAACAGAGCGATGAGATTCCCTACCACAGTCGACATTGGTCCGACTGAGGCTCCGATCAGAAACCTTCTCCGCACAACCGGGTTCTTGACGATATCCGCGATGGAGCTGTCGTGCTCTTTCTCCGAGGTCAAGGAATCCACAATCTCGTTGTAAATCACGACCACATCCGGATCGGATACATCGCCGTCAGCGTTGGTTTGCGCGACGGCGAGGCGGGCCTCGTCGGAGTGGCCCTGGTATTGGAGCCAACGGGGACTTTCCGGGACGAAGGGCAAGATGGCGATGCAGAGCAGAGAGAAGATTCCTTGGAAAAGCGACGGCGCTCTCCACGCCCAGGAAGTGGTCCAAGAGCCAGTTCCGAGCGTGATGCCGGCCGCCAGGATCGCGCCGATCCAGTAAAAGTCATTGAGGGACCCCACGCCCCATGCTCGGAACCGGCTGTGAAAGGTTTCGGAGAGGTAGACGCCCCCGGCAATACCAGAAGCGGAAGCCCCGAGCCCAATAATGATGCGACCGACGATGAACATGGCGATGTTCTGGGCGGCCGTTTGTAGTAAAACACCGACTATGGCGACAAGGCTGCTCCAAAACATTGCCGGTCTCCTTCCAAGCCTATCCGCTGCCACGCCCGCGAACATGGGTCCTAAAATGCCGCCAATGAAGATTGACGCGGTATTGAGGCCAGTCGTCGCCGCATTCAGTTGAAAGTAGTCTCTGTATGCAGGGAGGATGTTGAAAGCGTTGAGCAAGGCAGTATCGTAGCCCACCGTCTGTTGATCGCTTCTTAGCCTCTCCTCTACTCATCGCATTTACCAAATCTTTTGAGATAAACAGAAAACATACACACGACTGTACAAATGAGCATAGAATGAGGAGGAGGGACAAGACCAAGGTGGACTCTGGCACCCACGCGGGCAACCACGTTCCCGTCTGTGTCTTTCGTAGCATCTTCAAGGCGGCCTGTTCCCAGAAGCGAGGAGGAACCAATTGAAAAAAAAAGAATCGGAGTCTGAATTGTCAATTAGAACAGACTGCAAGGTCTAGTGGTTACTTCGTAGCATACGCAAATTACCAAAGCCTCTCCCTTGGTTATATGATGGACTCTTGTAAGCATATCCGCAACGCTGACGACGGATGTAAGCTAGTGATTATGAAAGAAGTCGAATATATTGTAGTAATCTACTAGACGTAAGACAACAGTACAGCTTAGGATAATAATCACTGGCTGGAACATCTCTGAGAGCGCAGCTGTGGTATGGGTTGTCTCCTTTTGGAACTAGTCTTCTGACAAGTTAGAGAATGCTCATTAACGATTCGGCCCATTGTTCACTTCTCAGCGAACCAGTGATTGACACGTCTTTTTTCATTACAAGTAGGTTTTGACTGCCTTCATTGATTGCTGTTATTTAACAGCACAAGGTAGAAACCTTGTTTAGCATTACTGGGCAAGCCGGAGTTTCCGGTTTAGACTTGGCTATCAGCTGGCACTATTACTACACATACAGATAGCAATGTTATGGATACGTAATCTCTCCTTGATTTCAGCCTTGATTGACTGGCTTCAGGTCTGTTGTGGTATTTGACTAAGCAGGTAAATGTTCAATTCTTTCGTGCCATCACCCACATAAACTCCGCACCAAAGTCCGGGTCATTCTCCTCCAGCGCCCCTTCGCCGGCCTCAAATACCTCTACCTGCAACAAATCAAAGCCAACTTCTCTCAGAAGTTCTTGATTCCCATCTAGGTCATAACTGCTCCAAAACATGCCATACCCAAAGAACTCGCCGTGAATCTCTTCCTCGTCAAAAGTCGCAAGATTCAGAGCAAAGACCCCTCCAGGCTTTAGCCAACCATGGATCTTGGCAAGCATGGCCTTCAGTTTTGCCCTCGGAAGATGGAATAGCGTATAAAAGCTAACTATTCCATCAAAGATCCCAGCCTCAAAAGAAAGAGCCATCATATCGCCAGGAAGTACTGTGGCATCTGGGAAGTTTGCTTTGGCTACTTTACATTGCTTAGCCGAGATGTCGTTTGCAACCACCTGTGCACCATGCTTGAGAAGTAGTTCCAGGACGGGAACGCCAGGGCCGCAGCCAAGGTCTAGGATAGATGGTGAAGGTGACGCTTCCAGCTTCTCGAGAAGGCTCTTGGTGTACCTTTCTCGTGGTGATTTGTTGTCTTTGACCCATTGTAGATACCATTCTGTGATGTTATCGTAGGCGTATTGGACAATGCCTTCAGGTGGGTCAGACATCTTGTGGTGGATCACAGCATGTGGAAGCGGTGGAGGAGAGGTGAGGGATGAAAGATGGGGAATAGATGATATCGAAATAGCCAGAGCGCACAGATAGGCATAGATATGAGATGCGATAAAGTGTCCAAGTGGAAAAAGGGGGGAGAGTCGCGAGCCTGGGCAGTTAGAAATAGCTATTTTGCGAGCCCTCCACGTGATTTGCTGTGTGTTGATCTACGTACAGCTGGATTCACATCGTGTGATAGTAGATACTAATGCATGTTGAACGGTGCTAACTGCAGTAGACATAGTGCGCCAAACATTAGCCATCTCTTCCTCGCTTACGTCGCAGCATCTCCGAGCTGATACATCAAGGCAAACATGACATGGGGGTAGGCCATCCCTCGCAGTCGGGGGTCAAATAACAGGATACCTTCCACCCACCTACCCACCCACATCCAACCAGCGCCACCAAAACACCGTTAATACCATCAATTCAGAAGCCTGGCACTTTACCTCCTAGCCGAATTACATACCGAAGCCTCTTGGGCATCGATTCGATCCATTTATTGATAGTAGATTGATCCAAATCATGCCAAGCTTGCTCCACGAAGAACTTTAGATGCTCTTCATCCCAATGAGGTGTGCTTCGTACGTACTGCTTTTCAACTGACCATGCATGTATCCTGTTTTTTTTTTTTATCCCCGAGTGCCTCGGTAATCCAGACCGACCGGACATTCATCTCTTCACCCGAGTGGCCCGTCACAAAGTGATCCACCGTATGTACGGATATTCCATGGCGTATACGATGTAAAAATGACAGAAGTCTGAGTTCCACAATCGGTGCACCACGCCCTCGTCATTCAGGACACCATGTGTGTTAGATTGACGCCTGCGTCCGTATAAAAGGCTGTCAAAAACTACACTACGCGTATAACTGTAAATATGCAAGAACCGGTGAGAACGGGTAGATTTGAAGGGAGCAAACCCGCCTTTTTGCTTAGGTAATGTTTCATTTGATTATGCTTATGATAAGCATCATGACTACTGGCACTTAGATCTGTGTGTTCGAAGCGTACCCCGTGCTGTAATCAAGCTACGCTTACTACTATAATCACTGCTGCTTGAACTGTTTCCATAGCATCTCTTTGCATTCTGGAAGACGGTCTTGTAAAGTAGTCCTTTCCTTGGACTTAATAATAGTCGTTTGCGCTCTTGATGCTCTTGTTGCTCTTGATGTGTGGCATCTTCTTACTCTCGTTCTTATATAGTGCTTGGCGATTATACTTTTGTACGCAGGTGTGTGAGGCATATGAAAAAGAAGAAAGAACCCCCACTCAAAAAAGAAAGAAACAAAAAGTTTTGACTATGAGTACCTTTGCCATGGCCGCAGCGGTGGTGAAGCTGCTCATTGTACTTCAATGGGTACCTTACGCGTCGGCAAGATTACTCGGCTCGTCCTTCGGACTGCCGATTTTTGACATCTTCAACGTTACCGCACCTGTCATCTTTGATTACATCTGTGTTGGAGCCGGTACGGCCGGTATTGCAGTGGCGGTCCGTCTCGCCGAGGCGGGGAACACCGTCGCTTTGATCGAAGCCGGTTCTCTTCACCAGCTGGGAAACGGCAACTTCAGCCAGGTGCCATTGTACGCTTCTGCCTTTCAGCACACTTATCCCGGCTCCCTCATAAATCCGTTGGTCGACTGGAATCTGACCACTACCCCGCAAGCCGGTCTCTTACGACTCTACCCGCAGGGAAAGGCGGTTGGGGGGACGTCCACCCGGAGCCACCAAGCATTCACGTTTGCGCCCAAGAGCAGCTACCAGGAGTGGGCAGATGCCGTGGGTGACCAATCGTACAACTGGGAGGGGTTTTCCCCTCACCTGATCAAACCAGTCAATTTCACCGCCCCATCGTCGTACCGCTTCCCGAACAGCACCGCACGGCACCCGCCGGACTGGACGAGTCATACCTCCGGCCCACTGCAGCTTGGGTTCAGTAACTATGCCTGGCCGTGGGCGTCTTGGGTCAAGAAGGCCCTTATCGGACTGGGCTTCGAAGAAAACCCCGACGGCTTCGTTGGCGGCTCGCTTCAAGGCGTCGGCTATCAGCTTTCGACGCTTGATGCCACGTCCTTCACAAAAGAGACGTCGGATAGCAGTTACCTCGAGAGACTGGGCATGGACAACGAGAACCTCGTCGTCTACACCAATTCCCTGGTAACCCGGATCCTCTTGGACGATTCCAAGACTGCCAACGGTGTTGAGGTGGACTATGGCGGTCTAATGCTCAAATTGGCTTGCAGAAAGGAGGTCATCGTGTCGGCCGGCGCTTTTCGCTCTCCCCAGCTCCTCATGCTGTCCGGAATCGGCCCCGGAACAACCCTTGAGCAACATGGAATCTCCGTCGTCTCCGATCTTGCCGGAGTAGGCCAGAATCTTGGGGACCAGGTATGCGCTGGGATCAGTAGGCGTGTCGGGGTCCCTACGACGGCGGAGCTTCAATGGAACGAGGACACCGCGGCACAAGCCCTCCGGGACTATGAATCAAGTCCGCCCAGGGGTCCGTATACCTCGTATGCGGGAGACTTGCTCGCCTTTGAGAAGTTGCCCGAGAAGTACCGGCAGCTGCTCCCAAAGTCCGTACGCGAATCTCTTGATTCGCTCAACGCCGACGTGCCTGAGCTGGAGTTTGTGGCCTTCTCGGCGTACGGTGGCCCTCATACCGGCTTTCTCGGAAGCCCTGACGGGCACAACTGGGCGACTCTGGCCGTCGCCGTAGCCTCTCCGTTTTCCCGCGGCAATGTCAGCATCGCGTCGAACAGGGCACGAGACAACCCCCTGGTCAACCCCGCGTGGATGAGCGACACTCGCGACGCTCAAATAGCTCTCCAAGCGTTTCGGCGTTTGCAGGAAATCCTGAACAGCACGATTCTGGCACCGGTGCTGGTCGGCCAGGAAGCCTTTCCGCCCGCCTCCCTACTACAAACTGACGCGCAGGTCCTCGAATTCGTCAAGACGTACGCCAACCCGCTTTTCCAAGCTTCGGGTACGGCCAAGATGGGCCGGGAAAGCGACCCGATGGCCGTCATCGACTCCAAAGCCCGCGTGTTCGGTGTCAATGGCGTCCGCGTCGTCGACGCATCCGCTTTGCCGGTACTTTTACCAGGCCACATTCAGGGAACCATCTGTGAGTATCGGACTGCCGTGAGAACAAGCGGACATTCAACGGCCACTACTAACCGGCATTTGGTGATATAGATGGGCTCGCGGAAAAAATTGCAGATGATATTATCCGCCAGAAAAAGGACGTCGTGGAACCAAGACCATATCTTAGTGACTTGGATACTGAGCAGGTGCCGATGGAAATGTAGGAATCGCTAGTGCTTTCGGTTGACAGAATTGAATCATATCTACCGTCACTTCTCTCTCATCTCTTTCACTTGAGTCACATCGGCATTCTTGACGATCTAGGCACGGCACCTCGTATAAGTTGGATATCCGAGGAAATGCTAAGATTTCAGCTGGGTCGCCAAACTCTTCTATGAAATGTTGCTATTCAACTCTACATAGCCGGCCTTCTGCGTCTTCTTGCCAGTAAACATCCGTTCCAACCGATGTATGTTGCCAGAGGGTGAAGTTTCCGTCGTACTTTTCCTTCACTTGAAGGAGTCTTTCATAATTCTTGCCATAGTAATCCAGCTTCCACTGAGGGTTGTCGTAGGTCGCTTCGTTGATGTAAGAGCCGCTTCCCGGGGTCAAATCCTTCACCCAATCCTGCCACGTATTCACCTTGGCCTGGATGAGTTGAAGATTCTCTACGCTTGCGTCGTCCGGAAACGAGACGGCCGCGCTGGAAGATAAGAGAGCGTTCCGCCACGCCGGGAGGACCGCGTTGCTGTCCGCCTCGACGCCCACATTGGCGTTTGACACGTTGTTGCTCGTGCCGCCAACCACAATCTCACCGGGCACCGTATCGTCGTTGAGGATGCGCTGATAAACTTCCAGCAGAGCCGTCAAGTTGTCTCGGACAACCGCTGCTGGTACTAGTCGGCTTCCGATCGTGTTGTTGGAAGGGAATGATGAATCCTGGCGGTCCGGAGGGACGAGCGTGTCATACAGTTCGACGAACGACTGTCGTTCTATGGTACTTTTTGCAATAAGAGCCACGTTGAGCTCTTGTGCGGCCTGATAGAAGTCTTGCAGGATGGCGTCCAAGTTGGATACGCTACCGCCTGGTAAGGTAGCCGCGGTCAGCCTGAAGAGTCCGCTGGTGAAGATCCACGATGCCGAGAAGCCAGGTACAAGACCGAATCGCGGGCTGAGCTGATACCATGCCTGAACCGCTAACCAGAAAGCCGTCGAGTTAGCGCTGGTAAACACAAACGTCGCGCCCGCGATCTGGCCGTCCGGGTGTGCCTTGACGGTCTGACTGAGAACGATGCCGTAGTTGCCCGAGCCGCCGCCGCTCAATGCCCAGTACAGGTCGGCGTTTGTTGACGGCGAGGCGATCAGGTGTCTTTGGTCGGTGGTAACCACCTCGAACTCGAGCGTGTTATCCGCAGCCAACCCGTAGAGGGACGAGAGTTGGCCATACCCTCCATTCTGGGAAAACCCTCCTGCTACTCCCACACTGGGGCATAAGCCGACTGCCACCCGCAGGCCATACGTAGCCGCGATATTGGCCACTTCGTGTCCCAAAACACCGGCTCCCATCTTGACAGCGGGCCCTGCGTATGTTGAGCCTGTGTAGTTCGTGATGATTGAGACGTCGCGCAGGTCGTGCGTCCACAGCGCCAACGAGCCCTTGCCGGTAGAACGTCCAAGGTAATCGTGGCCAGTGTTCTTGACCGACACGCGGATATTCTTTTGCTGCGCGAATTCGAGCCCCGCCATGACACTTGCTGCGTCGGTGACACTGATGGCGTACGAGGCAACGTTATCGAGGGTGCAGGTGTCGCTGGCCGAAGACAAGAATGGGTTGCATGAATTGTTCAGCCAGAAGGGAGACATGACTGCAACCGGATCATCATAACTACGATGGGAATAAGCAAGTTTCTTCCTTTTCCTAGTCATCTCGGGGCACAACACCCCTCATACGCATACGACTCACTAAATGCTGTTGCTACCCCAGGCGCCCCGGACCTGGGCGCACTTTGCAACATCCTCGGACGGTCGGTAGCAAGGCTGAGCCAAGGGCTCGCCTCGCACAAGCTTGCCGCTAACTGTCGTGTTCAGACGGTCCCAATCAGCCGTTGTAGGCCATCCATCGTCCGTGGGGAGGTAGCGGCAAGATGGATTGCCATGCCGTGGACGAAGCGCGAATGCTGCAGAGGACAGCCCCCAAGACGCTACGAGCACGGCGCAAAGGTTCACCATTTCGACTTGGTGGAAAGTTGTCAAGCGAAGGGAGGGAGAGTAAGATGGTCTATACAGACAAGACGATGGCCTCGTTTGGATCGAGAGTGCCCTGACGGAGTATGAGGTCCGGAGAACGCTCGTAAACGGTTCAGCTTATGAATGAAATCCAACTTTGTGCGGCAGCGCGTCTACCACTACCTCGTTTACTTGCCGTAATAATATTTACCAGGGTATATTCGTTACGGTATGTAAGCACGGCAACTCACTATTGGAATTACGCCCCACTACTGGGCGAGGATGTCATATGTTGGCTCTAGATCTTATTGTCACTCACGAATCCCGGCTTAACATGCAACCACATGCTCTTGCTTATCATTCTGAAGCCGTCAGATATCCCCACACCTAGTAATCATCCATCCTCTCCGTCACTGACCCCTGATCCCTTATCTTGTGGTTTTCTGCAGATTGTCCATGTACGGAGTATTCTTAGTGTAAGTAAGAGTTCACGTTGCAATATGTGTTCCAACGACATATAACCCGTCAAGCACCAAGCACGTTCCAGTATGTCACTAAACGCGGCCGTTCTGCCACATCACACGTGAGAGACGATAGTCACCAGTTCCAGCATCAATCATGTCGTTGCAACTCCTGTCGATCATGCTCCTCTGCCACACACTACAACACCTACTTGTCATACTGGTACTTGGATATACCCGCGCAGACTCTATCCTTCGTCCAGCTCTACTCCCTTTGCTCCTTATCCTTACGCTGTATACCCTTCCTCTCAACGAGGCAATACAACACCCGGTCGTCCATGGGCTCGTCAACTTCAATACGGTCGGTGTCTTATTCCAGTACTTGGACTGTGCCTGCATCAGCCGGTGGTCATACTCCGCCGGTGGACCGACGTCCGGCGCAGGAGGCCATCGCAGGCTAAGACCGGAACCTGAGCACGACAACACTGCCAATACCACCAAGGGCCGGGGGCAGGTTTGGTCGCGATTAGGATTCGGCACTTCACTCGTCACAACTTGGCGAGGAGCAGGTACTGCCTGGGAGGTCCAGTACACCCCACGGTTCGAGCGGGTACCGAGCCGAAGACGCTTTCTCGTCGAGACCGTGCTGTGCCTGGCATTGGAACTTCTCATTCTTGACGCCCTGAGCCTGCCAAAGGGAGGCACGCCGGAAGGGAACGCCGTTGTATTCTCATGGGACAGGGTTAGGCTGCTGTCGCGATTATGGGACGTGTCTAGTGACGAGCTCATCGTCAGGTTAAGGGCCGTCCTCGGGTTCTGGGTGGGAACGTATTTCGCCATACGAGCCATGCATCGTGTCCTGGCCATTGTGGGCGTAGTGACGGGCCTCAAAGATGTCCACCGCTGGCCGCCCTTGTTCGGGCCACTCGGTCAAACGTACACCTTGCGCAGCTTCTGGGGGTGAGTAATAATCCTTCTGTCCAGTGTCAAGTCCGTTCGAGTTGGCGCGTCCAGAAGTGCATGTTACTGATTCAAGGGCGCAATGCGACAGTATATTCTGGCACCAGACTTTACGCCAAAAGAGCGGGAGCCCGGCCCACTACATGACGTACTCGATCCTCGGATTCAGGAAGGGAGGAATATTCGCACGTTATCTCCACCTCTTTCTGACGTTCATCGTATCTGCAGTCATACATCTCCTCGCGGAAGAGTATCCCTGGGGCATTGACTGGGATCGCAGCGGTACAATGAGGTTCTTCATGGCCCAAGCATTCGGTATACTCTTGGAGGATCTCGTGCAGTCTACTCTTGGCACGCGCGAGCCTCGCTGGTGGACCAAGGCCATGGGATGGATCTGGGTTTCACTCTTCGTCTTCTGGTCGTCGCCAATGCACTTTTATCCCCGCCTTCAGGTGATGGACATGAGTGGCGGAGGTGTTCCACCCGTAAGTGTTTTGCGGCCTGTGATGGACCGTTTGTTGGCACGCTTGGTGGCGTAGACCCCTGATTATAGGTGTAATTGGACTTGGTGTTGTATATTATATCATCTACGCCGATCATGATTTACACTTTGAGCCAACCCATGATTCCGTAGTGACGAATGCGTGTGGTATCGTAGCTCACAGAGCCAGTACCCATAGCCTTTTGAAGCTACGACCGGACGACGCCGGAGGATCTAGGGATATGGCTCGCGGAGCTGATGGCGTTTCCACTCGTACACGGACATGAGAAGACAAGAATTGATAGAACAGGTGTGGCGTAAATAGTGCCTGGCTACCAGAACAATTCCGCTCTTGAGAGTGTGTTCGTCCCCGTCTCTCGCTCTCTCGGCTTCTTTGGTATGCTACATTATGTACGCTGCGCCACCTGTCTCAAGACCGCATCGACCTGGTCAAACTTTGTTGTTTTCTTCACAAGCCCATCCAACGCTCCAAACGGAAGCCAAGCAGCCACCTTGGCCAGGATCACATAGTGCCCCCTGAAAATGAGAGGTGGCGGCCGCGTGTTGTTCAACAAGTCCCCCACCACGGCCTTCGCCCACTCTGCTGGTCGCATGCCGGTGCCTTTGAACTTGTCTTGCCTCAAGATCGGTTCGAGCAGGTGTTTGGCCGGCTGGTAACATGACCCCTCGGGCAAGACAGAATCATCCGCATGTTTCGCCGTCCTTGTATAGTTGTTGTTGATGAGGTTGGTCGGCCCAACCGTTCCGGTTTTGAGATCGATGACTTGGACGTCAAAGCTCTCGACTTCCATCCGCAGAATGGCAGAGTACATGGACATGGCGGCTTTCGAGGCCGCGTACGCCGCTCCGCCGGGGACAGGAAGTACGGAAGCGATGGATGTGTGGTTGACGATGATGCCCTTGGACTCGATGATCAGCGGCAGGAATGCCTGGCACATTTGGACCGCGCCCCAGAGGTTGGTGTCAAACACCTTCTTGGCCTCTTCGATGGACACGTCCGCTGCCGTCATTGTCAACATGGCGGCTGCGTTGTTGACCAATATGTCGAGGCTCGGCAGCTTGCCGACACAGCTTGCAATCGACGACGGTGATGTGACGTCCAGCTCCAGCGTCTCGATGCCAGATGCCGCGAGATTCTTCATCTTGGAAATATCCCGGGCCGTGGCGTAGACGTGCAAGCCAGCGGAGTGAAAAGCCATCGCAAGCGCAGCCCCGAGACCGCCATCGGAGCATCCGGTGATGAGAACGCTCCTGGGGCCTCCACGAGCTCCTTCGGAAGAGGCGAATTGACCCATTGCGCTACGTCACAGACCAGAAGAATGGATTGAAGGAACGTGGATGCTTTCTGTGTTTTGCAAGTACAGAGTGATACTGTTCCCCATGTTCATATTGTCACACTCACGATAGACTTATATTGGGCCCTGAATTGCTTACATCTATGCTTACTCCTGACATGCTTACCCATTATCTTTTACGTCGAACCCTTGCCATGTGCATATTTGTCTGCCTATAATACCTGGATCATGCAAAACAATGATTAGCTCTATATGCAATACTGATTACATCCAGTGATAATCCCAACGCGCTGTACCATACCCTTCTCCGCAAACGTGGGATGCACAAGACATGAATGGTTCGTCTCGCCGAGCGCCAATATTTGGAATTTGGAAACCCAACTACCCGCCATGTCTTCAACTACTGCTCATCGCACAGTCAAGTGCAAAACAATTGACGGCATCACGCTGGAAGCGTGGCTCTGGGAGGTTGAGGGCCCAGCACCTGCCATTGTCATGACACACGGCGTAAGTGGCCGAGGGACGAGGCCGAGTTTCATGCACGGCAAGACTGACCAGCCATATCCCGCAGCTCAACTGCGTCAAAGAATGGAGTCTTGACGAGACGGCCGACGCCTTCCACAAAGCAGGCTACAACGTCCTGCTTTACGACCCGAGAGGGATCGGAGGCAGCGAGGGCGTTCCCCGAAACCAGCCGGATCCGTGGCAGCACGCCGAGGACATCTCAGGTATGTGTACCGCCGTGCTTGCCATGTTCCCCAGTGGCTGGCTGGCTATTTGACTAACGACGCCCGCGGTAGATGTCGTCAGTTATGTTGTTACACTACCGACCGTCGACCCCCACAGGGTCATGCTTTGGGGTGTTTCCTTCGGGGCGAGTGTGACGGCATGCGCCGGCGCTGTCGATCCTCGCGTAGCGGCCGTCCTGATGGTCGCGCCCATCTTCAAATTCATCCGTCCCGACAAGCGGAGGAAACTGTTTACGCAGCTGATGAAGGATCGCCAGTCGCAGCTGAGGGGCAACGAGCCTCTGTACCTGCGTCCTTACGACAGTAACGGGGAGAATCTGGCAGGCTACGGCGGCTCCGGGGGACCATGCGCCAAACAAGCGTCCATGTTGATGGAGCTCGGTGTACAGCGCTATGGATACCGCAACCGCATCACCCTTCAGACGTTCCACAAGTTGGCACTCTTCCGTCCCCAGGACTTCCTGCAAGAGATGCTGACTGACAAGCCTATCATGATGGTTGTGCCCGAGAACGACACCATGTCTTTGCCAGGGGACCAGGTCGCGGCGTTTGAATGTTTCAAGTGTCCGAAGCAACTTCACTTGGCCAAGAACAAGGGTCACATGGACATTTTGTCCGGCGAAGGGTTCACAGAGAACATGTCTAAGATGATAGGATTCTTCAACTCGGTTTCAGAAAATGTCGCCTAGCCCCATCTAGATGACCTTTCTACTAAAGCATATATCTGGCTGCACATCTCGCTATACAAGACGCTTTGTTTGTGGCCGTTGGTGTAAACCGCCAAAATTGGGGCTCTATGCATCATTCCAGACGGCAAGCAGGATGCACACCACGGCGTCACACAGGCTCACAGCTATAATATAAGGAATCAGAACAACCAAGACTAGTAAGAAGAGAATGTCTGACAGTGCAGACCAGTATCGCGGCCTTCTAAATAGCCAGGACCTAGGGTGTATCGCATGGGAGGGACATAGAAACTAGTCCCAGACCACATTGCCTAGAGGCGGGGTGCCTGAAGACTCCCCTCGCCCTTGTAGTACACGGTAGTCAATGCATCCATCCACCTGCACCCCGATTCCACCGCCATCGACTCCCGCTTGTTAGACGAACCGACGCACCGGCTGACGCAGGGCGGCACTCCTAGCCGCAAAAGCCCTACTGCTATTACGTAGTGATCCCCAGAGATCGAGGCTCGATACGGATACACGAGCGAAGACGGTCCAGCACGCGAGGACGAGGGCTCAGACGGGAGGGGGCGGCCTATGAACGCCATCGATTTCCCCTTAGCTCACCGGCCGGGCGTTCCACACTCCAAAAGCTGCGTTAGAGGCAACGTGACGGGCTCCCCCTTGATAGATACATTGACCGAGTCGAAACAGTGGCTGGCTTGACCATGTCTCTCTTACCGGACCTCGTGCGGAAGTTGGGTAGTCTCTTGTTTCAAGCATTAGCTATGCACATTGCGTTTGCACTCATAAATACTCGTCACCAATACCCGTTACCGATACCGGCCTAATCCCAATCGACTTGGCCTTCGTTCCTGCGCCGGCATCTCTCTCACATGCATACGAACCCACATCTTCTGGAGCAGATACTAGGACAACATTTCGTCCTCGCCATATTTGCCAGCCACCGGAAACACAATATACAGCGTCACAGATGGAGTGATTGTTGTATTTAGGTATCAGAAGTCATTCCACTCGCGTATCCTAGTAGCTGCGAACAATGCTTCAGTAGAAGAGACCAACTGCCCCCTGCTCTCCTGCCAACCAACTTTCTATACTGCGATACATCTTCTCGCACGACCCTAGGTCCTGCCCCGTGACTAGCTTGACATCAATGTCGTATCCCAGAGTACTCTGCGCGGCACCGAGGTATTTGTAGCCCGTTGGGTACCTCGCCAGCACCTCGTCGGCGAAGGCGGGCGCAGATGTCCCATCCACGGGCACGACCTTGTCTTTCTCGTAGACGAGCTTTACAAATGCCGCTTTCCAGTCTCGCCGTTCGTATCCGCCTTTGCAGCGACCGACCTTTTCTCTCTCGCAGAAGAAGATGAAGCGGCAGTCGCAGTCGACGTCGTATTCGAAGCCGTCGCGGTGCTTGAATCGCTGGGTGATGGTCGCCTTCATCTTCCCGACAGCACGATTGGCCGCGAGGTTCAGCTCTACAAGGGTGCCGCACTCGCGGTGCATGATGAAGTCGCCCATCTTCTTTCCCTCGATGGAGATGCGGATGAAGTCATCAATGGGCAGAGCGCCGCTCCAGGCTGTATACCTCAGTGTCAGTCGACAGCTCTCCAAGGCTTGTTGCAATGCCGATCCAAACAGGCTGTCAACGCACTCGTCTAGACATGGGCATCGTCGGTAAAAAGTGAGCGGTAGTTGGTCCATTCGCAGGCGTCCCGGTAAACAGGCCAGCCCTTGCAGAGTTCCGAGACGGCGAGGCGGTCGAGGAGCTCGGCGGGGCTGCCTCCGATGTGGGAGTATTGACGAGTGTGAGGGTCTGTCATGACGTCTATGTAAGGCGTAGAACAAGGATTGTATAAAGAGTAGAAATGCTCTATTGATGACTTGAGTGGGCTTAACGTGTTTGGGCACGGAGAAGCGAGGCGGGAGCGTGAGAGGAGAAGCAAAACGGCTCTCATATACCGCCTGTCTGCTGGTTTTTCTTGCCTTTCTGTTCAGTAAGTAAGAACTCGGCCTGCATTTGGGAAGGAACCCATGTATGCTGTTGCCTTGGGCTCCTTCCCTGGCATGATCGAACTTTGTCACGGAAGGAGCAAATCGCCTGTCTCCTTCCATCCGAGCTGCCTCAGTGATGTGGATGTACCTCGACTGATACGTACCTACTTAGGCAGAAGGCAGTCAACCAAAGTCCCCCACTCGAGAGAGCAAGAGGGAAGGCGGTCGAACGTGAGCTCAAGTCTGATATGAGCAAAGTTGATATTGGGTATCGTCTAGGTTGGTATTGACCCTAGTTCTCACACCAAGCTATCATACCTTCTATGCTGCCATCGACAAAAAGGAAATCCAACATAGGTACTACAAACATGCGGGAACATTTGGCCGTCTCTTCGTTCTCGTTCAGAAGATATCTTTGTAACTCGGAACAAACAGCATAAAGAGAACCAGCATCAGAACAACCCAGGGGTATTTCCACCACGAGATCGGCTGGGTATGGCCTCCTCCCTCTCGATAGACGCTCAATGCCGCGGCATGGAACCCGTCTGACGTGTGTGCGGCGACCTCGTCGGTCTCATTTTCCATCTCGACTACCCTCCCAGATACGCCATTCTCGTCAGAGATCATGTGCTCCAAGCCCTCACTCTCGTCCACAATCTCAACGACCCTCCCATACAGTCTACTCAATTCAGCCGTCTCACGAGAGGGTCCATTGCTTCCGATGATTCTACTCGCGATATTCGGCATTCTCCCAAGGCTCCGCCACCCGCCACCCCTCCACCCCGGAGACCTTGGCGACGTAACACTCTCGCCCGTCCCCATCAGCTCCCGCATCGCCTCCCTCCGTCCCCTCATCGCCATCGTGAATCCCGTGGGCGAGAATGCATCCACGGGAGTGCTCAATGGCGTCTCTGGCACACCCCCCGTTCTACTTTCGACGCTCTCTCGCCTACTACCGCCGTCCTCTGCCCATCCATACCCCGCAAGATACTCTGTCAGCCTTGGAGTCAGGGGCGTCACATCGGAAGGCGACAGCTCCCTCTCGCAGTCTGTCGTCATCGACACGGGGCTCACGGTGAACGGTGAAAAGTTTGTGCTCCGTCCAGATAGCGGGTCTGGTTGCATTGGGGACCATGGGGCGGGGCTCCGGCCGGCGAAGAGAGGGCTGTTTGATTGTCGGCGTATGCGGATCGGGTTTGGGGCACCGCCGCGGCGGTGACGGGGAGACGAGATTTGCATGGCTGGCAGTCTGGGGGAAACCAAGATTCCGACGACGAGAAACCGACCCAACCGAGAGCTTCTTTGATGAAAGGGATAGATAGATGGAATTTGAATATTCGTCAGAGAAAAAGACGATCGATGGGGGGAAACGAAGATGGAAACCTCACATCTTAGGGGGGTCGCCGCGAGGCACGACTTATGTGTTGACCCCCATTTTCTGCCCTTTGTGAAGCCGGGTAGGCAAGGGGCAAACACCAAGAAATGAGCGCTCAAGGTTGCCCAATCCGGCGTCATCCTGAAGTCTTCAAATCAAAGGAGATGCAGCAGTCCAGTTTGTTGGCAACTGATGAATGAGGGAAGTTCCTGCCTTGTCACAAAGGACGAAACGGAATACGAGTTCGAAAAGGGGCCGGAATTCAGACGCGACTCAAAACCAAAGGGACGTGTCTTTGCCGCAACGGCTAGCGACTGCGGCAAACCGGGTTTTCGGCAAATGTCGTAAGTTGGTGCCGAGGACGTCTTTACTATCGACGAGACGCAGGATCTATGCAATGTGGTCTATGTGATATCAGTTGGCCCGCAACAGTATGACTGGATCATGGCATTTCTGGAAACACTCTTGCTGTAATCACGGAGAAACCGATATCATTTGATCCTGAATCTATCCATCATGCTAGCGCATTGGACCTCCTTTCGATTACGATGCCGAGCCACAAGGTATGATAGAAAAAGGACAGAAAGACGCCATTGAGTCTATATCAACACCATCTGCCGACCCCTCGTGTCCAAGACTCCGGACCTCCTTCCAATACGCCACATAGATTCAAAGGCATACACATACGCACACACACCGAGGGAGAGAGATGGGGGGAGAGATAGATGCAGGTAGTTATTCCCAGAATACCACGCCGTCGTCGCGAATCTTGTCCGAACCCACGCAGGACCGACCACGGCTGCTTAGAGTTGAATATCGTCTGGCATCTGCAGACTCGACGGGTCAGTCCTCGGCACGCGGTAGGCATCCACCACGCCCAGGTTCACCGGCATCTTCCAGGGCCCCAGCACCTTGTCCGCGCAGGAGTGGCACCGGATGCCGTCCATCTGGACCCCCGTCTTGCGTCGCAGGGACCGCGTCCAGCAATTTTTACCAATCATATGGCCGGCGCCGCACTTGAGGCGTACGGCGGCATGCGCGTGCGGCGGGCGGTCCATCTCCTCGCCGCAGGCCACGCAGTCGATGGGGTCCGGATCGCCGTCGGCTGCCGCGAGGGCATCGACCTCCTCCGCGGTCAGCGGCTCGAACGTGTCGTCTATGGCGCGCTGCCGGGTGTGCTCGTCTTGCAGCCACAGCGCCAGGTTGCGCTTGAAGTGGTACTGCGTGTACTGCAGCGTCTCCTCGTTGAACAGCATCTCCCCGGCGAAGCTGTATGGCCAGAACCGCATCATGTCCCTGCCGGCCTCGAGGAGCTTCTCGAACGGGGCCAGGAGCGCAGGGCCGACGAGCTCGCCCCGCCGGACGGGGTTAATCTCCCATATGTGCACGAGCATGTCAGCCACGGCCCGGGCGCGCGCGTGGGACAGGCCCGAGTCCTGGGACAGCAGCGTCGTGGCGATGAGGGAGAATTCGCACCGCATCACGCGTTCGCCGCCTCCCGACGCCAGGCTGTATTGCCCCCACGAGTCCTCCCAAGCGGCGGCGCCTCCAAACTTGACGAGGGCGCCGCTGAAGGTCTCTTGCCAGATCTTCTCTAACCGCAATTTCTCGTCGAACTTGGTTTTGAGAAACGGGATGACCGCCACCGGTGCGTTTTGGGAGTTGGCCGGGTCGACGACGTTCTTCAGGATTTGGATATCTGGCTGGCTGAGATGACGCTGGACGAAGTGTTCGTACGGAGGTTGGCGCGCGTCAGGGACGCCCTCGTTCTGGGGTCTCTCGGTGTTCATATCCGTGACGGGCACCACCTGCACGTTGTCTTGAGCCACCAGGACCGGATCGTACACGGCCATTTGACAGGGCCAGTAGCCCCGATACGGGAACAGGTATCCCTGGGACACGGTCCGGCGCATGGCCGCGCCGATGTTGTGCAGCTCCGGCCACGTGTTGGTCGGGATGTCCTCGAACGGCTCCTTCTGCTTGGGATCCGTCCAATGGGTCCCGGTGCAAAAGGCCCCGTTGTCAAAGTGGTCTTTGTCGAAGCGGCAGGCCGTCTCCATCTTACACACGCGGAACGCCCGCTGGTCGTCGGCGTCGTCGACGACGGTGCCCGCCGGGGTGAAGGCCATGGTGAGGAACTCCATTAGCGATTTGGCGTACTCCCGGGCGGCGGCCTGGGCCCGCGGGCTGGTTTCGTCTATCGTGTGTAGGTTCGCGGTGACCCGGACCGGGGCGTGGCGCGTTTGGAAAAACTCATTGGTGCATGAAGGGCAGGGTACGTCGTAGTTCTCCGTCACCATACCAAGGGCTCCTGGGGCGATACAGTCTGCGTATCTGGGGTTTGCGCATCGGTTAAGATATGAGTAGGGGTGCTGCATCCAGGCATCGTTCTCCCAGCACCTATAAATCCTCTGGAGAAGGATACACATATTCTTGGACAAGACAAGACGTTGATTCTGGCGAAATGGAGCCAATGTAGCTTGCAAATCTGTTACAGAACGGCGAGAAGATGAGGAGAGTGTAGGGAAACTCGGCCATCTTGAACTCTCCTGCCAATGGCAAGGGAAGCGTCTACTCGTTCGGTTGCATCTTTGGAACTGGGAGAAATGAGCCGGTCCTCAACAAAGACTCGATAGTTTCTGGCCATGACACCAGACGTCAAAGGATTTGAAAGGATTATTTTGCTATCTGGGAAGATGTGTTTTTGGGGTGCTCAAGGGACTCGGCAGATCATTGAGCCTTTGTCTTGCGAGTCCTTGACGGATCCCCGTCGCTTGCTCGGTGGTACGAGCATCCGGGATCCTCTCTCATTGTAGACGTTGCGACTGACGAGAGCAGCAGAAAATGGTTTCAACCCAGAGTAACAATGGGTTGCCGGGGAAGAGCAAAGAGCCGCAGTCTCGGGCACGAAAATAGCACCGGCTCTTTGACTACACCTTTGGCGGTGTGAGCCTGCAATGATCAACTTGGACCTTTCGAGGTCTTGTCCAGCTGCAAGACATTGTGCATAGGAGGACAGACAGGCGCATGGCACTCGCCACGAGCGTCTCTCCCTCGCGACGGTTAACTGTTGGCCGCAATGTCATTTGTTCGGGCTCAGTTTGGTGCCCAATAACCTGCGAGGAAACAGTCTGCAGGCTGCAGGCTGCACGGCGGCTCAATGGTGTAGGCTGACTGGCTGAGAGGCCGCTGCCCGTCCGCCCTGTCCTGTACGGTTCCGGAAGTCTCCAACTCACTGATGAGCGCCCGACAGCGGGAAGACAGAGCTCATGTGCTGTGGAAGTGAGAACTGAAAAGGGATACTGATAGTCACTGGCTACTCTCATGCCAGGCCATACGTGATGAGCGGGAGGAAGAAGAGGAAGTGGAAGAAGAAGAAGAAGGAGAAGAGGAAGACAGGAAGGAGGTGCTCACCGAGGCCTGCTGAGTCATGAACGTGATTATGTAAGTCATCAATCGGAATCCAAGCCCCCTACGGATACTATAAGCTGAGCTCCCCATGCACCCGACTCCCATGTTCCAAGCTGCCCCAGAGATGAGTTGGCAAGACCCATTCTGCGAGATGGTCTCTTCAAGACGTCCATCCCGTCACCGACTGTCCTCTTTCACGATGAATTCCTCAATGCCCGCCGTATCCTCTTGGCGAACCTAGACTAGCCTTTGACAAGCCTATACGTATCCGATCACGAGCTCGCTCAAGCAGCCGGGGAGCAACCCGCCCCTTGACGGCCTTGATGCCCAACCAGCCATCGTCGATCTACAATGTCTTCTTCTTCCTCTTCTTGTCTTTTCTAACTGCTCCGCCGTTTCCTCTCCCTTCACCTCCGGCAAGCGAACCTGTACGGTAGCTGGCCATCGGGGGCGAAATCCCCCAGCCTGCGGAAGAGGGGGACAATCTACGAGTCAGACCTGCCAGTGCAGTCGCCGCTGTAAATCGGCGAGTATCAGCCCATCACCGTGTCGATGGACGACGAAAGCCTCATTCATCGCGACTGGTCAAACCCATCTTCCCTCCTTCCCCCCCCTCCTTTCGTCAACCACGACACCCATCAGGCAAAGGGGTCCAACGTACCCAAAGTTTGGGCCATGAGCGGCCCGACGAGTGCGGGAACCGCTCCTGCGCTAGAAGGGGGGTACCATTGCCACGCCTGCCACCGGTTCATTGGTTTGCCAACTGCATGAATCCTGCATAATCGCACCCAGCACGTTGTTCTCCTTCCCCCCCCCCCCCCCCCTCCGCATGCGCTCGACTCCGTTTCCTGCTAGGGGGGGAGATATACAGTCTTACACTCCCTCCGCTTCTACGTTCGCTGAGCGGTTGCTGCTCTTTGCATATGCGCTCCTCCCCAGCATCGTCCTCTCGGATTCCATCACGGAATCTCCTTCTGCTCAGGTGAGTTGCCAGCTGCACCGTCGACCTCTCCCACCAATGATCCGTGGCGGCCTATGGGACGACTCGGGGTTATATATGTGCCATCATCGGCTTTCAATCTGCCTTGCCGGTCCGTCTGTCCTGTCTGTCTGTGTTTATCATGTTCCTAACCCTTCCTTCTGTTCGCTTCCGGCCTCCCTGCTGCGTGACCCCTTGTACTCTATAAGTTCTTGATCCTTTATACCCCTTTTGAGCCATCACCTGTCTGCCCAACTCGCATTGGATGTATATCAATCTGCAATCCGGAGGCCGAGCGCCGTGGAGTCTCGGGCACAGGAGGGAGGGTCGTCCGCTCGAAGCCACCTGGCCGCAGGCGTTTGAGGCGTCCGTCCCCGTCGCCGAGCGCGACACCGCGGTCACAAAGAGACAGGTCTCCATATCTGGCGGGCAGACGACCAACCTCACAGTCGGCATCACGGTCGGCGTCGCCGTCCTCCTCTTCCTTCTCGGGGCGGGCGCGTTCATCTACTGCTACGGAATATCTCTCAGAAAGATCGGCCGCCGGAGACGTCGCCACTCCCGCCGCAACCGCCGTTATCAGCACAAGTCGGTCAGCTCAGGGAGCTCCAAGAGCTCGGCCGAAGGCCCCCCGGCGTCCCATGCGTCTCGTTCGGCTCCGCCTTCTGCTGCTCCGGCAAACGATCCCCCAGCCGACCCCCCTGCCGACCCTCCGGCCGATCCCCCGGCTGATCCCCCAGCCGATCCGCCTGCGGATAAGTAGGGAGGCGGGCTGATAGGGACTTCGCTTTCGCCTTGGGAGCGTTCGCTTGGGCAATGAAAGAAGGAACGAGCCGTTTCAGGTTGGTCAACAATGCCTTCAAGGGATGACAGTATGCTGACATCGATATCAGGCCTGCTCGTGTCACATATGGTGGTCTACATGTTGTAAGTTATGTCGGTGTGCGATGGTTTTGGCGAATTGCTTTGAGCGGGAGTTTGCGGGCGTGGAGGGAGTGTCCATGGCAAATACCAGGCACCAACAGGACTGGGGAGGGCGATCAGCATCCTTATTTGGTAATATGTGCAGTCGTAATTGGTTATTGTTCTGCGCTCGGCCGATATTTATATATCTTGTTAGTGTTTGTATCCGAACAATGGTCTCTTCGTTTGATACAGCGGAAAAGAGTTGATTCACTTTGAGCTTTCCCGCCTCCGACCAAGACAAGGTCACACCGCCGCCATCTCATTGTCCTCGAGAACGACCTCCCCGTCGCCGGCAGTCTCCCTTCTCAAGTCTCGAGACCCCTTTGGCACCCCGCATAGGGCGTCAAAGAAGGAGTAGCAGCATTCATTGCACGTCGCATCCCCGTCGCCTCCAGCGTCTCTTGCCGTGGCGAACTCTTCCAGGCGGAAGTTGGGATCCGTGTCCCATCCCATCCCCAGTGCGAATTCCTGGTCCAGTGCAGGCCCGTAGTCGACGAAGTCGTCCCCTAGAGGCATGTTCGCCCCGGCGCCCATGCCCATCCCGAAGGCCGGCGCCGGGGGCATAGGCATCGCGTTCATGGGAGGCATCGGCATAAACCGGATAGTCGGCCCGCGGGCTCGAGGCTGGCGTCGGTCGCGACGGGCAGGCTGTGTCTCGGTGTTGCGTTTGGCTTTGGGGCATTGTTTCTTCTTGGGCTTTGCTTTGTAGTGGTGATGGTGGTGATGGCTGTGCTTGTGATGGCGATGCGTCCACCTGTGTACTTGAGGATGTCGATGGGCATGAGTATGGGTATGCGATTGGGCCACCGGAGAGGCGTGCAAAGGTACGTGGTGGTCATGAGGATGGGCCTTGTCGACGTGAGAGTGTGCCGGCTGGGAGGTCTTTCTGCGCGGGTTTGGTGCGAATGCACAGTTGAAGCAAAGGTATACAAGGGCGACGGCAGCGATGCCGCCTATCAGGCATCCGACGAGCATGCCCGCTATCCGGCCCTCCTCGCCGCGCCGGGTGAGCCGGTGGAGGACAGATGCCGCTGCGTCGGCACTCTTTGGGGGCCTCGTCGGGATCGGTGTCATTGCAAAGATGGCCCTGGATGGCTCCTCGACGTCTCGAACGCACTGCTAAGGCACCGTCTGGCTTGGTCTATTTGGAAACTCCGTCCTCTCACTTTACTATTATGATGGTCTTATGTTATTCAGGGGCGGACACCTCACGATAGGTGTGTGAATCATCATGCTCATCAGCCCGTCCGACTATCATCACCAACTCCTCGTAAGTAGGTCGTTTGCCGCAATCCTGAGACGATGAGACGACAACATGCGTCGTCAAAGACAATCTCCAAACCAAGGAGAGGAAGCAATCAACAATCCGCATCAAACTTCAGGCCGGTGATGCCTCTATATTTGCGAATCGTTCCGGGCACGCCGAACGCAAATATCTCAGGTCCCCCAACTCCACGCTGCCGGAACATGCTGCGCGACGTAGCACCAAAAACACCACCGCATACCACACGTACCCGATTTACGTTTGCGTACACGAAAACGTGTTGCCATTGCTGACCTTTCATCCCCTCCCGGATATGTGCGTGCCGCAGCAAACACGGCGGGGAAAGGGGGGGGAGGGGTGAAACTATTATAACGCTGTATCCTACAAACTCGCACGTCAGGGCAATCTTCCTCCAAACCCCTGACGCAACGTTCCAAAAAACCGAAAACCCGGAGTACGCCGGTTCAAACCGCAGTTGAAATCATCGTCGTTGTGTTATCATCCTGCGTCGCGGGGGGTTCAGACTCAAGTCATCACATTCTGTATCATAGCCCGCCAAAAAGGAAGAATGGAAGAAAAAAGAGAAAAGAAAACCTCAAGCCCTCCACCGGCCGCGCCTCTCCTGCCTCCTCTCCTCCCGCTCCCGGAGACGCGCCAACACGGCCTCTATCGCCTCCTGCGTCTTGCCCGAACGCTCCGCGAACGCCTCGTAGAACTCGCAGTCGGCGTGGCCAGGCTGCCGCTCGTTCAGGGAGACGATGGTGTTGGACAGGGTCTCCAGGCTCTCGATGAGCGGGGCGTAGTCAGTCCCGTGCCTGCGTCTGCGACGGTGGGCGTTGTCGTCGTCGGCGTCGGCGTCGTGGCGGTACCTCGATGGCGAAGAGTGCCCGTCGCGGGGGCTGTGTCGTCGCCTCCGCTGGCGGTCTTCGTCCTTGCTACCGCTGCCGCCGCCGTCATGGTGACCACGTCTGTGGGGGCGCTCTGGGGAGCGGTCTTGTGATCGTTCGCGTGAGTGAGCATACCGGTCCTGGCTGTACGCCCTCCTCTTCCCGCGCCCGCGACTCTTTGCGCTGGCCCGTATCCCTTCGCGCCCGTCCTCCTCGTCCGCGCCGCCCCCGAAACGGTCCACGGCTTTGGAGAGGATGTTCTTGCCCAGGTGCTCCAGCATCTCCATGTCCATGTTCGGGACGCCGCCCCGGGCGCGCTCGTCGCTGTCGTGGTTGCTGTTGCCTCGAGCACTGAGACGTCGGTCGTTGTAGTGTCGGTCATCCTTGTCATCGCCGCCGCTGAGTTTCTTCATGTACTTTTTCACGGCGTATGCGACCAGCCCCCGTGCGAGTGCCTCGAGGATGATTTCCATCTGGCCATGGTGGTTTTCTTCGCCGCCGCCGTTGCGTTTGTCGCCATATCGGCTTCGGTTGCGGCTACTGCGGTTCGGGGACGGCCCGGTGTTGCGGGAGCCTGTTAGTGTTCGTATTAAGCCTTCCATGAGCACGTGAGGTATGGGTTCATCGAAAGATTGCGCAAAAGTAATGGGCGAGCGAGCGTATGGTTGGTGTAAGTGTGCAGAAGTGAATGAGAGAGAGAGAGAGTTGGGGTGTAATTGAGGTACGGACTGAGGGAAGGAAAATCTGCTTCCTTCTTTTTCTTTTTCTTCTTCTCCTTCTTATTTTGAGGCAACCCGGCGATGACTCGTGGTGGTTATTTAGCTTGTGCTTTGGTGGCGCGGGCAAGTCGCGCGGGTCGTCGTGGTCATGTGGTGATGGTGTTTTCTCCCATGTGATTGAGTGAGCGCCTGCACCACCCCATCGATATTTTTGGGGGCGGGTGTGAGACAGGGTCCAGAGGGAATCGTGAATATTAACAAGTCAGACGGTCGCTGTTCTCTCTCTGTAGGCAGAAACACTTTTGTCTTGATGGCTATTCTCGTGTTTTGAATGACCAACGTCTGCTGCACTTCCGGCGTGGCTTGGAGTCTGTTTTGGTGTGTACGTGTGTGATTTCGATGGTAGTGGACCAACCTGGTGGCGAGGTTATTGGCCGGTGTGGTGAACCCAGTTGTGAGGCAGCCTAAGCAAAGTGGAAATGACAACCTAGTTTGTATTCTTCTTTGACAGGAACAATTCTCTGACGGGACTTGGTCTGCCTAGTACAATGTCCAGGTGTTGTATCTCAGTGTTCGTCTGTGAACGATTGCCGGCACCATCGATTATCTCTCTATAGGTAAGATATAAGACGTACAATCAGACTTCAAGGGCAAGTCATAAACCCCAAGTCTCTCAAGCATAACGCTGCGTGTTTGTTTCCTGTTTCGTACCGAACCTGGATACCCTTATCCTCGCCGATGCTGTTGAGATGCGAAACCATGTCTTCCATAATCTACGACATAAACCATGTCTTTGCCGGCACCAGTTTTCCGCCGTTGCGCCTCGCCCATCTATACATACCTACCCAGCCATGAAACCCCATCACTTGTGGCGAGCTGCCCGTTTAGCTGAGCAGCTCCTTGATGTCCTCGATCCGCTGGAGCTTCTTTTCTTCGTCACTCATCATGCCCAGAGACGTGGCACTAAGCAAGCTAGGTCAGTAAACGCTCCTTTATCGGTTACACAAGAAAAGAGGGAGGGAAGGGTCAACTCACATAAACTTCTTCCGGTCCTGGACCCGGAGCATCCTCTCCTCCACGCTCTCCTTGACGATGAAGCGATACACCTTGACCTCTTCGTCCTGCCCCATCCGGTGCACCCGATCGATCGCTTGCGCCTCAACTGCGAAACTCCACCAGGGGTCCATCATGAAAACCCGCTTCGCCGACGTCAGGTTCAGCCCGACACCGCCGGCACGGAGACTGAGGAGCAGCACGGTGAACGTCTTGGACTCCTGGAACTCGTTCAAGACCGCCGCGCGTGCCTTTTGCGCCATAGAACCGTCGAGGCGCAGGAATTTGATGTTAGCCCGCGTCAGTGCTGGCTCGATAAGCGACAAGAACGACGTGAACTGGCTGAAGACGACCGATTTGACCCGCGGCTGCTCCTTTCTAAGCCCGCGCAACGCCTTGATGAGTGCCACAACCTTGGCCGATGAGTTGTTGATACCCAGGCGCTGCAGGCTGATCTTGGGCTTCTGGAACATGTCCGTGTCATCATCGTGCCGAACAACCTCAAAGAGGTCCCGGTAGTTGATTTCCGCGCGGCAGTTGGGACAAGTCGGCACCTTGTGGCGGTCTGTCTGGTGCTTCATGTAGTCCAAAAGACACTTTTTGCACGCCGAGTGCCAGCATCCAGTCACCGTCTGTTCCACCATTGGCTCTTCCGCGCAGATTGGGCACTCGTTTTCGGCCTCGTCACGAATCTGGCCAAGGATATGTGCCCCGAATGCGGCCGTGCCGGACTCCGACTCCGACACTGCGGCTGTGAAGTGCTCAATGAGAGAGCCCAAGTCCATGTCGTCCGCGAGACCTGCTGCCAAGTCCGCCGCCGCTCCGGCTTCCACCTCGTCAGCGACGAGCTCCTTGTTTCTCACCAGAATAGGGTGACAACAGGATTGACGAAGGCGCAAGATATGGGCAAAGATGCTAGTGAATGCTTTCATGACCGTACCCGCTTCCACGTTCTCCCGGAATGATTGCTTTGCTCTCGTAAAGATGTAGTCGTAAATCTCGCGTTCTGTTTGACTCAGCTCGACGTCGACAATCTCAATGTGCTTCGGAGGCAGCGGAACCAAGCTGCTATACGTTAGCAACACCCACAGACTGGAGCACGAAATACTTGCAGTTCACCATCAGGCGTCTTCATATCCTTGGTACGTCTGAGAACCAGGGGCTCCAATACCGTTTGCACGACGTCAAGCGCCCGCATGAAGTCCTTGGACTCGAAGGGAACTGTGATGAAGGTCTTCCAGAACGAGAAGTTGTTCCAAGGCTCCACGCGCAGGAATCGGACCAGACTGAACAGATCCTCCAATTTGTTGACGATTGGCGTTCCCGTCAGCACCCATCGGTGTTGGGCAGATATTTCGTAGCACGCTTTGGCCGTCTTTGATCCTCGGTTCTTGATATGATGGGCTTCGTCGAGGATAACGCGGAAGAAGTTCAGGGAAAAAATGCCAGTGTGAGCAGACTTGTCCATCTTCTTAGAGGCGACTTGACTGAACTCCGACAATACCACACCGTAACTTGTAATTACCACATCGGGGGCGGACGCCGCGCTTGCGGTGCAGCACACGGCCTGGAGGTTGCTAGCCTTCTCATTACCGTAATATACCATGGCCTTGAGTGTGCCTTCTTTCGAGGCCTTCTCTGCCTCACTTTGCCACTGGGACAGCAACGACATGGGAGCCACGACGAGTGTCGTACATGGTGCAGACAGCACACTTGATGAGTTGGAAGCAAGCCTTGGGAGTTCGTTGACAGATGTGGGGGCGCTGCCATTCGCCTTGGCCAGCTGAGCAATGTCAGACCGGTGAGAGTGGACCAAGCTGAGCATCTGGATGGTCTTGCCGAGACCCATCTCGTCAGCCAAGATACCACCCAGGCAGTTCTGTTCCTGGACGGGGAAATCTAGTGACAAATCTCCCGAGTACGGGTTGACGTAAAAGTGTTGCTGATTTTGGACCTGGGGAAGCTCCTTGTCGTCTGTATCCTTGAGAGGCCAGGCGTACTCCTCCCACAAGGGGTGCATGCTCGGCTCCCTGTTGCTCTTCTGGTCCTTCTCCTTTGTCATCATCCAGTGCAACGCTTGCTTCTGGTATGGCCTCAGGTTCATGGCGAAGGTGTCTGCAGGCTCTGCCTCCGGTGTGTTGAAATCAAAAGACTGGGCTTTGCGGTACAACGCATCTAGCTGGTCCTGCTCCAGCTCTTCTCCATCCTCTTGTTCGTCTGAAGGAGGTGAAGACCCAGGTTCTTTGACAGCTGACTTGGACGCATCCTTTTCCTTGTTGTCCTCCATCTCTGCGGCTTGGAGCAGCCCTTGTCGTTGGCTTTTACCAGCGGTCGGGTTCGCCCGGGTTGGCTCAAGGTTGACCTCCTGCAATATCTTCACCAATGCGATCTGTCGAAGACGTAGCTCCTTCTCCTCCGATGACTCCTTCTCCTCGAATAATCCAGTAGCCCTGTTGTCGGAGAGGGTGAACCCGGGTCGATGAAAAGCGGAGGCTAATAGGAAGCACTTCAGCTGAATGAAGACGGTGTCGTTAGTCCGTAACCGCTCTGGAGCATAGACGCATACGCCCTCAAACTTGCAGATTTTCTGGTCTACCAACGTCGAGACCCATTCGGCCGTCTCCTTGGCCAACCTGCCAATCTCGGACCCACTGCCAGTTGTAAACCGCACCATTACATCAACTCGTCTCGAAGCGGCGGATGCCCCGCGAGGAGCAACAGTCGTGACACCAAATTTCGTCTTCACCCGCGTAGCCTGGGGGGGCTGGACCTTTTGCCGCTCGATCTTCACCACGTCTCCATGTTTGAGCAGATTTGTACCGCTGCGGGTCGCCCAGCCTTCAACGCCAAGCGAGCCGATGTATCGGGCTTCAGGCATCGTACGTCGGATGACGGGCTTCGGGGGGTCCTCCATCGACGAATCTTCAGTCGGCGGGTTGGCGGTAGAAGGGGAAGGTCGAGTAAAGGCATCCAGGGAGGAAGGTTTCTTCTTGAAGTTTTTCCATGTGCCATCGAAGTACATGTTGACTGCGCGCTCGAGGTTGTTCCCACAACTGTCCCGGATCACTTCCAGCACCTCTGCCGTGACCTTGTATCCAATGAAGCTCTCAAAGGTCTCCTGGTCGAACGTCATGGCGGACTCTTCGCGCTGGATGTCCGCGGGAGGAGCAGAACGGTTGGAGGCATCTTCGACCGGTTGCTCGACGAGAGGGCCGCGGGGTTTCGTAGGCGACGAAGGGGGCTGGGCATCTTCGCTTTTTATTTGGGTAGACTCGTCGTTAATATCCTGAAAGAAGCGCTGCTTGGGGTGCGTAGGCGGGGTGGGGAGCACCGGGCTTGATTGATGACTCGAAGCATCTTCCTCGGTCGCGAAGAAGCGTCTCCTTTTCGCCGGGGGCTCGGGGGATCCTGGGTATTCCATGGCATCTCAAGTTCCTGCAGCCATTCAAGAAAGGGCAAAGCAGGGACGTGTTGGAAGCGCCACTGGCATTGAACAAGACTGCAAAAAGGTAGCCCCGACTTTGCTTACCCAGGAAACTTGAGACGCGTGGCTATCTTCAACGCGACTGACACGCGTCGGGTCGTCATGTGACTCCGTGCTTGCTGACATAAAACAATTAAACCCATCCGCTGCTAAGACGTCATTGCTGGCTCAGAAAGGTCAACCTCGGGAATTGGACCGAAAAAAAAAAAAGCCAAGGTCCCACAGCCATCGAGCTGCATCTCACAAGAGACAGAACCAGCAGCCCCGACATGGCGCATCACATTAGCGTGATCTCCTGAATGAATCGCACACGAATCGCCGGCCATGGCCTGAGAAGGCTCGTCAAAACCCCTCCCAGGGGCACTAGGGGCATTGTCACCGACGCAGACGTTGTCAAGGCGAGGAAGTACTGCCAGACGCAGCTCCAGTACGTCTGCCTCGCGATTTCGCCTCCGGTTTCTTTTTGACCTCTCCTCATTGCTGATATCAATGCCTTCAGACATAGCGACTACGATGCCCACCTGATCAGCCGCCTCGTCCCGGCCCGCACGACAGATGCCTACCTCGCCCTCCGCAACCTCAACCTCGAGCTCGTCCGCCTCCCGGAGCAGGTCTCGAACCCGGTTATTGGCCAGATGCGCATGCAGTTCTGGCGGGAGTCTATCGACAAGACCTTCGCCGGCAAACCCCCGGCCGAGCCAATCTGCGTGCTCCTCCATCAGGCCCTCCAAGACCTACGCGCGCGGTCGACCGCCAGCACGGCGAGCTCGATCAAGTTCTGGGTGCAGCGGCTCATCAAGACGCGCGAGAAGCACATGGACAACAGACCATACGCATCACTGGCTGCGCTGGAGGAGTACGCGGAGAACACGTACTCGACGCTCATGTACGCCACGCTGGCGGCGATGCCGCTGCGCTCGATGCACGTGGACCATCTGGCGAGCCACATCGGCAAGGCGTGCGGCATTGTGGCCGTCCTGCGCGGCATCCCCGTCCTCGCGGCGCCGCAGCAGCAGCCTGCGAAATCGCACGCGGGGCCCGGCGGCGGACGCCAAGACCCCGCCCTGCTGCTCCCGCTGGATGTCATGGCCGAGGCCAATCTGCGCGAGGAAGACGTCTTTCGGTATGGGCCGCGGGCGGAGGGTTTCCAAGACGCCGTGTTCAAGGTGGCGACGCGGGCCAACGACCATCTCATCACGGCACGCGAGATGCTCAAGAACCTTAAGGCCGGTCAGGAGGCTGGGCACGAGTTTGAGCATCAGGGTGAGGCGGAGCACGTGTACGAGCACGAGGAAGACGATACGCAGCAGGATATCCGACGCGGATTCGCTGTGCTCCTCGAGTCGGTGCCCGCTCAGGAGTATCTTACGAATCTTGAAGGGACGAACTTTGACCCTTGGGCCGTCAAGGCAAGCTGGAAGCTGCCTTGGCGACTCTGGCGGGCGACCAGTAAGAACCAGATCTAGGGTCATCATTATACCATTATAAAACCACCTCCGGTTGCCGGACTATCACATCTTTTGGAAGGGTGTGTAGTATATCACTGTAAGAATACAATCAAAACAACCTGGCCTGTATAGAAAAGGTCGTGTAAACACATAGTCTTACGCCCCCAAGTATCTTCCTGGCATTGGGGTTGAGTGAAATCGCATCAAGAGACGCCCGCTGATGACAATCCCGTCACCTGGATTGGCCGCTCCGTCCACGAGGCCAGTGCGGATGATCGCGCGTGGCTGAGTTCCACCGTCCGCCCCACCCTTTCTGTGATACCCCTGTCGCGTCAGCCACATATCGGAAAATTCCATCCTGTGGCGCATGATCACCCCGAAATAATTTGGCCATCGCGAAGCTGGAGCTCTCCGCAAACCCTCGAATCATCTCTGGTATAGCGTCAATGTCGGTCACAAGATGTTGTACGAACTCATAGGAATCGTAAGCCGCAGCCTCTCTGACGATGGAATAATCGTTCTTTGTGAGATGTAAATACTGACAACGCCGCTAGGTGCGACCGGGCAGCCTCGCTGAGGTGAAAGAGTACGCGCTCCCCTAAACCCCCATTGTCCCCTTCGAACCCAGCCCACCATTCCTTTCCTCTCCGACCCCCGAAATCTGTCCTCTTTCGACACCGTATGCTGACACCAGCTTTACAGAATTGCCTTCACCGCCGGCCAAATCATCCTCCGCAATGGCGGCGTCATCCGCGGCATCTCCAACTGGGGCGTCTTCACCCTGCCGCGCCCCGTATCCAAGGCCCAAATGAAGCACAAGAGCGGCCACTACTTTGTCATGCGCTACGACGCCTCCTCGTCCACGCACGCCGACATGCGAAACACCATCAACCTCGACCCCCGTGTCATCCGCTCCGCCCACGTCAAGCTCGGCGACGGCAAGCTCGAGACCATGGCCCGTTTCGGCGGCGTGAAATGGGATCGGTAGACGCCCTCCGGGACTTGCTGGGGCTTTACAAACCTGGAGAGCAGATGAGAAAAAGTATGATATTGACGGTGGAGACGTGCGGCCTCTGAGGCAGAATGAGAGGCCTCTGCGCTGCAGGCGGTTGAGAACCAGCACCGAGAAGGTGGATGGTGTATGATTAGAGAACGCCCCAAGTCGGCGTCGGGGACATCTTGATTGCACATGTAGAAAGCCGATAGTAGCTCGGATTGTACAATTACGTGGCACGCCATTGACACAATAGACGGAAGGATTGGCCGGGCATGATGGGTCAACCTTGCAATTTCTCGCTCGGCATCGTCATTCAGAATCACGGCTCGCTCGGTATTAATCTAGAAATTGTTTATAACTGCATGCGCTGGGCTAATGCTGAAAATCTCACACACTGACCTTGATGCTCAGCCCCGTTACGCCGGCGTCTGTTGCCATGTGTTGAGCGGCCTCTGCTGTCGACGGACAGTCCGCTTCTATGTACCAAGTATGAATGTGCGCTGATTCGGACTCCATCCCCCCCTGGTATTGGAATCATCCCAGCCGTTATCTCAGTCTTCTAGTCGTGGGTTTCGTAGCCTCCTGCAATGGCTTCTTTTGTGGTTTTCACGGCTTTTACGCATCCAAATCCATCGTCTCGGCCTTGCCAACTCCTTTTTCCTTGCACCAAGCCACGAAGTCGTCAATCACACTTGGCCACGCGCCATCTTCGCTCCAGAACGACAACGTCTCGTCCGCCATCGTCTTGGTCGCAAACTCGAGGATCTGGTTCCACATGTCGCGATTGACGGACCTTGTCCACTTCTCCTCGAGGAACTTCAACCACAGCTGTAACCAGTCATGATTCTTGGTCTTCCACAGCCAGCCAGGGGGTGAGAACAGAACGTTCCAGTAGACAATGGCAATCTCGAGGTTGAGAGCCTTCTGGTTAGGCTCCTTGCTGGCGACAAAGGTGTGGCGGTACACCTTTCTGAAATACGCCGGGTCGGTTGACAGACTGCTCACCAACGACTTGATGTGAGCAACGTGACCTTGACGGGTTGCAGCACTGCAACCTAGTCAGTCTCATGGGCTCAACCCCGACAGAACTGTCTTCAAACTTACCCAGTCGCCTTCCAGCCATCAACATAGCCTTTTCTCGTGATTTCACCGACAGAAGGTGCTTGGAGGAGCTCCATAACGACAAGGAGCTCAGCATTTTCGAGGTTGACGCCCAAGTCTTGCAGGTACGCCATCGTTGTGTCGAGACCAAGCGAGTCCTTCTCATCCTTTGAATCATCTACACGGCGTTAGTAGTGTTGAGCTAGACGCAACCCCCTGTTCCTTACCTCTAAGCTTGTCGAACATTTGATTCAACGTCGTTTCGAGTGCTGAAGTCGTGGGCGTAGAAGTTCCACTGCCGCCAGAGAAGTACCTAGTGAGGAGGCATCAGCTTCAGTCCAAGCAGCCGGTTAGAAGTGGCAAATAGGCCACCGAAAGAGTGCAGAATAACATAAAGCCCAGCCAAGTCCCGGACAGATTCTAGTCAACTAGCAACTTTGCTCAGGACACATCAAAGTGAATGGGTGGAATACCCAGGTTGGTTCTTCTCTTCAATAACCAGCCCATGCTTGGGTTTTTTGCGTTTCAACGACCACAGGTTCAGGCATTTGGCAGGAAACGCTCTCTTGACTCCTTTCCAGCCCATCTTGTTGCGGACACCAGTGTTCTCGGCGTCGATCGACCCCCGGCATGCGACAAGCTTTACCAATGCAACATAGGGCGAAGTACGTCGACTAGCACCAAGCCTAATCCAAGCAAAAAGCTGAAAAACGAGGCGAGATGTGCGCTTATCAGCCTGTAGTCGGAGTGCGGGGATGTCCGGGTAAACTGAGTTTATGTCCACCCGTTTCTCCTTTTAGACTATGGTAAGGGTCGGATATGAGTGGCACCAGAATGGCAGGCATTCTAGTCCGTGAGGTGAGGTGCTTGGTGTCAATTAGGCCGGCTATTGGACAAGATGTGTCGGGTTAGAGTAGCTGGAGTGGCGGCTGCCACGGCGACTGGTGCTTTGGAGGGCCATTTAGGTGCAGATTGACTGTTTCAGGAGTATTTGGCCATCGGCGTCGGCTCGGCCCTACTCATGCTGTGTGAACAGAAATGTATCCCCAAAAAGTATGGTCGACTGTGACGTCGCTGCAGGGTGCCTTTGTCCACGGAATGCAGTGTACCGCAGCGCTTCGAGATGAGGGGCAGGTCCGGTTCCCCCCGGCAAAAGCATATCTCAGACCGAACTGGCGACCACGCAATTAAGGTGTCATGGCCCATCCATGCGTGCGCTGCACTAGGCCCGATTGTCCGAGAAGGGCCGGCGCAAGCTGGAGTCCGGTTGATGGATGGTCCGGGAAATATTCAAAGGGGCGGCAATTGGTGACAATAAGATCCATGAAAACCGGGCAAATGATAACGGGACGGGACGAAACGAAACAAACCGAGGCGGAGACAAAGGAAACCCCACGTTGTTTATGGGAGTTGCACTTACGCATCGACAGCTTCGTTCAGCTTGTAGCCCGCATTCTTGAGATACTGGTCGTTGAGCATAGTCAGCATTGCGTCCTCTTCTTGCACGAGCCCGTTCCGATTGTTATCTGCCGACCGCCCCCTCCTCAAGCAAGATGCCGCTTCGATGCCCAGTAAAGCAAACAGCCCGACAGCACATTGCAGCGCTCCGTCAGGTAGCGAAGCATGACATGAAAGGTCCCGACGTTTCTCCGTCTGCCCAGCGACATGGCCCACGTCTTGCAGAGCCGAAGAGTACGATCAGGAGAGCGGCAGCAGGAGAATAAGCAATAACGAACGGGGGGGGGAGCAGAGGAGCGTTGGCGGAAGACAAGTGGGCAGGACCAGGTTGGGCATTTTTCTTTTTCATTCCGACATACCCGTTGGGCGGTTCGATCGCTCGCGCCAGTGAGCTGGACGAACTGCGTCGTCATGGCCTTCTGTGATGTCGATGAAGGTGGCATTGTGACGGCAAATGTTCCACCTCGATCTGACCAGCGTATTGTTGCGACACGACGAGTTCTGGTGTCGGCGCCGAGGTGAGGGGAATCACTTGAGGCAATCGGTCGCTACCGAGGCTCGATAACAATGCGACGGGAGGTAAAATCGGCGACGTAGGTAACTGAAGGGCCAAAACTGGTCGATAAATCGGTCGTTGTGGATACGTATGCGATTGATTCGACGACTCGAGGCTCGGGTAGGTCGGAGGCGACGTTGTGTCTGCGAGTCGGTTGTCGTCAGGAAAGGTGAAGGCGGTGATGTGATGTGCTGGCTGTTCGAAGGGTTAGGCGCGGGGTGGAAAAGAGCTTTGGGCGGGGAGGGGGAGCGAGGCTGAATGAACGTTAGGATGAGATGGATGGTGGGGTAAACCGCGAAACAGCGACAGCGGGAGCGATCTAGGCATGGCGGGGCAACACCTTGTGGTTATTTTAGCGGTAAGGCTCCCGGCGGTACTTGGTAGGTACGCAATAGGTGAAGTGAGAGAACAGGCAGCCATCGCCCCGTTCTGTCATCTTCCAACGTTGACCCTGCCTTCCCTATTGGATCTTAATTCTTGATAGAGACCTTCCTCTCTCACTTCCAAGTCACAAAGCACACTTCCTCAAGGTCACTCCGTAGCGAAGTCTCGTCATGGATGATCCGTTCGGACCCATATAGTTTTCATCCCAAATACAATTTGTCTAGAATAATCGTAGTGCATGTTCGTGAGACCACGGGTGAGCTGAGACGATCAATCTCATCTGAACCGACCACGAGCCAGTGCCGTCATTTCTCTAAATTCTGGTGCAGGTACATTTTTTTGAAGCTACGTCACACACTTATCGATAGTGTAGTAGTGTTGATAACTGACCAGCTGACAAGCCATCTACGAATCTATCTGGCAGTACGGATACATGACGCTATAGAAAGATATCGTATCCTACATCCTTACTGGGCAACCACGCTGGCCCTCAAAAGTTCGCTTTACTGATACGTGTCTAAGTTTTCATCGTCTCAGTTCCACATATTCCCCGTTGAGCACCTTGAATAAATCAATGAATAGGAACGTCGCGGATCAATCTCAGTCCTCATGACTTACACGCACTCACTCACTCACTCAGTCACTCACATACTCATAAGGGGTCTTGGGGCATGTGCGTGGACTTCGCCAGGCACTGTATGAGAGGCCCTCTCTAGTGACGCCTCAGGCCCCTGAGGCCACACAGTGCGGGCGCTCTGAGCGCTGAATGTCACTGGCAAGCCCCACAACCCATGACGTCTACCAATGACACCGGGTGCGCTGAGCAACTGGTTTAATTGATTGGAGCAGGCAGCAGACGCGACTTTTTTTACTCGACGCGCCGCCGTCTCACGAAAGTCCAAGTATCATTCCAACTGTGATAGAGATCCCAACATCTGCCTTCAACGCTGGCCTCTCACAGCTACACTATACCGACATGCCATAGGATGGAGCCTCTACGCAGTCGGGACTCGAGCGAACCGCCAGTCGACCCTGCGCATCCTTTCAAGGGAGTCGTCGTGTGCTGCACTAGCATCCCGCCAGACCAACGAGTAAGTCATGATGCATACATCGTTTGCCCCTTCACCAATTTTTGCCTTCTCCGTCAACCTAAGGGACCTCCATGCGTATTGAATGCTCTGACAGCCCCCGGTAGACCCAGATAGCAAAGAAGACGGAGGAACTCGGCGGCATTCACAAGTACGACCTAACCCCCGACGTAACACATCTTGTCGTAGGCGATTATGACACACCCAAGTACCGCCATGTCGCCAAAGAACGAAACGATATCAAGGCTATGGACGCCAAGTGGATCGATGTCGTTGGGGAGCTGTGGATGAAGGATGCCGACATTGACTTTGCCGCTCTGGAACGAGAGTGGCAGCTGAAGCCACTCGAGACGTGCAGCGATGTCACTGATCTGGAGAACCATACCGAAGCCAAGCGTGGGGCCCTGCTGCTTTGCATGACGGGATTCGATGATCGTGGGTCACCTCGGGCACTCACAGTCACAAGCGAGTCTAACACATCACAGCCGAGCAGCGCGCAAGCATCATTGACAAGATCACCGCCAACGGTGGCGCTTACACTGGCGACCTAACGAAACGAGTCTCCCATTTGCTAGTCCACAAACCCGAGGGAAAGAAATACAAGGCCGCTCGGGCGTGGAACATTCGCACCGTGTCGCTGGCATGGCTGGAGCAGAGCATCGAACGCGGCATGATCTTGGACGAGCAGTGTTTCGACCCGGCCCTGCCCCCCGAGGAGCAGGGCCAGGGCGCGTGGAACAAGGCCAACCATCGGAGGGAACCATTGGGGAAGAGATCGAGATCGGGGGTCGTGGAGGGGGGCCAGCGGAAGCTGAGGAAAACGGCGAGCATGAAGCTTAGCAGCCAGAGAGACACGCTCTGGGGTGACATCCTCGGCAGCAAGCCCACCGGCGAGGCCTCCGCGCCCGGGGACAGGGCCGATAGGATCGAGGTTCAGGATTCTGGCGTCCACGACCGCATGTTGCAGCCCCCCCCGGACGCGGGCATCTTTTCGGCGTGCTACTTCTTCATGGCCGGTTTCGAGTCGTGGAAATCGAAGATCCTGGCCGAGACGATCGGCTCTCTTGGCGGCCACGTGTGTGCCACTTTCGAAGACGTCGCCTCCAGGGGGTACGAGGCCAGCCCGAGTCGCAGGTTCCTCATCGTACCGCAAGAGTCGCAGCCATCGACACACTTCCAGATCCCCCTTGCGCATACCGACAAGATTCAGATAGTGACCGAGTTCTTTGTCGAGAGATGTTTACACAGCAAAGCCCTGTGCGACCCAGATAGCCACGTATTGGGTCGGCCCTTCCCAGTGTTCCCCATCCGTGGCTTCGAAGGCCTCTCCATCTGCACGTCAGGTTTCTCCGGCATCGATCTTCTCCACGTGGAGAAGGCCGTGAGGCAGATTGGTGCCAAGTTCGCGGCGAGGCTCAACGACGCCACCTCGGTACTGGTGTGCAGGGCGCTCGCGGATACGAGGAAAGAGAAGCTCAAGTTCGCGTTAGACAACAGCATCCCCATCGTCCACTCGGAGTGGCTGTGGGAGTGCATAGCGACGGGCTACAACGTACCGGTGAAGACGCACATGTTTCCTGCGCTGAATCAGGCGGCTGATCTCCAACCCAAGACGAGGGTTTCGGAGTCCCGGGACGATATGAAACTGGCCTTTCAGAGGACTCTGTCCGAGCCAGTCCCTCACATTCCAAAGAAGGCAGCAGCCAGGCACTCAACCGTCGCCGGGGGCATCGACACAACGGCCTTCAAAGACGACAACGATGGCCAGAGGGCCGTGCCAGCTATAAGCAAGAATCCAGTCGCGCCCTTGGTAGGGCCAGACAGAGAATTCACAAAGATGGACTCGGCCGCATCTCTGCAATTTCAGACCGCCAAAACACACCAGATGGACAGCTTCGGTGCGGGGACGGTGGCGCCGCCACTGTCGAGCGCGACTTCAAACGCGCTTAATAGGTCATCCACGAGCGAGTCGACGGCGAAACCCGCAAGGACGCTGGCCAGGACCGCGAGCGTTGCCGACAGCATGGAGCCGACGCCTATCTCTATTGATGTGGAGCCGGCCCCCATCCAAGACCGGAGCGAACCGGCGCCGGCCGCCAACGAAATCCAAACCGGGACAAGACCGGTCGAGGATGAAGAGGCGGAGCTGAAGCGTCAGAGGGACGCGCAGAAGGCGGCCGAGAAGGAGGTCTTGACGTCGAAGCTGGCGTCCCTCATCGACTCGAAACGCAGCGTCGAAAGCATACCTGAGGAAGAAAGCTCGGGCCAGCAGCAGCCGAGACGCCCCCGCAAGCGTCCGTTCGGGCGGGCAATCAGCAACGCGTCGGCGGCCTCGAGCGGGAGCGCCGAGTCTCGCATGGACTCAATGGGCCGCACGGCGGACGAGCACCAGCCGCCACCATCGACGCAGATCCAGTACCAGGACCCGGATGCCCAGCAACACCGGGACAAGATCATGAGCAAGATGCGTGGCGGGGACAGCAATCCCTCCGCCGTCGGTCAGGGGGCGGCGGCAGCGACCAAAAAGAAGATCACGACGATTGGTGGTTTCGACTTTAGTGACGAGGGGAGGCCGAACACTAGGCAACTCCGGCGCAAGTAGACAAGAGGAGGATGCCTGGGACCGGAGGGGAGGGGGGTTCCTCCCCCCAGCTCGGCGGCCCCGTAATTTGGGCATTTGTATATAAAACAATAGGCTACTTTTTCTTGGTTCAAGAGGGGCGAGCTTTTATTGCCAGGATCAATACACCCAAGGCGTTGAAAGCAAGGGAGGAAAGGGGTGGGCGCCCACGGCATGCACGACACGCGTTTGTAGCATCGCATAGCATTGGCGGCACATGGATGATTGACGCTGGTTGATGAGGATATGATTTCTGATTTGAATGTGGCAAATGACAAAAGAAGCACCAATCTGGGTATCTTCCATTCCGCTCACGTACATACATTTACATCTACGTCTCGGGAACTGTGGCCCTCCGTCTCTTACAACGGGCTCTTCGGCCCGGTCGGTCCCACCGCCTGGTACAGGTACATTGATGCTTTCATAGCAGTACAAAGGAAAAGGCGACGGAAATAGATAAAGTGTACATGTAACCTGTTTCTGCGAGTTTGATCGAGTCTTTTTCCTCCCAAAAGATGAGTCTTTGTTTGAATGTGCTGTATTCCGAAAAAACAAAAACATCTTGCCAAACCAAATCATGCCTCGGGCGCAGCCCTGGCGACACAAAAGTCATTCACGCTAGTAAAAACAACAAGTTGATACCGAAGGAACTTCCGTCCAAACATACGGAATCATCGTACGAGTTTGGGGTGAGCAGAAAGCGGGGGGACTGCTTAAGAAGGTCATGAGAGCAGTAGTAACCTACAACACGGAGGCCGCCTCAGTGAGAACGCTAAGCAGACTCGCCGCGGCGCCGCCGATGCCCACGGCGCCTAGCGTCTCGCCCCAGACCTTCTTCTTGTCCCGCCTCTCGCGATCCGAGCGCTCGCGGTGGTGCCGGCCGGGGTAGTGGTCGCGATCCCGGTCGCGGTCCCGGTGTCTGTCCCTGTATCCGTCACGATCACGGTCACGATCACGATCACGATCGCGGTCTCTGTGGTTCCCGTCGCGATCCCTGCTATCGTAGTCCCTGTGCTCTCGGCGGGAGGGACGCCTCTTCCTCTCACGGTCGTCACGATGAGACCGTGGCGAGGATGAGGCGTGCGGGTCGAGCTCGTGCGGCTCCGGATCGAAGCGTACGTGGTTCTCGTTCTTATTCTTGAGAATCGGCTTCGGCTGAACGGTTGCGGCGGGAGAAGTGCCCTTTTCCCGGTCAGAGGGGGGCGGCACGATGTAATACGTCTTGTTGCCTTTCTTATTTTCGTCCGGATAGCTTGCGTCCGAGGAGTTGTCGGACGAATCCCAGAGGGGCTCGTCCGAGGAGGTCTGGGAGTCGCCGCGGCGGCGTGGAGGGGAGGAGCGGCTCGTCGGTGCAGCCCCTCCAGGGCCACCGTTGCGACTTCGTGACGAACGTGCGGCACGGGCCTCGGCAGACAGGCGGGCGTACTTTGTGATCTCCTCGCGGGTGAGGACGCCGAGTACAGCGACGTAGTCGGGGCGGGCCTCGTAGCGGACCCCAGCGCGCTCGAGGATCTCAGGGGAGACGAGGGCACGGCGAATACGGGTCCACTTCGCATCCATGGGAATATCCAGGCCATAGCGATCCGGTGCGATACGGGTCTGAGATGACCGTGGGGAGGCGCCGTAGGCTGAGGGAGGCAGGCCGCCGTTGCCGACATGTGATGGGATGGGAGGCACGAAGCGTGGCGAGACGCCGAGGTTGTTGGGGGTGGACGATAAGTCCGCGGCAGCGCGGGCGGCTGCTACGTCTGGTGGGAGATACCGCGAGGCAGGCGAGGTGGAGGACGGGGAGGTGCTATAGTGTTGGGCGGCAGTGAGGCGGAGGTTATCCATACCACTGTTGAGCGTGTCCATAGCCATGAGGTCGCGGGTCGAGATGAGGGCAAGCGAGTCGTTGTGCTCGTCCTCAATCCCGTTTTCCCTCTCGTACATGGATAAGGTGCTGAACTCGTTTGGCACGGCGGGCGCGGGTCGCGGGTCTGCCGCCATGCGGCGGTCACCTCGCACTGCTGGGGCGTACCGGTCGCTGTAAGTGCCATAGGTCTCTCCTGGGCCGCCAACGTCTCGGTCTTGGAAGGAGGACGGCGTCCCGGCCATGGCCGAATGAGAGTGAACGCGCTCCTGTGCGAGGAGGCCGCGGACGGAGGGTGGTGCTGTGGCATCATTGCCGGTTGATTCTTCCAGCTCGCGGATGTAAGCACGCAAAACCTCCTGTATGGGTGCGTTAGTTGAGGATCTTCCTGATTGGGCATGTGCTCATGGGAAGCGTACCTTGTTCTTCCGCAAAACATCCTTGGAGAAGCCCTCCTTTTCCAACTCGGTGCGAAACTGCTGCCATAGATCCTCGTCGTCCTCGCCGATGCCACTGTCTCTTCTTGCGAACAGCCTCGCAGCGATGGCGTCCACCTTGTCCTTGATGTTGTCAAGGTTCCCGCCCTGCTCATCCACGATACGCTGCGCCTTGCTGGGGTTGTGTAGCTGGACAGTATCGAGGAACATGTCGATATTTGTCTTCTGGTCGGCGAGCTTGGAGCGGATCATGGCGACCATATCGCGCTCGCGCTCCTCGAGACGAGGGGCCTCGCCATACTTTTCCAGGATGGTCTCGAGCTGCTTGAGGGCGAAGTCGCAGTCCTCGATGAGGGGCGCTAGCTGACGGGCATAAACGGGCGAGGCGTCAGAGTTGAGGAGCGAGTCCGGGTCCTCAGCCTCGACCTTTAGGTGCTTGAGAACGGTGTGCAGGCGGCGGACGGCGGTCGCGACGTCTACGAAGTCGGGCCCGGACGTCTTGGCGCGGCGGTAGAGAGCACGCGCGAAGGCGTCGACGGCGCTGAGATTGGGGGCTGGGGTGCCGTTGCTCATCACGGCGGAGCGATGGGGTTGTTGTTGGTTGTGGTCAGTATTGCTGGGTTGTTCTGCTCGGTCGACGAGCAGATGTATGGCGTTTGGTGGATTTGTAATGTGGTTATTGTGTTGGTCGCGGTGATGTTGGTGGTGATACCGGTAGTGAGGGTGTCAGCGAGACAGAGAGGAAGAGATATAGAGAGCGATGGAAAGAGTGAGAGACGCGAGAAGATTTTTGGCTTGCAGAGGCTACGTGCTCGTAGGGCGGCGGCAGATGTAGTTGTAGTAGAAGGCCGGGTAGGGTTGGGATCGACGGCAATACGCAATAGAGAGGGCGGGTTAAGGCCAGGGAAAGGTGATGACAGTCAGGAACAGCAATAAAGATGTAGCATCAGAAGAGATGATGTTTGCGAGGGGCCAGTGGATCAGGGGTGTGAGGCAGCGAGAACTTGGGTGACGGGGGATGAGGGTTGAAAAAGGAAAGGCTGGTCCGCAGGGTGGGAGAATATGAGGAGAATATCGGCAGCGTAGAGAAGATGACGGGGCGAGGGATATTTGCAGATGTGTGAGACGTGAGGTCCGAGAATAACTTCAGGTTCGGTGAGGGTAGATTAGAGCAAACAAGTGCAGGAGATCCAAGTGTCGCTAGCCAAGGAGGTAAAGTGAAGTGAGGTATACTTGTAAAGTAGAGCAAGAGCACGATATAACTGAGAGAGGGGGGCGACACGAGTAAGTCGTAAACGAGGACCAAAGGACCTTGTCTACCGCACAAAAATACCATGTCTATCTACAAGTATCTACAAGCGCGACGAGCCAGACCGGGCAAACAGCGACAACAGCCCGAAGAAGGGTGGGTGTGGTGGCCCAGAACGGGGAGCTGAATGGCGATATTGTTGTCATGGAATGCAGAACCGGGTGGCTGACGGTGACTTCAATTGTCACTTTTTTTTCTTTTTTTATTGCAGGGAGGGGAGGGAGAGCGCAAGAGGGACAGAGAGAGAGAGAGGAAACGGAGCAGGGTGGGGGTGGTCAGGTTGTACCTTGCCCGGTGTACGGATACAGATAGGTACTCTACTTGAGTCCGTCACTTTAGACGCGGCAGCAAATCATGGGGATGTAACCCGAGGATGACTCCAACTCGGCCCCGCGCCGCTTGGAGAAATGGACAACCCTCGACTCCAGATGCCTGCCTGCCTGCCTGCCTACCTACATTGTACATTGTACTGCCCACCTACCTGGGTAGGTAAGTAGCTTGGTATCATGTACCGCGGTACCTCACGTGGAAAAGAGAAGGAAAGAGGAACAAGAGGACAGACAGAGGAACTTGCCTCGTCACTCACCAACGTCAGTAGATGCCTTGGACACCTGGATGGATTTGCGTGTATCCGTTCCAAGCAGCGGATCTGCTTGAGGTGGAAGACACATGGCAGAGGACAGAGACACCCAACCTGCTGCCATTGTAGAAACGGCGATCAAAGAGGCACGTACACCAGGCGAAGTCCACGGGCAGTGAGTGCAGTGCAGTCAGTACACTACTTGCCTTTGCATGCTGGGGGGGAGGGGCTGGTGACTGCGAAGGGGGGCGCTTGTGATGTAAACTACAAACATCGTGGTGAGGGTGGTGGTGCATGCGAGACATGGCAAAGGCTCTTGGAGATTTTTCCAGCTTCCTGCTTCCTGCTTCCTGCAGCTACTGCTAGTGACGTATTAGCTGTTGTGACGTTCCATGAAATCATACTGTCTTGGGGGAGGGGGGGGTGGGGGGGGGGGGGGGATCAGCGACTTGGATCGTCACTTGCCTCTTCCCAAATGGGCTTAGATCCGTGACCGGGCTAAGGACCCCTTCCTCCTTGTCCCCTCCCTTCGGGTTGGTCTTGCCTTTTACTCTTTGCCTCTCGTGCCGTCGGTTGTACAGGTAATCTTCTGTCCGTGTCCGCTGGAGTAGTACATTGGAAAGTGCGAGAAACACAGGGAAAGGGCGTCCCATGGCACCAGACCCGATATGGTAAAAGTACCTACTTCGTCCTTTCCGCAATGTGAGGTAATAAGTGCATTACATAAGATGGTGCGGCATCGGTTGTACAATGTAATAGTACCGAGTACTGTACTTAGTTTGGCGTTACCGCACGTCACGTCAGTGACGGAGCGCCCTCGAGCTTCAATGAAGATGATACTCGTTCACGCCCGTTTCTCCACGCCCAAGCTCCATCAGCTGCCGCAAATAGCTGCTGTGAGTGCTGTGTTTCGTCGACTTGATTGAGCGGGAAATGTTTTGAATGCAATCGATCCCTCTTCCAACCCCCAAAATAGCTTACGGCGTCTCAAGCAGATGACTTTGTTTCCCCATAGGGCTGGTTACCAATATCGACCTTCACCACGGCCTTCATCACGGTCGTCATGCTAACGCCAGGGGAGCCCGGTGGCGGGGGGAGTGCGTACGGACCATGGAGCTACCATTGTGGTCCGTGTTCAATCTCTTGCATCTTCACCATTGCTCTGGGAACGCTCCATGGCGGCTGACTAGGGCAGGGATTCCATCCCTTGACGTCTGCGCCACTCGTCTGGATCAATCGAGTGCAAGAGAGGAGCGGGCCGCCACGATTTACGCAGTTTTGACTCCCATTCTAGTGTACAAGGCTCTCAGGAAGAGAGAGTCCCATGCAAACCCTCGGCAACGAATGCCGCCTCCCCGAGAAGCAGTCGCGGTCAGCAAACATAGATACTGTAGTGTGCCAAGGCAGAAACGCACAAAGAACCTGAAAAAAAAGACGATCCCTCGCAGTGGAAGGGGGAGGGAAAGGAACGCAACGCCAGCGACAGCTACAGCGACAGCGACGCCCATCACGAACTCAGCATGGCAACCTGCAGCAAGGCAGACAAGGGTACGCGGAGGCGCTGCAGCGAGATACTACTCAGTAGGTCCTTCGGCGTCCCGGACCTCGTAATCCCCGGCTCATGCTCATGTTCGTGTCCTGCATATACCCGTGGGGAAAAGGGGGTCCAGTGGACTTGGATAGGTATCCTGTTCTCAACCTTGCCGTGCTGCGCAGAATACGGAACAGAACCTGCAGCACTCGCAGCACTTGCAGCGTTGTAACCGATTGGAATACGGGGAGGGGGGCAAAAGAAGGGCCCCTTTACCCTTCGCCTTTGGGTTCCGGCTTGAATATCAGTTCGTCTTGGCCTCTTCGGTGGAACCAAACGGCCGAGACGCGCGCTAACGCGGCCTTCTAGAAGCCCTACTAGCACGACCGGTCCGTCCGAGGGTCTGGGAGTCGTATTCCACTGAGACAGGAACGGGCAAGCACCCGTCGCCTCCGGACAGAAGAGAAACCCAGACGTTTCGAAGGTGCCACTTTCTCACGAGATCAGCTGTAGTCTTTTCCAATATGAAAACCGAAGTGGCAAAAGACTCTCGGTGCTTGAAACAGCGCAACGACGACTGCGCACAGTTACTGCTGACGGGTAGGGAGGGGTAATATCCTCGTGGTCAAAGGAGCTGAGCTGAACTGCCCTTGTCCGGCAATCCAGTCGTATCATGCAAAACTCCATGTCGAGGAAAATGCACTTTTTGCTGCATCTCTCTCTATCTACACCTCTCGGCCCCCTCTTCCATTCTCATATCCACGACTCTCGTTCTCTGGATGATCTGATTTGTCTCCTGTAGGCTGTAGCGCATGACCGGGCTTTTGCGCAACCTTCGTTCTTTCATGTTCCTCCCACTCATGCGTCGCCCCGCGAACCTTGCTTATCGTCCTACCTGCCCGTCTTACACGGGGCTCGTCAACTCGTCGTGAGCTGTCACTGCTCATCTGATTTCCCAATGCCCTTTCTCACTCCCTCTAGGTACTTGACCGCATGCAAAAGAAAAAAGAAGAGAAAAAACAAAACACGACCGGCAGTCATGCAGTAGTGTTGCAGCAGGCTGCCCGACAAGCCACAATCAAGCGCAGAACCGTATTCGTTGGATAGATTACGAAACTCGCAGCCTGTCCACAGCCATACAACGCTAACTTCCGTCGAGAGGCCATCGCCATCCGCCATCGTCAGCGCCAATCAGAGGCCCTTGTCAGAGGGAGCATCCTCGAGCTTTCCCCACACCGTCGGCAGTCGCAAAGCCCCTCTGAATGTGCAAAGCCACCGCCCTACCATCCCCGCGTGCTTTGATTGGGAGAGTAAGAAATCAATAGTCTCTCCTTCTCCGTGTCTCTTCATCTTTTTGGCTCCTCTTCTTCACTTTCTTCATAGGGTGTCGTACGATGCGTTGACTGGCTTGTGAGACCAAGTGAGGCTGTCAGATTCTCCTCGGCATCTCAACTTCACCACTCATCAGGCAGCAGCCCCCCCACCCTAGTGACCTAGACTTTGGACGGATGCTCCAGTATCTAGTGCATATCCTCGACGTCTCTCGAAACCTGAGACGGAGAGAGAGAAAGAGAGAGCTAGGGCCTCTCTGCGTGGTCATGTCCACTTGTCAGGATTGTCGCCCTCTGACCATCTCTGCCACATGCCCGTCTCCAGGGCGAGGATTGCCGCGGAGGATCAACGCTTGTTTGATTGTTCAGGAATTCCTGTTCTTTCCATGCGGCGGACGCTCCAAAGGAAAGCCAACTGTTTCGCCCGGGTCTGAGCTTCAGTACAGCACAGCTTGGTCGGGTAGATTCTTGCCAAGCTCAGGCCCCGGACAGAGATGGAGGTGATCGTTTGGGGTACCGGCCGCTTTGCTTCCCTCGGCGTACTCACATACATCCAGGGCGAACTGCGGCAGAGTTTTGGATGCCATCCGTGTCACACCGACGTCAAAGTTCAAAGGGTTCCTGATTCGTCCAGTGTTCAGGCTACGGCCTCGACATTCTCTCTCATACTGTATGTCAGCTGCGCTAGAACTTGGTCGATTGTTTCCTTTGGTCAGATCAATGCAAACTCTATTATGCTAGTTTAGCCTCGGGGTGACTCCCTCTCCCCCTTCGGCTAGCCACCCCGGCTTTTCTATTCTTTTCTTTTCTCTTCTCTTTTGGTTCTGAACGGCTTCATCGGACCGTAACCAGCGACGCATCGCGGCGGAGAGAAATGTACGCTTCGGCATCCGTTCACTTGGTATCTTTTCAGGGCTGCTGACTCGCATCTCCTGACCCCTAGGTCCTATCCAGTCTTTTTTTCTCGCTTTCCATTGCGGTTCACTGCCACCACCACCGGGCACGTTTCCACTATCCAGGTCAACTAGCCCATGCAGAGCCTTTTCCTCCTTTTTCTTTTTCGTCGCGTGTTCCGCCTTAACTCCAAAAGCCGGTTAGTCTCGCACATGCGGACAATAGTGGTGTGTGTGTGTGCCCTTGACACAACCCTCCACCCCACCGTCCTCCGGCATGCGGCTCAAATGGAAATCCTCTCCAGAGAGTATGCCTTGACCTTCTGACTCAGCAGGTGTCCCTTTTCACGGGAGCTCCTCTCAAGCACCTCACCGCCCGAGACGATCTTGAGGTTGGACACGCTTTGCTTGGACACGAGTCCCAGAGGCAGATGAGGCGAGCTCTCGACGTCAAGCGACACCGGCTTAGCGAGGGCCTGAGCACGCCCAGAGGGCGCCGTCTTAACCCCAGCCTTGACTGCTCTGCCGTATTGGACCGCCTCGCCGACGATGCCGTCCAGATAGACGGCCTCGTTCAGGCCCTCCAGGGCTGCGCTGACCTCGAGCTTTAATGCCGTGATGAAATCAGCCGCGTCCGCGCGGTCTCCAACGGATGTGCCATTTGTAAGCCACCCACTGGGCCCTACGGAATCAATGCACCGGGAGAGGAGTTCCGCGATGAGCGAGATGGCGCCGTCGGGCGGCGCTCTTGCGGCCTCGTCCTTGTCAAAGTTTGTCGAGTCCACGTATCTTGATGTCCAGGCACTGCCGATGAGCTGGATACGCAGCAAGTGAATGAGTGACAAGACCTCTGTCGGGTTGAACGTTTCGCGAAGAGCCCGTACCGTGGCGACTGATGAGTAGTTTGAGAGCTTCTCAAACGCCGTCGTTAGGGCCCGTGCGCGAAGGTTCGTGTCGTCGCCCAAATGATACTCGGCCATCTCGAGCTCCTTCTCAAGATGGTCAATCTCCATCGCCACATACTCTTCCTCCTTAGTCTCCGTCGGCGCGGGGAGCAAGAGTCTGGATTGCTGGTCGAGGCTGCGCATGATGATGCGGATGACGAGGAGGAGTTCCTTCTCGCCAAGCTTGGTCGCTGAGACATAGTTCAATAGCAGCTCCATGGCCGGGTCCATGTCGACGAGTCGCTGGACAAGCTTGTCGATGATCGATTCCTTGGATGCCGCCTCGACCAGCTCGCTCCTGAAGGCGGCAGACATATTGGCGTTGGTGAGATGACCGGCGGCGATGAGGTAGATCATAACGTTGCTCGCGGGAAGCATGCAGCGAAGGAGGCCACCTTCCTCGGCCTGGGTGTCCATCGAGAACACCCTGCTGATGGCGTACAGCACCCACCGGCGGTCCACTGCGGGATACTTGTCTGAGCGTTCCAGCCACTTCCAGTCGGGCGTCTGGACACCAGTGACCTCCGCGTCTTGGTCGATGGCGACCCCGAACCGCTGTGCCAAGAGGCCCTCGAAGGCCTTCCAGTCTTGTGCCAGGAGATATCCGTCCGCCTTCTCCACGTCCGCCAACGACTCCTTGACGTATTCGTCCGAGAGGGTTCCAGGGAGGTAGTTCTCGAACGTCGAATCCCCCGTCTTGGGCAAGCTCGCCGGCACGCGGTCCGATCTTGGCAGGCCTCGTCCTATGGAGTCGATGAGAAGGCCCTCCTTGCTGTGGGACTTGGGTCGCTCAATCTGGATGGAAACCAGGGTGCTGCCAACGACAGCAACTGCCATGTCCAACTTGGATAAGAAGGTGATCAGCGTCGGCTTCTGCTGCTCGGTGCTTTCGGGAAGCTGAATCGCCGTCGAAGCCTGGACCGAGTGGAAGGTGGGGTTCACCATGCTAGCAGAGTTCTGGGACAGGCAGAGGGCTGAGTGCTCTGACAGCTGGAGGAACGAGGTAAGCTCGGGCAGAGGCAAGCGACCCTGCAACTTGGGTACGGCACTCGTAAGGTCGTAGGTTCGGAGGACAGCGCCGGACAGCTGGAGGAGCTTTCCAGACTGGATGTGAAGCTGGTAAGTAGCCAGCTCAGCTGCAACGTCATCTTGAGAAGGCAAGGGTGTCACGTGTAGCTGGACCAACGGCTGCGAAGTGACAGTAGGCAAGACGCCGAGAATGATGAGGAATCTCGATATCGTATCTTCGCTGTCGGCGCGGACAACGATGGCGAGCACGTCCGGGTTGAAGGTCTTGGGGTCGATCTGTCGCCCAAAAGAGCCAAAAGCGTCTTGTCTGCCCTGGAACAGCCCATTCAGGACCTCTGACGCCGCAGCGTGCAGAGAAAATTCGACCTCATACTCGGAAATGGTCGAGGGAAGCAGGTCCTTGCACAGGCTGTAGGAAGCTGCGCTCCACTTCTGCTCCAAAGCTTCGCCGTCCAAACACAGAACCTGCCCATCCTTACAGAGACCGAGCACGTCGCCCCTCTCGGACTGCGGTGCGTCGCTCACAACGGTGGTGTCGACAGCGGACGATGTGAAGAGGTAGGTGATCGGGTGCTTGTGACGCACTCGCTGAGATGTGCTGGTAGAGCTTGTCTTGCCAGTCACGTCGATAGCATCTCGGCAGAGGGTGATCTTTGCGCCTGTCGAGTCTTGCGTTGAGAGGTAGGTGTAGTTGTTGCGACCGCTCGCGCCGGCTCCCTGGTATCGAATCGAATACGGCGCGCAGGTGAAGGACTCTTGAGGTGGGATCGGGTAGGATGTTCGCAGACCAGAGGAAGGGACCTAGGATTATTAACAAAATGCTGTGATGGTGCCGCTAGACCCGAGTACTAACATGATAAATGTTTGCTGCTTCCCCGTCGACACCGACAACAACCTCCAACCTCTTCCTCTTCTTAGATCCGGGCTTTTGTGCGTAGACCTCTCCAATATGGTACTGGCCCTTTGTGTGGTCGAGAGGACGCGGCAGGGAAGCCAAAACATCCGGTCGGTGGATGCGGAAAGTGGGAGCCATTTTGGATTGTCAGAAAGCTCCGGTCTATGGAAGCGATTCGTCTGGAATATCAGCAGTGCCTGGCTCTGGGTGCAACTGCAATGGCTCTGGTCAAGCTCAAGGCCCCGGCAGTGTAAGTGATGGCTTCGATCTCGAGAGAAAAAAAAGTTGGGAAGACCATGCGCCGTAGTGGGGTGCAGCCACAGAAGCAGGATAGCGTCGCACTGTAGAGGCCAGCGGGAATTTGGCGCTGACCGACAGTGCGCCTGGCTAGTATCATCGGATTAAGACACCATCCGATCACCCGATATCGATAAGACGCTGAAAATGGAACGATCGGCGATAAGTGAGCAATAACCGATGTCGCTACCTGTACAGAGGAGGTGTGTGGCTGACGCCTAAATGCGGATTAGACGTGTGGCTGGTGCACCTTGTCAGCCGGAACGGATACGTACCTAGAGTCTACACTAAAAAGTGTGGTTAATGGAAGTCGCGGTACGCGCTGCTGTTCCCAGCGACTGGGACGCGGTTTGGAACGCGACGGGGGTCGGTGATTCTTCAATACCTGGACAGCCCACCCACCACGATAACTCCTCCTTGGTTTACCTTACTCTATGTCATACCTTTGGGTTAGAAAGGGGTCTGTCCATGCCAGTGTCTTTTCATCCAGTATTGGCTCTGGAGAAATTGCAATTGCTCCTATAACCTATTACTCTATACACTTCGCAAACGTCTGTCCGGTCGCATGCTCTCTGACGTATTCTGACGGTGCGACGGCTCCAGCGTAAGTACCAATGTCCAGCACCTCACAACCACACCTGCCTATCTCTTCCTCTCGCTCTTTTTCTCGACGTGTACTGAGAGATTCTTCGAGCCACAGCATCCCCTGATCTCATGGGAACCCTTTTGGTAGCCATGGCTCCAGAAGGACTGGACGTCTCCAACAAGAAGCTCCATCCGTTATTCGTCCCAGGAAACAACACCCATGCCCCGACACCCCATCCGACCGTGAACGACCATCTTCAGGGCCCTGTCGGGTCAAACCCGAGAACTGAGGAGGCGCAATCATCACGGAAGAATGCGCGCACGTCGCAGCCCCCGTCAAGCGATGTCGAACCTTGCTCGTCCGACATTGGCGAGGATGAACACGGCCGTAAAAGACAAAAGACAGCTGGTGGCAACCCTCCGAGCTCTGGAAAGAAGAGAGGGCGGCCCAGGAAGAAGCAGCCCGGTCCAGCGGTAGCGATAGCCAACAACTTCTCCCATGTCAACGGTGTGCCATTATCGCACCTTGTCAACGAGCTTCCACAAACGCCTCTTCCTACACCGTCGCCCACCCATCCGGTTGTTCTGCCCCTGTCCCAGGCATCTAGTTCAGTATCGAATGCCAACGGATATACGCATGCAGCAGACACCTTGGCTCCGAGTACTGGAAAGACCGACCCGCCAAAGCCCACGAAGGTTCTCAAGTTCAATCCCAAGACCGGTACTATTGGATCACCGCCGAAACCGAAACCAAGCCCTGCAGATACGGTCAAAGGCGCAAAGTCTGGCAAATCGCCTGCCAAGCAATCTCGCATTGTAACCATTAAGTACGGGCACGATGCAGACTCGCGCGAGCGAATCGGTCCGAAGATCCAGCAGATCCTCGCCACTCCTCCCCGTACCAAGACAACAGCCACGACGAAAACCACCCCTCCAAAATCTCGTGCAAAGGCCCCCAAAGCGGACCAAGACAAATCAAAGACGAACACCACGCATCCCCTGTTTCTCGCAAAGTCCAAAAATGCCATCAAGTCAGGAGAGACCCCTCCCGCTGCTCCAAAGCAACCCAGGGCTACCATTTTCTCTTCGACCCCATGCTCCCCCAAGAAGCAGCGATCGACTCCGGCGGCAGGCAAGGCTCAGTTTCCTCAATTTGGCGTTCGTTCCATGGGACTCAAGGTCCCAGGTGCATGTCACCCAGCATGGCCACCCCAGGGAACTTCCCACGTTAGGGGTTTGTCCCCTGACGAAGAGCGCCTGCCAGCAAGGCATCACGTCGGTTTTTCGTCAAGAAAGTCCAAGGGACAAACAATAAACATCTTCCCGGGAGAGTCTGTCATAGATCAGCTCTCGGCGTCATTAGACACCCTCAGCATTACAAGGACAATCCAGGAAGCCACTGACGACTATATATCACCTCCGCCCTCGGAGCTTCGTCTCCCGGGGAAGCACTTTGAAAGCGGGCGCAAACTCCGGCAGAGAGTCAGGCCTGAGTTGCGTTCTCCCCTGCCACTCATCTCGGGCCAAGATAGCGATGATGAACTACTCACTGCATCTACCCGCAAACCGCATCCCGCCGTCGCCCGCCTCTACAACTCCCTCGAAACCAATCTCTCAGCTTATGACAGGTCTGAATGCGAGGAACTTTCCTGGGCCCATAAATATGCGCCGAGCTGCGCAGAAGAGGTCCTCCAGAGCGGCCAGGAAGGTGTCATGTTGAAAGAGTGGCTGCAGACCCTCAAGGTTCAGTCTGTGGATACGGGGGCACCCAATGCAGATCAGAAGCCTGGTTCCAAGCCTGCTTCTGCGACGAAGAAGAAGAGAAAGCGCAACAAGTTGGATGACTTTATTGTCTCTAGTGGTGATGAAGTCGAGTTTCTGCCCGACGTTTCCGACGATGAGGATGATTGGCTCCCAACACCGGTTCACGGCAGCGCCAAGAAGACCGTAGTTCGCAAGGACATTGGCAAGGATGCAAGCCGGCTCACCAATGCAGTAGTTCTCAGTGGCCCCCACGGCTGTGGAAAGACAGCTGCGGTGTATGCTGTTGCAAAGGAGCTTGGCTTCGAAATTTTCGAAATCAATGCAAGTAGCCGCCGCAATGGCAAAGATGTCATGGAGAAGGTTGGAGACATGACCCAGAATCACCTTGTTCAACAGCACCGCCAGAACGACGGCGGAGACAACGTCGACGACGAGACGGCAAACGACATTAAATCCGGCAAGCAAGGCACCATGGCATCGTTCTTTAAGCCCAAGATGGCAGCCAAACCCAAAGTCACAGTCCAGCCTGAAGCGATTGAACAACCAACGTTGGCAGCCAAATCCGTAAAGGGAAAGACGCAAACTCAGAAACAGTCTTTGATTCTTCTTGAAGAGGTCGACGTGCTTTACGAGGAAGACAAGCAGTTTTGGGCGACCATTGTAAGCTTAATTGCCCAATCCAAGAGGCCGTTTGTCATGACTTGCAACGACGAGAGCCTGGTGCCATTCCACAACTTTGTCTTCTACGGGATCCTCCGATTCACACCACCACCGGAGGTTTTGGCAGTTGATGCTATGCTCCTCATTGCTGCCAATGAAGGCCATGCTCTTCGCAGAGCGGCTGTAAGCGCGCTGTATGAGTCCAAGGGTTACGACCTCCGAGCATCTTTGATGGAACTCAACTACTGGTGTCAGCTTGGAGTCGGTGACCGCCGCGGCGGCTTTGACTGGTTCTACCCGAGATGGCCCAAGGGCTGCGACACAGACGAGAACGGTGATGTTGTGCGTGTGGTCAGCCAAGACACGTATTTGGAGGGTATGGGATGGGTCAGCCGTGATCCAGCAATCGTCTCAAGCCCCCACGCTGCCGAGGAAGAGTTGATGAGCCAGTGCTGGCAGAGTCTAGGGATGGATTTGGGCAACTGGCACGAGTCCCTTGACATGGTATCATGGGCAGACAATGTGGCCACATCCTCGGCCGGGGACAGAGCCGCTGCGCTGGGTGTGTTTTTCGAGTTTTCTGATCTCATGAGCGCAGCCGATCTCTGCTCCGGCGGTGACTTTGGCCTTCGATTCCAGGTGAGTTGGTCAGTAGCTATCCGATGGCAGTGATGCAACTAACTTGGCCTAGGAACCGCTTGATCCTACGCAACCAGACATACCTGTCAAAGCGCGCGACGACTTCACCCTTGGACGCCGCTTACTAGAGGCCCCGCCCCTCACGACTTACACCTGCACGGCCAGAGCCATCGCCACCAGTCTGAAGTGCGGAGCTCGACAGGTTCTTCAGACCGCGCCTGTCAAGAATAATACTTCAGTCAGTATGGCTTGCTTCCAAGAAGACAGTGCTATCCGCCGAATGAGACACTCATTTGTCAATCCTAACCGGGACGCGGTCATCAACCGCTATGACATGGCGTACGCTTTTGACCCGATCGCGGTTTCCGAGAAGGCTTCTGTTACGATATCCACCAGCCTCGAACCATCAGTATTTGATCGTACTATGCGGTTGATTACTCTCGAAGTGGCGCCGTATGTCCGCGGGATTATTGGTTACGACCATCGTCTGATGCAGGACCGCATGCAACGAAGTGGCCTACTGAGCGAAGGTGGTAGGCCAGGTAAGCGAATGCGAAACACCCGTGCTGCGTACTCGGCTCTGGAAGGTGTCGCGCGCATCAATATGCGTAAAGAAAGCTATTTTTCTGCGGAGCTGAGCACGCCGTCAGTAATGAGAACCGGCGGCGAAAGCTGGCAAGCGGCTGTGGACGAAGAAATGAGCCTAATGAATCCAGTGTTGAGTCCTGTGAGCGCGAATGATGTGAGCGCAAACGAATATGGCGAAGCGATCACAGCGCCAGTCACGGCGGCGGAGTAAATGATGATAGTAACGAAATGGCTGCATTCGGGAGAAGTTGGAAAAGCGTAGTTAGCTGGGGGGGTTTGTGAGATATATAGGATGGCATTTGAACTGGTTGGATATCTATCTGCCTTAACAAGACGGCTATGCGCATACTCGAAACACGTTGAATCGCAAATTGCTACATATCGGAAATCGACTGTGTTCGCCGACACCAAGTCCCATTCCTTTTCTAGTGGTAGACGGGTCTTCGCCGGGACCTCCGGTCGGCATACTCCGACTCGCCCTTGTAACTCTGCTCGTCGGACAGCGACGACGGCAGCTGGCTTCCCCGCCGGCTCCAGTCCGCAACGGCTTCATTATATTGTGGCCGTTGCGGCCGCTCTTCCTCAAACGACATGTTTGACTGCCTCTCATACCGGACGATCTCGTTGTTATCCAGCGCACTGATCCCACGGGATTTTGACCGGCGGTCCCCCTCGATCGTACTCCGCCGGTTGGAGAAGCGCTCACTGGGAGAAGGCAGGTATTCGTCGGAGTGGTACGAGTCCCCGTCACTGTCGCTACCATAGCCCCTCGACCGCCCGTCGCTGTGGCTTGGGGCTGGGTAGTGCTCCCTCTCGGGCAGCCTCCTCCTCCTGTCGCTGCGCACATGGTCGTTGCGGTCGAAGACATTGTGGTCGTCGTAGTCAAGATATCCGTTGTGGCGGTCGCGGATGGCGTTACGTCGGCGCGAGAGGCGGCCGGCCGACGACGCGGGAGACGGCTCCCAATGGTCCTTGTGGGAGCTGCGCGGCCAGAGCTTGTGGAGGCAGATGGTGGCGACGGCGACGGCAGCGACGAGGACTGCGGCGGTCTTGATGCTGGGCCGGCGGTGCTCGCGAGGTCCGGCAGAGGAGGAGCGGGAGCGGGTGGATGGAGAGTGGGAACGCCGCGTCCGGGCCATAGTTGTGTCTCCTCGGGTCCTCTTGGTGAGGACGCCACTGTTGGTATCGCGGCTGGAGTGAGACATGCGAGACATGGAGAGTGATGAGTTGGTTAGTGTAAATTGTCGTGAGATTTCTCGAGTGGTTGACACCGTCAGTGAGTCCGTCCGGTTTAAAAGTAAGAACAGCCAGTTGGTACCTATTCGTCCTAAGGGCTCACGCGGCGGTCCGTCGGCAAAAGACAAAGAGGGAAAGGAAGTCGGCTTCGGACGGGAGCTCAAAAAAAGGCGGGGGGGGGGGTTTTGGGGACGGAGGAGGGGCCACGTAAAAATGGAATTTGGTGAGCGGTCTTAGTGAATTTATGGAGGCCGTGAGTGAGGCTGGTCAATGCAGGGAGGGAGCTAAACTTTGAACCGGCTTGTTGGACATCCTCCCCCGGTATCAGAGCTGGAACTTTGAAGAGGAGGGTCGTCTGAGCGCGGGTCAATCCGATTTGCTGACTCTAGTGTTTGGCTCTGTTTTGGGAACACGCATATGAAGAGTGCATCCTTTGTTACAGCATAATGCTGAACGTCAGCAACAGCGGCTGTGCGAAAGAACCGCGCGACAGGACGGCATGAGGAGAGAAGTCTGGTGACGGCTGGTTTATGCCCACGCTGTCAAGCTATCAACCAGCTTTTCAACCAGACGGTCTGAGAGTCGTTGAAGGGAAGCAGAGCTAGAACCCAGGTCCAGGGGTCCTCGCAAGACGGGCGATATAACATCAAAGGGTTCCCTCGAGCCTACCAGACCGTGTGGCCTTTCCTACGCTGTGTTGCGTCAAAGTCACCATCGCCGGTCACATATCCCGAGCTTGCGGGGAAAACCAGCCCGATACCGATGGGAAGGAGACGTGATGCACTGGTGCTGTCATAATGCCACTTGGACAGCTGTGCGCGCATATGGGCAACGAAGAGCGACACAAGCTCTCCCCGGCACGGATTCTATCCCCGGAACTCCGATACGTTGGTGTATCAAAGGACACGCGCCGTTGGGAATCCCAACCCAGAGAGCCGTGCTTGGCTCTCTTTGCTTTCATTACCGGGGCATGTAATGATCCATTGCCCCCTCCCCCTCCCTAAAGTATGGTTCCGCTGCCAACAGATGGCGGGGAAGCGCATTCTAGTTTTGCCTTCCATCATGCACAAAGGAGCCGCATCGTCTTTTCGAAGGTGGCAACCCGGGGAGCTGATGCACATCTGTATTGCGGCGGCGGTTGGCGGGCGGCGGAGATTAGTTAGATTCCGAGGAGAGGGATGGTAAGATGACTGGAGGATGTTGGAGTATTGAATGTTGAGAGTGAGACGCAGCAGAGGGGACTGGAATGGTGAGAAGCGTGAGCGGTCGATGCGGACCAACTACCGTTGTGGCGTGATGATAAGCCAATGTGTTGTGTTGTGATCTCGTTAGCTGTGACGACACGTCGTCATGGCTTGAAGCGGCGCTCGCTCTCGTGAAAGAAGTCATGAGGGCTGAGAATTGCTATTGCATGTGAGCAAAGGCATGTAAATGCAGGACGTCAGCGAGCATTTGTACATGGGCTGTTATATCTATGCCTTAACTTTTGAACCACCTACGCGGGCAATCTTCATTTCTATCATGCTGTCTTATACCTACTTGCTAAGCAGCTCTTCGTAGTCGTCTCCAGAGAGTTTCAGGCCGTTAAGTTTTGCGATATCATCTGCATCTTTGGAATTGGTTGCCTGGGACCAGAAATATCAAGTCCTATAGTTGAATTTCGTAAGATGTTGTGAATGGGACAGGGAATTAATAGCTTACCGATTTAGACGCGAGAGGATAACCCAATTGGACGAGCAGAGGAGCCTCCCATTCCACGATGGTGACGTTGGAGTTTCAAAACCCTCCAATGTTTTGAAAACTTGATGGTCCACTCCAGGGGGCATGCCGAATTTGACGCGGCCTGAAGGATTTTTTCTGGATCTGCGTGGCATGCAATGGAAGCAATCAGTGCAATAATGTGTCTTATAAGATAGGTCGGAGGGTATCACGTGAAGTGAGGGAGTGAAAGAAGCGTTGAGGTAAAGAACAGACGGCAAGACAATCACAGCAACAAGCACTTGGCATGAAAGCTCTACCAGCCTTGGTTGATAGGGAAGTTTAGTTACGATATTCCATGGTACTGAGTTTCCGCCCATTGATTTAGAAGTCTTCTTTATTGTGTTGAGCTTTGAGCATGATACTTTCACTGTTTCTATGACTGTGTATGGTTAAATATTGTGTGCCTGTGAGGTCCTATGGGGGACCGCATTGTATTGATACCTTGATTACTAGGTTTGTTAACAGCTGCAACAAGACGTATATACCGTTGGTCTCAATGTGAAGTCAAGTGTGCTTGAATTATTGAACACTGACGGCATACTTGTCTTTGACACCATGATGATCTCGAAAGGATAGCTCCATGGCACTCAAAGAGCTCGGTATTTCCTATGGATCAAGCCACATCAACAACAAAGGGTGGTATCTAGAATGGAAAGAACATTGCAGGCGTTTGGGGACAATGAGAGAACACTGAGATGCTTGAGAACCAAGTCATGGAGAACTTATATCAATAGGTCGAAATGACAAGACTAGATAATCAGTCAGCTAACCAAACCAGTCGTCACCGGACAGTTTCAATCCAAAGTCGATATCAATACTGAACATTCATGATGCCATTCACAAGCACACAAGATCAAATCAGCCGAAAGGGCATCTTTCACACCATCCAGGACTATGTTGGGGGTGAGAAGTGCCTCTCAGAGTTATACGACAGCTACAGATACGTCCCAGTAGATGATATCGATGCGTCGTGTACCAAAAATGCCACTGTCGTCAAACTTGTATGCCTCAACTTCTCCCAGAAGAGAAAGCTGAAGAAATTTGCAGCAGATGAGATCTGGTTGTCTAGGGACGCCTGTTGCGTAAGTTCAACCCCTCCCCGTCTATCCCCTGCCCAGTTTTGGACATCTAGCCCAAGACCGGCCAGTGTTTCCCAGGACGCTCTCAGCTGATCCATATGATTAGCGAACCATCGTGAGATGTTTTGACTACCTCCCAGCTATCAACGCCATCGTCACCGAGCAACGCCCCCGAGACGGCGCAATCCACCCGGCACGAGACCGCTTCGAGGATTCGGCTATCCTCGACATCTCCTGGGATCTGCTCCTCGCTCTCGCCTACCTCCATGCCCGCGGCATCGCCCACGGAGATGTCCGGCCGCGGAACGTCATCCCATTCCCCTCGTACCCCCGTCGCGACCGCCACAAGCTCTTCGGCCACGGCCTCGTCCCGGACGTCATCGGCCACTGGCCCAAGGACGACGGCTACACGGCGCCCGAGTTCCTCGTCGAGAACGCCGAGATGCGCAAAAGGGGGAAGGAGGGTAGGGGGGCGGTGAAGCCGACCTTCGCGTCGGACATCTGGCAGCTCGGCATGCTTCTCTGGCACTGCCACCGCTACGGCTCCCACTGGGACTCCGAGACGCCGCCGTGGCGGAGGAACAGCTGGCAGTCCGAGGTCCTCGTCCAGCCCGACCTCGCGCCGACGTCGGGGGCTTCCATGAAGGGGATCAGGCCGCTGGCATTCAGAGCCAAGGGCTGCGAGGACCCAAGCCACACCTGGTTGCAGCAGTTGTTGAGCAACATGCTCGACGAGGACCCCCTCGCGCGATCGAGTGCGATGGGGCTACTTCGGCAGATGCAGAGCCAGAGGTACCACGCCGTCGAGAGGAAGGAGTTGGAGGAGGACGTGGAGGATATGAAAGATGCCGTGCAGACTGCGAAAAAGGAGATCTGGGAGAGAAGCCCCCTCGGGAAGGCGGTATTGGGAGTGAGGCGGGCGCGGGTGGAGTTCGTCAGGTTCATCTTCCTCATTGCTCTCCTGTTTCATTTGGTGTAGTTTTTCTCCCTTTGTTTCTCATGATTGTCGAACGGCGTTGGGGAGGGTTTCTCCAGATTTGGATTCATGGTCTGGTTTATTCATTTGACAGGGTATTGATGGATGCAGTTGATTGAGTTACAAAAAAAAGCCTTTGTAACCCCCATAGGCTTCACTTACAAGCGTTGTCTTTTGGCCTCCTGAGATTTGCATCGGATTTCTTGTTCAATAGTTTATCCAGCAACGTGAGTTGCCACAATTCAAGCTCACATACCACGCCTACATGGCCAGTGACATACCAAAACCCATGAAATATACTCAAATCTCCGCCACGAATAGGCATTGGCCAAAAGATACCCAACTGCCCCATTCGAGCCTAATAAACACAGAGAAACCGTCGTTCGTGACCTTGCTGCTTTGAAACCAACCCCCTCACGCGGCACGTTTGATGCCTGTTGATTTGCGCTTTCGTAGCCTATGCTAATGGCAGGGAGTATATGCCTGTTCTCTTCATGCTGTTCAGCCCTGCATCCTCTCTCGTGGATTAGCCCGCGCTATCAGTGGAGTAAGGTGGCGGGCTTGATATTTCCAGACCTCGGACGATAGACAACAACCGGATCTCATTGTTACATATTGCGTGTGTACCTGTGCGACCGCCTTGTGTTAGTACCTTGGTTACTGAGTCGGGTGACAGCCGCAACAAGAAAGAGTTATACACCATCTCCTATAGGTACTTATCTGTCAGCTCTTATAACTGCAAGCGAAGCTCTATATTAAACCCCTCAACCTTGGTATAGCCAAAGTAAAACCCATATTGACTGATGATAACACTGCTACTTTATAACCCCTGTCTATACTTGGAACCCTAGTAGTGGTGCGATACGTCGCGCCACGACGCAGCGATAAGCTCCAAGAGGGTTGCCCGATCCTCACCGGCCTGTGGCCATGATCTCCTGCAAAGCCGATAGCTGTGGAAGCCATGGCAGACAATCCTACAAGAAGAAAAAGACACAGTTCAACCTAACCGTCGTGGCTCCTCTGGCCGGCATGATATGGCCAGATCAGCGAGAGATGCCGGTCTATCTATGTTCATCCTTGAGTGAGACTCGAGGAAGCCACACAAAAATACGAGAGCCCCAAAGGTTGGTGTCAGATACGCTTGTGCCAGTCAGAAACCGTAGCCACTGCGCCCTTTGGCGCAGCGCCTCATGCTCGTCATCGGATACACGAAGCCTCATCCCAAGCCGCGCGCGCGCAGTCGAACGGGCCCAGAGGCGAAGGGGACTGCCACTGCGCAACCATTTAGTTATAGATCAGGCCATCCGCATAAGTTCCAAGGCAGTCGAGGTGGTTCGAGTGGCGTCTGCTACCTGTGCCCCCCCTTCGCCGAAGAGCGCGATCGGGACGAGTCGAGTTCAACTGACCAACAAAACCACCATGTTCCTCCTTCCTCCGACCGCGGCCCAGTAGATTCTCGCCGGGATTTCCGGACGGCTGGCAGGCCGGAGAGCGTGGATGGGTGAATTCATTCCACCGCCGGATTGGGGCCCCGTCCTGTGGTACATGTACAGTCGCCAAGCCAGAAAGTCCACCCCCCCCAAAAAAGGTGTGAGGATAATGGTTGGGCTGGGCGCGGGGCAAGCTCCGAAAAGGCGGCACCGCGCCGTGTGCCATGCCATGCCGTGGCAATGCCGGCCAGCGCCAATCTTGGTATACGGCGGGTGTTCTCATCAGTACCACTGGGCTATTAGTTGGGGGAGCCTCCAATAGGGGCCGTTGGCGGCCGGAATTGCGTATGGGAGGGAGGGTACACAGTAGTCTCGCAGTTGGAAAGGGGGTTCGTCGCTAACCAAGGATAGGGGACGAATTCGTGAAAACGGGGACTCTTCACCCCTCCCATCCTATTCCCCAGGGGCGGTGTTTGTCATGGCGGGACAATCAATATGTGGGCAGAGTGTCAAGTTTGTGCCGTAAGAATGAATGGGCTGCGCAGGTTTTGACAGGCCAAAGCCATCCAAAGCTGCAGCAGCTATGCCACTATAACGGCGATTACTACGTTCGTATGTAGTGTATGTGGTAAGGTAGGTGGATGCATGATGATCGGTGTCAATCCTCGTTTGACGCCAGTAATCCATGGTCGGCCAACATCACCTCCAGAGAGCTCTTTGTCCGGAACCACTGTGTTCGCGATGGCCCTTGCCGATCGTTCCCCTGGCAGTGGACGCCCACCAAGGCAATCCAGAACGCACAACCTGAGTGAGGGCTGCTGCTGGGGGGAAAAAGGCATTTGGCATCCCGGTGTGCGCGTATAGTGGTGTAGGTATACTGGTTCCCAACGACCCTTGGTGGTAGACCATACGATCCATCCGAACAAGATGGCACCAGCAGCAGGTACCTCAGAGTACTCTGTAGCGTCGCCAGTGGACGATGCGCATTACGTTACTGTCAGCCTTTACAGCGCCAGGTCCAGGAGCGCACTACGGCAGGGTGGGCGGTCCAAGGAATCTTCTGTTCCGTAGGAGGGGGCAAGATGGTCATGGTTATTCTCGTCGTCACTTTGGCCATGCCGTGATGGATGGACCTAGTATTTCAGGTGCCTCCAGTTCCGTGCTCCGGCACCGGTTTGCTCGGCCCCATGGAAGGGCGTATCAAGCAAACAAAACACTCGTGACTGGAACGCACCGCTGGGTACCGACATCATGCGTAGCAGCAACAGCTGCAAAGCGTCGAAAGCCGACGACCATCGGATATGTGGCACGAACCTGCTCAACCCCGGGATGGGCGTCGGTTGGCGAATTGGCCCGAGGGCGTCGAGCCCCGAAAGAGCTGATTTGCCGCAAAAGGGATGTTGTAGCGATGCACATATCCAGCCCGGTGACACAGCGGTAGTGCCAGAAAGGACCGGCCAGTGCTTCCTTCGGTGCTTCAGACTGATCAGAATCGACCTCCGGCGCCGCCACTCAAAGGTGGGATGAGAATTCATGGCGTGGCAGGAGACGAGGCTGTCCTAGGTCATCAGCCCGATTACGACATGTTTACTATGCCTGCCTAGTCGTTAGGTTTACGATGCTGGAATGTGAATTTCGAGAGTGGGATTCTGGCCAGTGGACGTGTTGCAACATATCCCATCAGGCAGTCCCACTTGGTGGCTATCTGTGACGGGCATATTGTAGGCAGACGGCATGAAGCAAGCACAACCAACCTGTGCTTTGACTGCACCCGAGTCTGCCGCCTGGCTTGCTAAAGTTGACAATGTCATGCTGCGGACCGACGACGACGCGGTGGTCCATTTTCTGTATTGCATTTCAGAGCCGGACAAAATGCCTGCACCATGGCTGCTGATTCAACTATGTTGGCTAGCGTCTTGAAAGGAGCGACAATGGCCCCAGCCATTGCCCAATACTGGCTGGTATCTCACGGAGGGCAAGACGCCGGGCCACAATCACCAAGCCCCTGAGTCAAGGGCTGTGCTGTGAAGGTTAATGGTGCGCGCCCGCGGGTGGATGCGTTCTCAGTCTGGCTTGGTTGTCGGCCGACATTGGCGACGGAGAGGTGAGGCGCATTTTTTTTCCCTTTTCCTTTTGACCGCCACGCTAAAACACCGTCGCCGCCTCGTGCTCCCTGACATGGTTGCTGCAGCTTCCGGGGCGACAAATATCGGTGGGCTGTACTCCATACAGCGTAACGTCGGCGATGGCGTGGTTCAGAGATACCTAGCTGGGCCCCCCCGGGGGGGGAGGGGTTGCAGGACCGAGTGATGTGCGCGGTCGCCGTAGTACAGGTATATCGTAAGACCCCAACGTGGATTCAGATGCACGTGAACGGCACCGTACGTCTACCAGAGGACGGCCCTGGTCTGATGTGACGATGAAGCTAGTGACTGGGCGTTGCTGTTTTGTCTCCACCAGATGCAGTAGATATCGATCGTATACGGAGTACGGATATTGGGCTACCAGAAGCCGTGTGCCCCGTTGCTGTGTCAAGGATGTCTTGCGTAGGTACGAGTGCTTGGGGCAAAGTACCTAACACTCTGACTGAGGTGCAGCGAGCGCCTTCTGCCGCTCTTCATCCGGGGTTGTATCATGTATGAAGGAAGCAAACCTTGATGATGGGTGCGATCGAGAAGGCAGCAGACGCGGAACCACGGAGGAAAGGAGGCGAGACGCTGATCTGATGGTGACTGAGGGTGGAAAAGCAAAGCGAAAGAGACTGACTCTGTATCATGCAGCTGATGGTATAAGAGCAGAGGAGGGGGTTGGCGGGCCGAGGAGAAACGACCCAGCGTCGTTGGTTGGCTGAATCAATACACGGCGAGCATTGAGAGGTGTCCAAGCTCATGATAAGAAGGGGGGAGGGGGGGGGGGGGGGGGGGGTGAACGAGAAGAGACATGTCGTCCAAATAGCAGACCTAGCGGCGCTCCAAATAGCAGAGTCTCGAGATAGCTACATACAAGGGAAGGCCGCCTGTGGTAGCAGCGTGCCAGCAACAGGCTTGTTTGCTTGGTGGGTGAGTGGATGAGAGGGAGAGCGAGTGAGTGAGTGAACTAAATGAATCAACGCGATGGCAAGAGAGCTAAAGCCAAGCAAATGAGGGGGAGAAGGTCGAGACCGTGGGGCCACGGTCAACTTTAATTGATACAGACAAGTCTTGGACACGACACGAGACACACGTCGTCCGTACGCGGGAGTCAATTCGCCAGAACGGCGACCGGAGAGCAAGCGAGCGGGCAAGCATGTGTTGGGGGCGCGGCTGACGCTGCAGTAGCTGGATGTGAGCGAAGGTCAGTCAGACAGGCAGGCAGGCAGGTTGAGGTTAGCGGCAGGGTGGACGAGACGGGACTGGTCAGGATAAGACGAGAAGACGAATTGCTTGTCGGAAAGTGCGCGGACCTGTATCTGCATGTACGAGTAGATGGCGCGGTGGACAAGAAGGAAAGAAAGAAAGAAGCATCGAGACGGTGTTGGAACCAAAGTGCGATGGATACGTAGGGATGGTTTCGCATCCAAGGTTACCTACGCAG